CGAATTATTTTCTCATTATCACATACCCCCACAAAAAAAATCATATACGTTTTCCGAAAAATCTAAAAAAAAAAAAAAATAACAATACAACCTCCATTCAAAAACAAACCCCCCCACCCCCAAAAAAAAAAAAAAAAAAAAAAAAAAAAAAAAAAAAGGGCATTATTTTCTTTCGGCTGCAATCCCCATCCATACCTACTCACCATGTAGTATCAAGATTTTGAATTTCCTAACCGCCTCGTCTTCATCGACGGTTGTTATCGGAAGCAAGAGGGGAAAGGGAAAGGATGCTTCAGTCGTGCCAGTCGTGCTTGTTGCGTAGGCGTGGGATGCAGTTTTGGGATGCAGTTTTGGGACAGCTAGGCCGGTTTTCGGGTTGACGAGGTGTTTCTCAATTCCCCGACAAGTCCGGTCGTGACGGCTTCAGTCTTTGCTCGATACGGCTTTGCCTATTCGGTGCTATCGTGTCCTATAGGGTTGTAAAGGGGGTATTAACATATATCTTTGACCCGATTCAGGCACGATGCTGTATACAGTACCATTCCGGTATTTTATTATGCCAGACACACTTATACAAGCCAAGCCTGATCTTCACCTTTTTCACCAGCAATTCATAGCCCTTTAATATTCGACGTTTTTATCGCTGTACCATTTGCAGGGTGTTTTTTCGCTTTCCCAGACTGCCTCTTCCCATACTGCCTTGAGTTCTGTCTCTCCGTCAAAGCTGTCCTCCCAGGCGAAGAGCCTTAGCATCGACTTGGCCGCTTCCCAATTTTTTATCTTTAGCACGCGACTCACGAGGTTGATCTTGTCCAAATATACGTCCCGATATACCTTCATCTGCCTCCTCTCGAGATCGTCACTAGTCTTAGCCGCCATCGTGACGCACGCACCGAACATAACAGACCAAAACCAGAGCGACTGACTATATTGGCCCGTTTGCATGGGCATCTCGGTGCGGCAGACGTCCGCAAGTAACTGCTCGATGAACCAATTAAGTATGAATGAATCAACCATGCCTTCACGTATGATTACGTAGAGATAGAAGTAGCACGCTATGAACCCAGATCTACTACTATCGACTGATCTAAGAGGCGATAAGGCGTTACTATCGCTTACTCGAGAGTGAGATGCCTTTCTCGCTAGGATTTCTGAGAGCGGCTCTTCCGAATCGTACGAGCCACCCAACATTCGCAGGTTATAGATTGGCCGGAGTGCAACTCGGAGCAGTGATATTATCACGGACTGGTGTACCAGGTCTGTTCGACTAATGTCAAGGATATCCAAAACGGGGCGGCTGGAAACGCTTCTGGCTGCCCTATGAGGGTACGTCAGCCTTAATCACTGGCTAATCACTGGCAAGGACAATGCTGATTATACGCACATCAGGATCATTCGTTGAAGCAAGCCCATCTTCCTAGGACGTCTGTCTTCGCCTTGTAATTCTTTAATTTTCGCGAGCCCGCGTAGATGAGATGACACGGCGTCGACAGAGCCCAAGGCATTCTAAAAGTCATTAGTAAGCTGAATGAAGCCATCCTTCTCCTCGGAATGGCACATACCTCGACCAGGGCAAGGCTTGAGACGGCTGCTATTGTGCCGTCGTGGATAGCGGCGTCTGGATTCCTTAGCTGGTCCGTGACGAATCGTATCGCCTGCAGCTTGTGATAGAAGTAAGGGACTCGGAAGTGCTCGACATCACCGGTGCACCATGCCCAATGCAGAGCAGTCATTAACAACGCAGCATGGAGGAACCCGGGATGGGATAAGGCTTTGTGTACGCTAAGCATATACCAGTCAGGCTGAATCTCTCGAGCATCAAGCTCCGCCCCCACAGGCATATTCGTGGTCATCTACTCACATGAATGAATCCGCGCTTCTTTCAACCCGGGTCGTGTATAGTACCCTTGTATTTGCGACTGGGCACCGACAACTAGTTAGTATCCGCTATCACGCCTCGTCGAACACGATCTAGATCACTCACAGAGTTGGAATAACGACCGTGACTTGTGGGGCATGTGGTACGAGGTTCCTAGGAATGGGTCTTTTAGAGAAGCGTCTACCAAGGGCAGGCAAGGTTCGGCAGATTCGTGAGGCTCTCTAGATTCAGCCCTGGATCCGGGCCCACACCCGGCCTCCGGGGTATTAGACTCAGCATCTCCGTCCGGGTAGCCACATTCTCCACCATGTCGAAGACAGTATGTGCTACAGTACAGTCAGCCTCACTAGAAAGCGCCTCATGATATATTTTACCACTGTACGAATAGTGTGACGGAGACGAGGCTGCGCATAGGTAGGTAGGTAGGCAACAGAATAGATTGGGCTAGGCATACGTGAAGAATCTGCGGGTAATAGATGTGAAGTAACGCTTCTTGGTCGGTGTTGGGCACCAATCACCTGCACAACTTGCGGCGGCGTATTTTGTATACTTATTATACAATCCCGCGCCGGCAAACGGTGCACCATACCAAGAACTTACCACAGTGGTTTTCTCTCGTCGCACCGGATGTGCTTAGTCTTGCATGTGGAACAGCCGTTTCTTGACCTGCGATGAAACTTGCGTTGACGTTGGCGCTGGACTGTGGGAGCTGATTCAGCCATCGTATTTATGCGAAGTTCGTAAGTCCAAAGGGGGTATCACGAGAAAAGGGGAATACGCGCGGTCATAAAACATACCTTTGTGTGACCCTTTCTCATCTCCATATATGATTAATAACCTCTCGTCAGGCAGACGAATTTACTCGATCCAGAGCGAATGAACCCCTGGCTGCGGGCGATGATTTCATTGAACCATTCCCCCATCTTCCATCAAATCCTACCCTCATGTGGCATTGTGTTTTGAGAAAGACCCACCGTCAGCACTCAACTACAGCTAGATCCCGCTGGTCAGTGCTCACTGCTCACTGCTGCTCAGCCTAGATTCTTATTAATAACGATGGTGTAAGATTACATAGGTACATACAAAGCTCAGCTTATAGGTTACATAACACCACCACGCGATACTTAAGGAGAGATAATTCCCGGTCTTATTCTACAGGTTCGTTTCTCTAGTGTACGAATATAAATGCTCTTGGCCGAAGAATTTAATTGATAGCAAAGCGAACTAAGGTTTATTAATAGAATTTGATATCTACAGGTCTCTGGGATGATATGTATAACACTCCCGGGCCTGCGGGCAGGCAGGCAGACGTTTTCTAAATTTATAGGACAAGGGATTTCCCATATCTCGACTGGTAACTTAGGTAGGTTAGGTAGGTACCCCAATGAGGCTGGTATTCCTTATAAGATATCAAAGAAGTATCGCACGATCCTACGAACGGTGTTTGAGCTGAGAAGCCAATATTAAGTGAATTAGGCACTCAACTTAGAAGAGCGTTATACTGATTAACATGTCGCTACGTGCGTAGAGTCCTATGTATTTAACTATGTATTTAACCTACCTCCTATAACAAGGCTAGCGCAACAGGTAGGGAATGGATCTTTTGACGTAGTCGATACTTTAGTAAGACGGCGAAATGTTACATTCCGCTATCCAGCTTTTCCTACGACCCAAAGCCTCGTATTGCTTATTTCAGGCCTGTCAATATAATAGAAGCCAATCAACTCATAGTTAGGGGTTGGAAAATGTAACTATTGCCAGGATCTAGTTATAGCCCATATTGCGATTGCTACAGAAGAAGCAAAATCCCTTCAGCTAACATATCACGTAAGTCATGGATGAAGCGGCTCGCCATGTTATTCGATCCAGAGGGCGTATTACCACCACGTGTGAGCAAGTATTATTCTGCATTCTACATGCCGGATGACGGCTTGCGACATTTTATACTTCCCGACTGCTCGTCATTGTCACACACCTATTTATGTACTTCTTCATTACTACCTACATTACCACCCTTGCCGTCTTATTGCTTCACACAGATATAAGCCGCCCTTTACGACCGCCCTTTATGAATGAATAGGACTACGGGGTTGAAGATATTTGCAACTAAGAGTCTTCGCATAATGCCAAGCCAATGTCTTTCCCTTTGCCGAGAAGTTGGGGGCAGTGGAAAACGGCAATGGACAAGACTAGTTTCCAATGGATAAGCATTCGGCCTTCTTACATTCTCGAGTCTTTCTAGATCCTATATAGGGCTGACGTAGCGTAACTGGCCAATTATGTTCGTATTGTACCGCGCGTCCCAGCATGGTAGGGTCATTCATCATACTCTATAATCTCATGTACCCTAGGTTTTCATTTTCTGGAACGCATCCGAGAGCCATTCGTGTCGGGATTCATAGACTCCAGTCGAGCGCATACGAACGTACGACATAATCCATCTGATTGACCTGTTACGATACAAGGGCAGAGAGATAGATCAAGAGGTTACTATACGTTCCCAGATTTATAAGCGATATGGGAGAGCATAATAAGATCGAGCCTATTTCTTCAGACCCAAGTTTCGTATACCTCTCTTGGCGCATGGTTCTATATAATTCCTTGAGAGGTACGGCTTCTATTTACGTTAAGACCCTCGCATGCGCAGTGGATTCATGTTAGGGTGTAAGACCGGCGAAAAGCAAGTCTTAATAAGTTTTACCTTAGGTACCTGTTAGTTAGTTACTTCTCTTCCACGCAACCCATATCACGATGTTTATAATCGACAACTAAAGAGCTGTTGTTTAGCCGTGTCTACCTAACATACTAGGTATATAGCGCCTTTTACTTATTTATAGCTGAGAAGATCAACTGAATTATCTCCCTTGGTGCTTCCTAAGGAAACAGAAAACAGAAATACAGAAATAGCGGACTACGGCCGGGAAGGCCCATGGGGTTAGGTAGGTACCTACGGGACCAGGATGTATGGTCAATGCGTTCCATACCTAAGTTTCGATTCTTCATCTAGATATGATCTTATCTCCATCAACTTCTTAAACCAACCGCAACATCTGAGTGGTAAAATTACCACCGTATTTGATCTCGTTGCGATTCGACCCCCCTTACGTACCCCATGGTCCCCAATAATCTATAGTCCCAGTAACCCCAATGATCGTAGAAGTCTAGGCATTACTACGAGATGATGATACCACGGTGTGGGATCCGAATACGTGGTAAGTAGTCGGCGAGCCAACTCACATGCTCGCAGTACCTACCGCTCGCAGAGAAGCACACGTCGCCTTTTTCCCTCTTCCGGCACGCTTGCTTTTCGCACCTATGGATGCATATTCGCAACTCCGGATCTCCTCCTTTCGGTGGGCTACAATACAGTTACTATAGTAGGTACAATACATCAAGTGAACTCTGGATAGGAATGCTCCGGGCAGCAACGTACCTGCACTGCACTGCACTGCACCATACATACCTACCTAGGTTGGGGTTGGGCTTTTGCGCTCGTGCAACGTTTTTCTGCCCAATCTAGTCAGATAGTCCGCCTCGAAGGGTCACCGCTATTCGTTCACCAGGAATTTCCCTGCAATAGTCTAGGCTAATACCCTTTCAGATACTGCAGATACTGCAGAAAGACTGCAGTCTTTGGGCAACAAGACGGGCAAGCAGGAACCAGAGGGACAACTCTGGGCACTCTGAACTCTGGACTCTGGACACTCTGGACACTCTGGACACTTTGGACATTCCTTCTAGTTCTCAGCTGCCCAATGCTGCCCTACCGTGATTGGGCTGCAACAGCCAATTACGGCTTTTCCTCGATCCCGCGGCCTGAGTGGACGATTTACTAGGTATGTGTTATTATCATGGTTTGGAGACGGCGCTTTTTGTTGAACGCTCGCACGTTCGCACTATAGGCAGGGTGCTCCTAGACATTCGTATCTACTCTTTTCGAACCCCGTCATCTGGCTTACGATTCTATCAAACTGTTTCGGTGGTCGATCTTGACTAGTTAAGGATTGGTCCATTCGTCCAGCCCCGTATCGAATCGGTGGTCGACGCCCGAGACGGCATCTATACTCGCATCCCTAACTAACTTCGCAGCGCGTGAGGTCCGCCTTGAACCTACGTTGCAGCCCCATTGTTTGAATTAGAGCTGGGGCGAGCCCCTTGATGTCGGTTCTGGGGACTGCCCTGCTCGCCGCGCCTTGTCACCCAAAAAAACAAAACCACAACTTGATCCGTTCGCAGTGGCGAAATCCGACAGACCTCGTCATAGCATAAAGTGTCCACGTCTCGGACCTCAAGCTTAAAGGCACAATTCTATCGAGGGTTTACCTTCTCTGGAATAAGGTGAAGATATTCCATACTCCCTTGAGGTTTCATCTATATTGGAGCATGCGATATTACCTTCGCACCCGTGTCTATGTTGTCCTCCCGAGGTTGCTACCGAATCCGCCGAGCTACTTGACTCCCATTTCCTTTCCCGGCCAGCAGCGCACCCGCTATTCACCGCTCCAGAACCGAACCAGCATAATCTGCAGAGGATATCCGCCGTGGATCCTGGGGACCCAGACTTAGAATCTGTGTTAAAATAAAAAAGGGTATTTCTGGGGCCCTTCTTCTAGAGAACCAGGCGTACATCGCCGGGAATTCAGCTTCCACCGGAGCTAGTGCAGTTCTTATTTTATCTCACAATATATCCGCCCCGTCGGCCACGGTTTTTTTTCTTTGTCCCACCCCAAAGAAGTTGTGAGGATCATGGCCCATCAGGAAGTAGCCTACCGAGCTTCTGCCATGTCGAACGGATCCTGGAATTCCTCCCGCAGGTGCGATCATTGAATCATGTTATCGGTCTCTGTTATTGCGGTCAAGCTGACTTCCTCAAGCGTCATTTATAATGACAGCATATATCCAGGTAGCACCCGTGAGAACGGGTACTCAAGCTCAAGGTAAGGGCGAACGAGATATCCCCCTTATTTTGTAGACTATGGGAATAACACTGGCTTCCGAAGTGTGATATACTCGTCCGGGTGCGGTACAGCATACAGTTCGCCAGCCAATGTGTCGATGATGGGGACCAGTGGTCCAGTCGGCCGGCAACAGCCTGCATACTCTTCCTCGCCGGTTTACATCTCGAGAGCGCAGTCCGGGCCGTATGGAGCTTCTTCCGGAGGAGCGTATGGCTCGTACAATAGCACAGGCTCGCAGGGTTGGGACGGACCGAGCAGATACTCCCCAACGGATTCTGTTGATGATATTATTGCGTCTCCCAGTATATCGGATTATGCCCTGGATAATAATGGCGGAAGTTCTGCGCCAGCAGCAAAGTCTAAGAGCAGTGGCAAGGGCCGTCCTCAGAGGCGACCCTCTAATAGAGACGAGTTCGATGGACCTCATCAGTACCTAGCGAGGCCCCCAGCGGATTATGTGGCTATGCAGGAGAGGGAGCTTCCTCATCTCCCTACAAATCTTTTGGTGCAAGAACAGGATAGTGTCCTGACGCAAGTCAACGATCGACTCTCGCAGTGCGCGTTCGACTTTGTTGCAAAATACCAGTTTCCAATTCCTTTGACCCAGGATATGAGGCCAGTCGAGAGACCACATGATAGAGAATGGACCGAATGGGTTTACTTACTCAAGCGCCTCGCGACTAAGAGGCGAATCCCGGCCCGGGTCCTTTATAACGGACAGATTAAGCAGTTTGTGACAATTCTGGAAAATTCGTTGGAGATGCGGCATGCTGCGAAGCATCAGTCGCGCCCGCTGAAGGATGACCGGAATATCCTCCAACTAATCAGTGCCGGTATCCAGGTTGCAAAGATTCTTAAGGACGCAGCCGCGATGGATTACCTGGACAGACTATACGTTTCAACCGAGCAACAGATTCAGGAACGAAGCGCTGTGGCGTCAGCACGTTTCCGCTGAAGGACACTCACTCACTCAAACACACCATTGGAATTAGAAACCAATGATAACAACGTTTTACTCTCGAAGCTTTCCAGCGAGCGAGACTTGCCCTCAGGGCCATTTGGGCAATGCCTGGGTTTGCCCCCGAATGATATGTTCACACAAAGATATGTACGAGACCACTGATACGTGGGATGAAATGACCTGTGATTTCTTATGATTTACTGTCTTCGTCGATAGCATAGGGCTGTATGCGGAGGGGAGGCATCTGTCTTACTTTTCGAGGCGCGATACGGTAGTATCTGATTCAGTTCTTGGAGCGGCAATCTCAAGAGTGTTTTTTATTTTTATTTTTATTTTTTGCCGAGTGGGATAGACTTGTCTCATTTTCATGGCAGCGAACGAACAAGAAAAGAATGGTGATGTACTGTTATCTGCTTTTCATTTTTATTTTTTATCTTTCTTTCTGACGCGAGCAAGCTAGATGGGGATTCATGTTTTTCACAATGCTTTCGGGCGGTGATTTTGGGCGGCCAAATCAAAAATGCCATAGCTGGGATTGGACGAATGGACATTTTTATTGTACCTATTGTTGGGCACAAGATATGGAAGAACTTGGGTCGAAGAGTCGCACATCTTATGCGACAGATCTCCCGCCCAGCTATGCAAATATGTGGCGGCTTCAATATAATTCGGGCGCACATCCCTGCAGTCATACTAAACTTTTCTGCCTCAGGCAGACTTTCAGGCCGTTGTGAGATGATAGTTACCTCTTAACTCTTGTGATGATGAATATAACGATGGGGTTCGATCCAGTAAATCTGAAGGACTCGATTATATAAACTTGTCGAGTCCCTGCGCCGAATAAACATATTACGAACCCTCCAACTTTGAGTCCTTTTATCTAGATTTCTATGTAGCATCCATAATCGCCCCTTATCATTGTTCTTCAGGTAGTGATCGCACTATATGCCGAGGCGTTCACGCTCTTGTGTGTATACATGCATAGTAGGTATATAGGTACATAGTACTCCTTTTTCTTTCTCTGTTGGTTTAATATTGTAAGCCAGCCAGCCACAGTCTGTGTTATGTATATCTTCGTATATACAATAAAAACCTGTATAATAGTAGGCATGGAAGTAGGTAAGCACCTGGGTTAAGGCATACTGGTAAGAACTTATCCGTACTATAAAGCACATTTAACACCCTTCAAATATCGTATGTATGTGGTACATAACCGCGCATATACATACATCCATACTATGGTTGCAGGCAAAAGTAAAACTGCCCTGTCAGGTACCCGTGGGGCGAGCTAGACAAAACACCATACTACTTTGGTACTAGTTTGTCATGGATATCCCAAAGGTACATACTCGAAAAGGGGTCTATTTGATATGGTTATTTTTTTTATGTTGATGCTATTCCCATATATTTACTTTGTTTTTTATATTAATAATATCGACAATATGGCTCGACCAAAGGGTATACACACTGCCCAACTGACTATTGAACAACGTCAACGCGTTCGTACACTCTATTATGATTGTAATCTACCTTATAATGAAATTAAAAAAATTACAAAATATTCAAAAAATCAAATCATCAAGGCCTGTCAGGCTGAGACCGCTACCCCCAAGCCTCGATCAGGTCGTCCACGGTCCCTAACCCCCCAACAAGAACAAGAACTCGTTGAATTCGTTACGTGGGTATGTTATGGAGGCCTGGGAAGTTGTGCCTGAATCGTGGCTATTTGAATTAGTATCTAGTATGCCACAACGATGTCAAGATGTATACGACGCCAACGGTAGCCATACACAACACTGAATTTAATCTCTGAATAGCTTCAAGTCTTTTGAATCTTTTAAAAATGATGATTTTTCAGACCCTGATAATAGCCCCATACAAATTTGCACTAGACCATAACAGGCATCGAATATATTACATGATTAGCGCGATACTTATGACAGGGGTTTTACTTACCCATATAACCATAGTATGGGATCCCAGCTGTAGGATCAACACCGAAATCCAAAATAGGTTTAGCGCTCCATATACTTATCACATCAAGTTGCCGTCGGTCATCGAATTGAGCATAGTTCAATATACATAATAGCCAATCATCCAATCAGCCAACGTTAAGCGGTTCATCATAGCAGAAATCTTTAAACATGCATGCTGTTATCCTCAGCTCCTCAAGGCTGGTTCGACGTTTCGACGGTTCTTTAAGGGTGGTATCCTAGAATCAAAACCTATCCGTCATCGCCTATTCTGTCACCGAGCTGTTTCGTCGGGAATTCTTCTGGTATAAGTCGTCGAATAACTATACCGGCGACCCCGATTTTATTTTATTTTAATTCTAGGCCTTATGTTCTTGGCTCTCTACATACACATCTCATATACCTTACCTAGGTATATAACTTACTCTTCTATAACTAGCTATTGTCTTAGTTAAAACTGTTTGCTCGGCTAGCAACTTGCATCATCGTAGTACCGAAACCCCCCCCCCCCACGGCAAACAAAAGTCTCAACATTCTCGTGCTTCCCCGAACCCTCCCAAACCGCACGAGTGAGGAGGATTCGGCGTGGGTAACACCTATTGATAAGTAGATGAGTGATTAGGTTGATGTGCTTCTCGATTGCGATCGCTCCAGACGAGAGACATCACCACCACCATGGCCTCAGTCGCGTCTGCCTCCCCGTCTTCTATTCCCCACATGGAATCAGGAGATGAATCCGACGGCTCGTGGCAGCGCGTAGAGTCTTACTCGGCCTCTGTTGGTTTTATGCCCAGTCCCTCTAGCTCGAGCATGCAAAGCTGGGGGGTCATTGGGATGAATCCCAACCAGATCCAAGCCTCACCCGTTGCCATGTCCCCTCTCCAACTAGAACACGACCACTCCCGCGTGGTGCCTTCTAGTTCCTTTCCCGATCACGCAACGGATGCTTCTGTAATGGCGACCGCAGGCATGCAAAGCCAATTGCTATCCAACTTTGGTGACCAGGACCAGTTCATGGCTGGTGAGCAGGACTTGATGTTTAACGAGCCATTTACGAGTGAGTCCCAGCGCGAGGAGTTGGCACGTCACAATTCGAGCGTCATTTTTAACTCCAATGCTGTAGATATAGATATGGCCCAATATTACTCTACATTCCATGGTAGCATGACCACCAACATGGCGGGGATAGGTGGTTTCGATATGCCGACTCAGACGGCTGAGCTCAACATCCCAGCCCACTTCCAGAACGACAACAACGTTCCTCCGTGGGCGCCTACGAACCTGAAGAACGAAGGGTTCTCGCCGGTGGCAGGTGACGAGGTCATCAGCATAACGTCTCAGTCCCCGGAGCAGCGATCTCCGACGCATAGCTCCCTCCAGTCGAGTCCGAGATCTCCGTACGTCAAGGCGGAACCCGGCAAGGGCGCAAGCCCTATACGCAAAGTCAGGAGCGGCTACAAGGTTGAGAAGAGGAAGGCGGAGGCGTCGAGCAAATTCGTCATCATGACCCCGAACCTCATCCACCAACAGTCGGGGAAGCCGAATCCTTTCGAATGCTTCGAGGCTATGCGAACCACTCAGAGAGGGAGAAAGGGGCCGCTGGCGCACGAGACCAAGGAGAGCGCCCTGCAGGTTCGGAGGTTGGGAGCTTGTTTCTGTTGCCATAGGTGTGTATCTTCCTTTTGCGCATATCTTCTATCTTGTATTAGTGAACGAGAACTCACCCACGTGCTTATAGCCGCAAAGTGAAGTGCGACAAAGAGCGGCCGTGTAAGAACTGCAAGAAGCTCACGGCACAAGTTCCACAGATAATGTGCTGGCAGTTCGGAGACTTTCTCCCCGTGCTATTCCCAGAGTTCATGCGATTGCACTTCAAGAAGGACCAGATAGCGAGCTTCATCAGCGAGAACGTCGAAAGCTTCAAGCCCAACAACGCTGAAGCCACGTGCGCCGTCGAGCTCTTCTCCGGCTCTAAGTTCAATTCGACGCTCACCATCCCCGCCAGCTTCTTCACGCCCAAATCCGCCGAGATCCTGCAGCATTGGCACGTGAACATGGGCATAAACCAGATGGATTTGCAGTCGAGAGGCGCCGCCCCGATCGGCATCGACCCGGACAACTCGACGCAGAGGGAGGAGTTGAAGAGACGGGCTCGCGAGTACATCCAGAACCTCACAGCCGAGCCCATGTACGCCCAGCAGGTGACGGATGCTATCCGGTCAACCCAAGTACCGCGGAAAGTCTTGTCGATTGTGCAGCGCTTCGCGCAGCGTTCCGAGGTAAATCCTAACATCTTCTTACTTTGAGCTAATCCCAAAGATGACGAGCCTAGGCTAACAAGACTCTGTATTCATGTAGTCTTCGCAGGTGGCCATGGTGAAGCGCGCACTGAGCATCTACGTCACACACTACGTGCTCACACGACAGCTCTGCCTCACCGAAGCTACGATCGTCAGCTTGCGAGACACGAACATGGTGCCGCGAGGCAACCCGTGGCTGACGTCGCGGGTGCTGAACCGGCAGGTGAAGGCGGTCCTCGACGAGATGCTGCTGAAGGAGATGCAGGCGCTCTTCGACGGGTTCTCCAAGTCGCTGAAGCCGAAGCTGCGGCGCGAGTGGGCGCCGTGTCTGGCCGCGTTCCTGGTGCTGTGCCTGTTCATGGAGACGGTAGAGACGGCTGCCGACACGTTCGTCATCTCGCAGAACGAGATCTCCATCCGCAACCGCTCTAAACCCGAGTACCGCCGCGACTTTGCGCTCACGCTCTGCCGCGACATCGACAACCTCCCCTTCAAGCAGTTCGCATACCAGTTCCACCAGGTCTACCAGACCCATATCCGGGACACCGGCGCCAAGGCCTTCAACCCCCTCGCCGACGCCAACTTTGCGCAGATGGACGAGCTAGACGGCCCGGCTGCCGAGATGGTAGCCTCGCTGAAGGAGCTGCTCCAGGGCGACGGATGTAAGTTTATTATTTTATTTTATTTTATTTTATTTTATTTTATTTTATTTATTTATTACCTCCTAGTTAGATACATAATTCCAGGTAAAAAAAAAAAAAAAAAAAAAAAAACGAACGCATTGCTAACGCACCCGTGCCGCAACAGGGGCCGAGCTCGACTTCCTCGTCGCGGATCCCATCCTGCCTAACCACGAGGGGCACCCGTTCCCGCGCGACGTGTCGTTAAACTACACGGGCCGCCTGGTAGCGAGGTTTCTGCTGTCCTTTACGGACGAGAGATACCTCTTCGACGGCCAATACTAGGACTGCGGTTGCCTAACCGCGTTGCCTTCTATGCTTCTGTGTATATATATTTGCCAGCGATTGACTTGCTTATTGTACGATTTGGAACCGGAGCAACGGGGACGGCTGGGGAAATCGTGTGTAATATACCCTGGGATGACGACGATGCTATGTATAAGAAAATATAGATTTACGTGTGAGAGCAATAAAGGCATGACATCCATGTTATGAAGCTTCGGCCGTATTGTTATTTGTATCTTTATTATAGGCGCATATTTCTCTGAAATTACAAGCATTGAGTTTACTTATATTTTTCCAAGCGCTGACAATTGCAACTACATGTCTCCTTTTGCAGATACGCAGCAGTTACTTGCACGTATCCAGCATTGCTATAATCCAAGTCATCATCTTCCCCTTAGTTAATTCATTGCAATACTACATTGCCAGCCTCGGCTTGCTTGCTTAAACCCGCAGCTAATATCTAAAGCTGTAATATGCCTATGGTTCAGGCATAGCGCCATGCGAAGCAACCGTCTATACCGCTAGGTCACTACACGTGTAGAGTTCTATCCAATAGCAAACACCAGTAGATGGGGTAATGCCTTTGGGGATACCGATTCGCCTACCGAACACATGCGCCATTCGGTGGAGTTGTAAAGCTTTAGGGTGGAATTGAACTACGATTAGCTATGGCAGATGCCACACGTGGAACTCAATGGCCAATGAAGAAATGCAAAAGCCAACGTTACAACTGCAGGTACTCGTCTAGAAATCTACCCCCCAAAGATGTCATGTCGCGATGTCGTGTGGGGAGACGGGCCCGGTATACGAATATAGACGAAACCCGCGCTTGCGTCCGTTTGTAGTATCAACTGCAAGGTCCAGCCATGAACAGAAGTAGAAGGAGGTTAGAGCAAAGCCGATCTAATCCTATTTCTGAACTCTGGGCAGCTCTGGTGCCGGTAGGGCTTTATGGATTTAAAACTCGAGATAGGCTGCATGCTCGGGGCTTAACTCAGCCTCAAGATCGGCAAACTGGTGCGATAGATTGCATGATTGCATGATTGAAGTGAACAAGGGACTCGATTTCCTTATATAGCACACAGGCAATATCAAGTTTGGCAGAAGAGTTAAAATACTGCCTATAGATCCTAAGATACTGTACCAAGAAACGATTGATGTGTCTTGTGAATGGCTATACTTCAGTCCAAACAGCAGCACGTTGTAGAATTAATAGGAGACAAGATGAGAGAGTTCAAATCTAGTTGATTCTCCGCCGCTAGATTTAAGTGAACACGGCATAAGAGATAGGTCCAGTAGGGTGACGTGAATATTCATGCATTTCCAAACAAGGAAGGCGGCTCGTGTCAGTCCCTGGGAGACCCTTGTTCAAGTCGGCCAAACCCCAGCTTGTTGTCTGCCATGTGCTCCAGGACCATGTCGTGAGGGAATGGAGAAGCTGAGTGTAGCATCAGGCAGGAGAGAAACTTGGCAAATGGTATATAGAAGATGGAAATTCCCATTCAGAGTCCTGTTTTGATGGTCCAGGTCAGCCATTTCGACTCTTGGCCAAAGTAGAGAGAAAATTGTCCATCAGAATGTCTATCCGGAAGAGCCTTGCCACCACAGGGTTGGCTTTGCTGATGGCAACTACCATTCCAGTAGTGAATGGTAGTCCTATCGAGCACCTTTTACACCTGGTGGCTCGAGATCCTCCACAGGCGCTACCGGAGAAGGCTACGGCCAACGACAAGAAGTGAGTTTTGGATAATTTCTATGGTTAAGTCTTATGTATGATCACGAGCGCTGAACTATATTTAGATGGCAACCTGCAATGGACTTCGATACCGATGGGTGCTATAACACGCCGGCTATCGATGCGAACGGCAACATAAATCCAGGTCTCGACCATGATAACACTGGGTTGTCCGAGGACTGCCATGACCCCTCAGACCTCGCCAACAACAATGTGTACTCTCGAGCGCGGTGTAATAATGGATGGTGCGCATATCTATACGACTACTACTTCGAGAAGGACGTTGCCCTCGCCAACTTCCCCTTCGACCCCGGACACCGAAACGACTGGGAGCACGTCGTCGTCTTCGTCCAGAACGACGAGGCCAAAGTGGTAGCAGTGTCGCAACATGGCGGCTACCAAGTCAAGAGCGCCAGCGACGTTCGATGGGACGGCACACATCCTAAAGTTGTGTACAACAAGGACGGGATCAGCACGCACGACTTCCGATTCGCGAATGAGGGCGACGATAAAATCGAAAACGACACTGGAAAGTGGTTCTACGGCGCGTTGATCTCATACAACGGGTTTCCGAGCACCGCGCTTCGAGACAAGCTTGTAGCGTACGATTTCGGCAGCGCTAACATCGCGTTCAAGGACTCGAGTTTCTCGGGCCAATTAGAAAAGGCTCGGGGCGACCTAGTACCGGGATTTGATAGTAATGTAGATGACGGTTCTCCTGGAAACCCGTAGATGGTCAGGATTCGCGGTATACAAGAAGTTATATAGGTAATATTATTCCAATGTAAAAATAGACTAATTATAATCTACTCGTCAAGTCAAGTCAAGTCAAGTCAAACTAAATAGGTAGTTTCCCGGTGAATGGCGTGTTTGTCCTTGTTAGTCCCGCTACCGCACTCATTCTACGGCAGCAGGGTGGATTGGACCGGCTGTCTAGGCCTTGGATCATTCTCCCACGTTGAACGATAAAAAAGAAGTTGACGCTCCCGCGCATTGAGAGTCGCGAGAGGTAGGCAATTTGTGGGTTATATAGGTAGGTATATAATAAAATCAACTGTGCTTGAATGTCGAGATATAATCGATACGGGACACTTGTCTACCGATCCCATGGAGATGCGACGAGATAGAGCTCATAACGAATGAATTAATTCGATAGCAGCTCTTACTGATCCGTAGCCCAGAAAGATTTCAATTATGATATCTTGGTTGTATATGATCTTCAGAATCTGAAAATGCGACTTTGTTGATGAACGTTGTTTGAGAAGGAAAATTTTATAAAGAGGATCCAATTTGAAGTAAATTGGCCAAGTTAGCGGGTCCTGTCTGATCACATGACCTGACTTTCAATCCGCCTGCCTTTTTCTACGGCGCCCGCTTTCCCGACTTTGACGATTTCATCCCTTTTTCTTATTACACACATCGCACGATTAATCAACCGGTTTACATTCGCCCACTTGCTATCGGTCATATTTGCGTGCTAGAATGATTTGTGCTTGCTGTCAATTGTTTTTTGTGGTGCTTACTCTCCGGTGTATCACGCTTTGGCGGCACACGTATATCAGTTCGCATTTTCTTGCGTAGTTGTTTTAATGTATTTGGTGGGCTGGATTATTCTCGATAGAGGGTAATGCGCTTAGTGAATCGAAACCATAATTCGTAGAGCATACCAGCGGTTTGATTTGAAGACTGGGCGGATAGCGAACCGTAACGGTTACTGCCGGTGTCCCTCGGCTACGGGTTTTATCTTACGAAGCACCAGATGGAATTATGTCAGATTAGTCAGCCATGTTAAGTAACCTGAAAATCCTTAATCTTATATAAAATAACGGTATAACACGCGTTTTTACGATTTTACCTGAATTAATTAAATTATTATAAATATCATTAATTAAACTTTATATATTACTTATTTAATACGTATTAATTATATAATAATTAAAAGTTTTATATATTTAAATTATATAAATTTTAAAAATAAAATTTTAACCGATATTATATAATATAATATATATACGTTAAAATAAAATTTAAATAAATTATTATTTATTTATTATTTTATTATAAATTTTATTATATTATTATTAAGTTTTAAATTTAAATATATTAAATAAAATTTAAACGTTTTAATTTTAAATTAAACTTTATTAAATTTAATATTAAAGGTTTTTTAAATAATAATGATAAAAAAAATGATTTATATTAAAAGTAAATAATATTATATAAAATAAATATATACGATTATAAATAATATTTATATTAAAAATATAATTATATGATTAAAGTTAAAGTTATTTAATATATTAACATTAATTTATAACTTTTTTTCGAATTTTATTAAAGTTACGAGATTAAATTCGACTTATAAAATAAAGGTTAAAACTTGAAAAAAAAAACAAAATAACACGAGTAAAAATTAAATCTTAAGCTTTAAAAAAAAAATTTCGCATTACTTAAGCTATTAAAGTTATTAAAGCTTTTAATTATCAACTTTATAATATAACTTTATAATACATCTTTTTTAATATTTTAAGTATTATTAAATTTTAAATCGTATTTTAAATAAATTTATATGCCGTGTAATTTAATTAACTTAATTAAGATTTATTAATTAAATATTTAATATTATTAAATTATATCTTTTAATTATATAAAATCGTATAATAACAAGTCCGATCGTAATGTTTATTATTAAATTAAATATATATAAAGATTATAATATAAAAATCATGGTATAAAGATTATATAAAAGATTATTATACGGTTTTACCTTTTTTACAATAAATTTAATTAATTTCATTTTTTTTTATCCCGGTATCGTATAACCCTTGTAAATAACCTTCGTAATTAAGTTATTTACTTTTTTTAATATTTTAATATTAACTTAAATAAGTTTTAATATTGATTAAACTTTTACCTTTTTTATAATAAACTTAATAATTTATTAATTAATTAATTAATTTACCTTTTTTATTATTAACTTTTTATAATTAATTATTTCGTATATTAAGTATAATATAACTTAAAAAGTATTATATTGATGGTTGTGTAACACTGACATAAAGGCACCTTACTGATGATAAGGTGCCCTTATCGCCGATAAGGAAGGAAGAGATAAGATATCTAACTTTACTGGATAAAAGGGTCGGGTATTTACTATTATTGGAATATAAGAATACGCTATACCTAGCTAGCTTCAGATAAATTCTTCCCTCTTTAGACATTTTAATACACTAATCTTAACACCATTGTTTTATTTATTATTGCTTTATTGTTATTATTGATATTCTTATTTACGTACGTACCTACCAACATATTGAACTGGTGCTGGTGTATCAGGTGACCTTAATCCTGATCATGTGATCATATTCTTAGTATAAGTACCATTTATGGTCGCACACACCCATTTTACATAGCATCATCCACTTTTAATACAAGTCATTCCTTTCATTCATTACCACCATTTAAAAGTCCTTGATATCAGGTTTAATAGGGCTTGATCCAAGGCTAAGACGTCTAAGTCTTATTTAATGGCGACCCTTAGCAACTTAAACCCGCAACACCAGTCTTAGAAGGACTGTTATCATCGAAAATGCCTCATCGTGGCCTGATCGGGTGGCCTCCCACAGTCAATAAGGTCTACAATCCCATAGCCCACAAGGCCCACGATAGCTTCATCGATACCCTTAGCCGATAGCTTGAATATAAGTTAAATAATCTGATCAAACAATTTAAGCCTTATATCAATCATATCAGCCTATTTAGAGATATTTGCTTATTAGTTAATTTAATTATGTTTTAATATATCAGTTAATATATACAATACGATATAACCTCATTTATAACCTTATTAATAGCTTTAACAATCACGTTACTTATTAATTAAATCAATACGATCTTTAATACCAATATTTTTATACCTTAAATCGAAATACAAGATATAATACGATTTAAAAAGCATTATTATATTAAGATTCAATTATTAGTTTTAGGATACGTAAAGGTTATAACGCATTTTAATTAGTTAAATATTAAGAAATAAAAGGTAGCTTTATTAAATACGTAAAAGAATTACGGGAATAAGGTTGGTAAAAATACTGGTAATTATTACGTTTAAAGTTATGTTTTAAGTTATTTAGGGATAGTATATAATGCTTTTTAAGTTATATTATACTTAATATATAAAATGATTAATTATAAGAAGTTAATAATAAAGAAGGCAAGTTAATTAATTAATCGATAAATTATTAAGTTTATTATAAAAGAGGTAAGAATTCAGTTAATATCAAGGCTTATTTAAGTTAATATTAGGATATTAAAGGAGGTAAATAACTTAATTACGAAGGTTATACAATATTGGGATGAGAAAGGGAATAAGATTAATTAAGTTTATTACAAGGGAGGTAAAGCCGTACGACGATCTTTTTATACAATCCTTATATTACAATCTTTATACATATTTAATTCGATAGCAAGCATCACGATCAGACCTGTTACTATACGATTCTATATGGCCAAAGGACATAATTCAATGATATCGGATACTTAATCGATTCTAGTTAAGTTGGTTGAATTATACGGCATATAGATTCATTTAAGATACGATTCAAGACCTGATAATACCTAGGATATTGGGAAGGCTGTACTATAAAGCTGATGATTAAAAGCCTTAATAGCTTTAATAGCTTAAGTAGTGCGAAATTTTTTTTTTTAAGGCCTAAGATTTAATCTCCACTCGTGTTGTTTTATTTCTTCTTTTTTCAAGTCCTAACTCTTGTTTTATAAGTCGAATTTAATTTTATAGCTTTAATAAAATTTAAAAAGAAGTTATAAATTAGTATTAGTATATTAAATAATCTTAATCTTGATTATATAATTATATTTTTAGTATAAGTATTATTTATGGTTGTATATATTTATTTTATATAACATTATTTACTTTTAATATAAGTTATTCCTTTCATTTATTACCACCATTTAAAAGTCTTTGATATCAGGTTTAATAAAGCTTGATCCAAGGTTAAGACGTTTAAGTCTTGTTTAATATATATTGTTTTTAAATAATTTAAAATATAACTTTAAACGTAATAATTATTAATATTTTCGTTAACTTTATTTTTATATTTTTTACGTATTTAATAAAACCATTTTTTATCTTTTAATATTTAATTAATTAATATACGTTATGGTTTTTACGTATTTTAAAATTAACTTATAATTAAATCTTAATATAATAATGTTTTTTAAATTATATCGTATTTCGTATATCTTGATTTAAAGTATAAAAATATCGGTATTAAAGATTATATTAATTTAATTAATAAATAACGTAATTAATAAAATTATTAATAAAGTTATAAATAAGGTTTTTAATAAAACTTTTAATAAAGTTATATCGTATCGTATATATTAACTAATATATTAAAATATAATTAAATTAATTAATAAGTAAAATATTTTTAAATTAATTAATATAATTAATATAAAGTTTAAATTATTTAATTAAGTTATTTAATTTATATTTAAATTATTAATTAAAAGTATCGATAAAGTTATCGTGGATTTTATAAATTATTAATTAAGTTATAATAAGGTATTTTCGATAATAACGGTTTTTTTAAAATTAATGTTAAATTAATGTGATGTCACATCGTTAAAAGCAAAGGTATTATTATGTAATCTTAAGTCATAAGCCATATAAAAGTTTAATATTTATTATATTCTTTTAATTAAATAACCACGATTATTATCATTTAATTATGCATTTAATATAAACACATTCGTTATTTTTTTATATTTATAACTTATAACTTTATTTTACGTATTTATCTTATATATTTTATCCGATTAATAAATCTTTATAATTCTTTTAAAATATAATATTATTATTAATTGTTTAAAGTTTTTTACAAAGATTTAAACGTTAAAGTAATATATTATACTTTATAAAAAATACCAACTCTTATTTAATGTTACGGGTTTAAATTGTTAAAAATTATTATTAAATAAAAATTAATATTTTTTATAAAATATAACATATTACTTTAACGTTTAAATTTTTATAAAAGGTTTTAAATAATTAATAATAACATTATACTTTAAAAAAACTATAAAAATTTATTAATCGAATAAAATATATAAAATAAATATGTAAAATAAAATTATAAGTTATAAATATAAAAAAATAATAAATATATTTATATTAAATGCATAATTAAATAATAATAATCGTAATTATTTAATTAAAAAAATACGATAAATATTAAACTTTTATATAATTTATGATTTAAAATTATATAATAATACTTTTATTTTTAATAATGTAGCATTATTAAATAAGATTTAAACGTTTTAACCTTAAATCAAGCTTTATTAAACTTAATATTAAAGACTTTTAAATAATAAAACTAATGATAAAAAAGGAAAGAATAATTTATATTAAAAATAGATGATATTATGTAAAATAGATGTATGTAATTATAAATAATACTTATATTAAAAATATAATTATATAATTAAGATTAAGGTTATTTAATATATTAATATTAGTTTATAATTTCTTTTTAAATTTTATTAAAGTTATGAAATTAAATTCGACTTACGAAATAGGGGTTAAGACCTGAAAAAAGAAGAAATAAAATAATACGAGTGGGGATCAAATCCTAGGCCTTAAAAAAAAAAAATTTCGCACTGCCTGGGCTATTGGGGCTATTGAGGCTTTTGATCATCAGCCCTGTGGTATAGCCTTGTAATACAACCTTCCCAATATCCTAGGTATTATCAGGTCTTAAATCGTATCCTAAATAAATCTATATGCCGTATAATTCAACCAACTTGACTAAGATCCACTGATCAGGTATCTTATATCATTGAATCATGTCCTTTGGCCATATAGAATCGTATAGTAACGGGTCCGATCGTGATGCTTGCTGTCGAATTAAATATGTATAAAGATCGTGGTATAAGGATCGTGGTATAAGGATTATATAAAGGATCGTCGTACAGCTTTACCTCTTTTACAATAGACTTGGCTGATCTCATTCCTTCTCTTATCCCGGTATTGTATAACCTTTGTAATTAAGCTATTTACCTTCCTTAATATCTTAATACTAACTTAAATAAGCCTTGATATTAATTAAGCTTTTATTTCCCTTATAATAAACTTAATAACTTATTAATTAACTAATTTACCTCTTTTATTACTAATTTCTTATAATTAATTATCTTGTATATTAAGTATAATATAACTTAAAAAGCATTATATTGAACTGGTGCTGGTGTATCAGGTGACCTTGACCCTGATCATGTGATCATATTCTTAGTATAAGTACCATTTATGGTCGCACACACCCATTTTACATAGTATCATCCACTTTTAATACAAGTCATTCCTTTTCATTCATTAGTTTCATCATTTAAAAGTCCTTGATATCAGGTTTAATAGGGCTTGATCCAAGGCCAAGACGTCTAAGTCTTGTTCAATATATTATTTTTAAATAATTTAAAATATAATTTTAAACGTAATAACTGCCAGTATTTTTGCCAATCTTATCCCTGTAATCCTTTTACGTATTTAATAAGGCCACCTTTTATTTCCTAGTATTTGACTAGCTGAGATGCGCCATGGCCCTCACGTATCTTAAAACTAATAACTTATAATTAAATCCTAATATAATAATACTTTTTAAATCGTATCGTATCTCGTATCTTGACTTAAGGTATAAAAATATCGATATCGGGGATCGTATTAACTTGATCAATAAGTAACGTGATCGTTAAAGCTATCGTTAAAGCTGTAAATAAGGCTCTCGATGAAGCTTTTAATGAGGTTCTCGATAAGGCTATATTGTATCGTATATATTAACTGATATATTAAAACATGATTAAATTAACTAATAGGTAAATATCTTTAAATAAGCTAATATAATTAATATAAGGTTTAAATTGTTTAATTAAATTATTTAATTTATATTTAAGTTATTAATTAAAGATATTAATAAAGTTATTATAGATTTAATTATTAATTAATATATTATAAGCCTTATAAATTATAAGATTATAAACCTTATTAACTGTGGGAGGCCACCCGATTAAGCCACGATAAAGCATTTTCAACGATAATAACAGTCTTTTTAAAACTGGTATTACGGGTTTAAATTATTAAAGATTGTTATTAAATAAGATTTAAACGTTTTAGTTTTGGATTAAGCTTTATTAAACCTGATATTAAGGACTTTTAAATAATAAAATTAATAATAAAAAAGGAAAGAATGACTTATATTAAAAGTAGATAATATTATATAAAATGGATGTGTGCGATTATAAATAATATTTATATTAAAAATATAATTACATGATTAAAATTAAAGTCATTTAATACACTAATACCAGTTCATTACATTAGTTTAATATAAAACGAGATGTTTATATTATTTATTTAAAGTTATTAATTTTAAAAATGGATAAATTTTAATAATATTAAATTAATGTTAATGTATTAAGTAATTTTAACTTTAATCATATAATTATATTTTTAATATAAATACCATTTATAATTATATACACCCATTTTACATAATATCATTTACTTTTAATATAAGTTATTCTTTTCTTTCATTAATTTCATTATTTAAAAGTTTTTAATATTAAATTTAATAAGGTTTAATTTAAAGTTAAAACGTTTAAATTTTATTTAATATTAATATATATAAAAATTATTATATAATTAATACGTATTAAATAAACGTTATATAAAGTTTAATTTATTATATTTTTAATGATTTAATTAATTAAGGTAAAATTATAAAAACGCGTGTTATATCGTTATTTTATATAAAGTTAAAAATTTTTAAATTATTTAATATAATTAATTAATTTAATATATTAAACTGGTGCTGGTATATCAGGTGACTTTGATCCTGATCATGTGATCATATTCTTAGTATAAGTACCATTTATGGTCGCACACACCCATTTTACATAGTATCATCCACTTTTAATACAAGTCATTCCTTTTCCTTTTCTTTTATCTTCACCATTTAAAAGTCCTTGATATCAGGTCTAATAAGGCTTGATCCAAGGCCAAGACTTCTAAGTCTTGTTTAGTATAATACACGTTTCTACAATTTTACCTAAATTAATTAAATCATTATAAATATCATTAATTAAACCTTATATATCGCTTATTCAGTATGTATTAGTTGTGTGACAAATTAACTGGTATGTATAGTAGGCCGAGGTCAGCCTCAAATCAACCCTATCTCTCAGCTTTGCCGTGCCTTTCACTAAAGGTATTGTATCCTGTTCCACTAAAGGCCACGTCCTGCAGAGAGGTATCAGGAACACCTAAACTATAACATCTAAGGGGATGATTAGCTGGAAGCAAGAGGTAATGAGTATCTATGTAAATACGTAGATAGACCTACCAGGTTGTGCCCTATTATCCTGTGTCTAACTTGAATAACTAAGTCTAACTTGAATAACTAAGTCTAACTTGAATAACTAAGTCTAACTTGAATAACTAAGTCTAACTTGAATAACTAAACCCATAGATTCACTCAATGGCTACACCAGTTCCTCTTATAAACATCTAATTCAGTAAGATGCTATAACTTTCATTAGTTAACATCTTTTTCTTAACTTAAAGAGTACTTTGCTTTAAGACGTGTGAATAGAATAGTATACCCCGGTCTTAATACCTTCTAAAAAGAGACCGGCCATGGAACGATTTCTATCCGAGCTGTTTTGCCCATTCCCCGCATCTGGTTACCACCAGGAATACGGATACGGAATTGGCCTTACCAGCCAGTGTACCTACCTACCTACCTACCTACCTACCTAACCTAAGTCTATCAATATATGCAAGCTAAGCTCCTTTGCTTTAACCTAGGGTTTTTTACCTTAAACAGCTACACGAGAAGCAAAACGTAAACATCGACAAGTATTTAGCAGCTTCCCACGTCGATATACATATAGGTATATCCCCACCCGACAACAACCCGTCGTATACTCGAAATCCCGCGGAACAGCGAAATAGCTTAGCTATAGAAATATTTCAGTTAAAATAAAAATAAAACCCCCCCAAAATCGAAAATGGTGACCACCCGCTCCGGCAGCAAAGCCCACACCACTCCCACCACTCCCACCACCTCCTCCTCCTCCGGCGCACCGCCCAAGCTCTGGGCCCACGCCCCCTCGCAAATCACCCTCTTCTGGCTCGCCCTATCCCTGCCGCTCGTGATCTGGGACTCGGGGTACGTGCTCCTGCGGCCCCTGACGATGGAGGGCGGGCCGCTGCACTGGCCGCTCTACACGCCGTACAAGCTCTACGGCGAGGTCGACCACGTCTACGGGTGGAAGGCGTTCCACGCGCGCAACGGCTTCACCTCCGCCCAGGGCGCCCTCAACGTCGTCGAGACCGCCTTGTACCTCGTCTACGTGTACATCTACCTCGGGTCCGGCGCCGCCGTCGCGGGGCGCGCCACGCGCGTGTTGAGCGGCCGGCCGGCCGCGCTGGCCATCGTGTTGGCGTTTAGTGCGGCGGTTATGACTTTGAGTAAGACGGCGCTGTATTGTAAGTTTGATGGTTTTTAGTCTTGGGTCTTATATATATATGCGGTTGTCTGTCTGTCTGTCTGCCTGTTAGTTAGTTGGTTAGTACAGCTTGCTGACGTGCCGCTTGTCGTTTAATAGGGCTTCAGGAGTACTTCTCGGGTTTCGACAACGTTGGGCATAATAGCATGCCGGACTTGGTTCTCATGTGGATCATCCCCAAGTAAGTAGTCCCCCTTTGCAGTGGCGTCTGGGGTCGGCTTGATTAACATGGTATAGTGGCTTATGGCTTATTTTTCCCTCTTACATCATCTACGTTATGGGAGGTGAAATCATAGATGGACTGACAGCTGCCTCGACCGGAACTGCTGTCAAGTCCGAGTAAGCGACTAGTTTAGTTATGAGCGAGAGATACCTATTTGAGTTCAGTGAATATATGAGTCGGGTGTATGGAATCCATAAGTGGGCGTAATGGCTTAGTGATGGGATATACCCAAGTCCTGTCGTAGATTGCAAGGTTAGATGTTTATGTATATTACAAATTAACAAACTAACATTTGAAGCTTCATTCGGTCCAGTTGCGAGTGTCCCGTATCCTAACTTGCCTTGAATGCTTTCAATGGCACAAATCTTGCACGCCTAACGCACATTACTCTGGGCCTCTTACCTACTAATTATTACGCACCAAACTAAAACGCCTAACGAGGAGGCCGAGTTCTCCCTAGTGGGTATCACCATTAACCATAAAAGGCGTAATCTATAGTCCCTTTAACAGTCCTTCATGTACCTCATAATGCCATCTCACCTACTCTATAGGCGTACCATCGGTGTTGGCCTACACCTCGGCGGCGGTCTGTGAGGTCCCCGGGGTCTCAACTCGGTCAGGCCACCGAGATCGGTGTATTGCTCCCATGCGGGCTGAATATCATTCGCCATCCAGTTAGTAGCCTTAGCTTCCATGACCTTGACGTGGTTCCAGGTGGGGACTTTGGGAGCCGGCATCTCGATGTGAGGCGCGACACTATTCACCTTGTGGATATCACCCGGTGCGGGTTCCATAAATTTCCGGGAGGTGCCGTCGATACTCTTCGCCCGCCGTCTGATCAGCCCGCAGGAGGACTTTGACGTGAGCTCTCCTTGGCGCTTTCGTCGAAATGCGGCGAATGAAGACCCGGGACGATTTGGTGGCGTCTCGCGTTTGTCATTACTATGTCTACTCTGCGCGCTCTTCCTGCTGCCATAGTGGCTGCTTTGTAGAAACGGGGAAGTTTCCGCCTGGCTCTCGGATACAGATGTTTCTGGTGTCTTCGCGATACTCCCATCCTCAGATGTCCTTAGGTCAGAAATACTAGAATAACGAGAAGGCGACGTTGATGCTGGGTCCTCTTCCGCAATTGTGGCTTGCACCTTTGGCGGCAGTACACCTGTTAGCGCGTCTTTAATGTCATTTGTTCCGTTGCCGTAACCTTGAACTACAATCTCGTGATAGTGCCTGTTCCAAGGTGACTGGGCAGTCCTATTCTGCGGCTTGGTAAGTTTGGTTGATGGACGTCGGGTCGTCAAACTCCGGGACAGGCTCCTAGAAAGGCTTCCCTTCCAACTCGCTGCTCTGCGAAGTCGCGGGCCTTTATCTTTAGATTCGTCTGTGGTTCTGTCGCGATGGGTAATGGCGAAATAGTCAATATCCGGCTTGATCTCGAAGTTACACTGGCAGGGGGACGATCTTGCAGAGTCCCAACCTGTTGCTGAGGGCGATGTACTGTGGGCGATATGGATTGTTTGCCTTCGAACTAGGTCGTGTACCGGCCGTTCTTCATCCCATGGTGGTAGATCAACCGTAGAGATACAGAGATGATATGGTGCTTTAGCAGCGTCCCGAACCTCGGGCGGAATCTCTGTTGCTTGGCGGAGAGCCTGGTAAACCGCATAAATCAAGATCCAACGAACTTTGCGACTGTCTATAGGACCCGGATTTTCTAACTTGCCTGCTTTAGTGGGAGGGTGGACTAATTTCTCCTCAAATTGGCGATATACCCTCACCAGCCCATTTTTGAGGAGTTCGGGCTTCTGATTTGTAGCCTTTAACAAGGCCGAGCGCGTAATTTCTTGTTGTCTTTGATTTGTTCTGACCCGTTTTTCTAACCATGCGACCTTTTCCATATTTTCTAGTGATACCCTTGGGAGGAGAGGGAGAGGGTGAAATAAAGTCTTGAATTCATGTCTCAGGTCAAACGATTGAATACTTTGCCATGTACAGACACCTCCTTCCGCTAAGAATGGACTATTCTGGGTGTTGTCAACACTCTCATCAACCAGATACTGGAAAAGAGCATCGAAATCTGCCCTCATAATCCGAAAGATGTCTGCTTCAAACACTGTCGTTCGGGAGTCAACTGATGGTGGTGGGTATGAACCAAATTTGGCGGCGTAGAAATTGTGCAATAGAGACCGGAATTTTTCGAGATGCGATCGAGCTCCAGGATACAAAGACAGGTGTGCCTCGGCCAGCTCATATTGGAGAAAATTTCCCACCAAATTTGCACTCTGACCCAGTCTAAGATTCATCTCAACTCGAGCACAACGGATGAGCTTTCGAGTTACAGGAGATAATAGCTATTTGTGTCAACAAACTTCCAGAGACAAGGGAACATATCCACGAACCTGATACTCGGGAACGGTAGGCAATTGGTCGCTCATGCCACAGCAGTGTGCAAAAGCGTTTATATAGGATTCTCTCAACCGGAAAACCTCCGAGAGGTGTAATATAGCTATGGCATGAGCAGGGTTGCTTTTAAGATTGAGGTAGCCTTCCTCGTCTAGGTAGCCCATAAGATCTCGGACATTATCCACGGCCCTTAAACGGAATTGATGCATGCTATGCATGAGAGCAATTAGAGCAGCCCCTAGATTTTCTCCAACCATAGACCTGCGGAAGACGTAAGCAACGAAGTTTCGGGTTGCTAGGTGGTATTTATATGATTGATGTTTATCTGATCGAGGAGGTGCTGGAATGAAGAGTTCGATACGACTCTGTCTTGCCGGGTCGCCGTTCTCTTGAGCGCAGCCCGTTGGCATTATGATATCTCGAGCCATGAATCTATCGATGAAGGGATAGCAGGCTGCCTCCAGGAACCCAGAGAAAGGCACCTTGAATGCGGGACCCCTACGGCTTTGCCCTTGGCCGTATAGGTGAATATAGCAGTTTCCATCGCGATACCATAGCTCGGGATCCTACACCAGTCTTGTGAATATATATATCACAGCAGAACAGGGGATAACTCGCAAGCATACCCTTTTCAGGTTATCCCAACCATTACTCGACATTGAAGCGCCGTCCCATCTCACGGTGCCAGGCTTTTGAGATGTCCGCATTTCCGCAATTTTCTCCGGCTTCTTTGTTTTCCAGCCTCGCGATCTATTCGAAACCCCATTGTAGAGAGATAGTTCTCGCGACAGTGGCTCGCCCGGTTGGCATCCGGAAGGGTTGAGTGCGGGGTGAGGATCGCTTGCGTCTGCCATCATGTGTGTCGTATGTTTTCCTATCAAGCTCGACATCTAACGCTTAGAACATGGGCTAACTATGAGCGATATCTCTAATGTTCCAAAGTATACCCTGCGAACCTGATAGATCAAGGCTTGACACGCCGTTAGATTCTCTCACGTTTTACCAAGGAAGTCATAATTACAAGTCCCCAGGCCTCGCCGTAGTATCGAAGATCGAATTAGAAGACACAATAAAGTGCGTGCGTATATGAAAGCGTCAGGCATTTCTTACTCGATAAACTTTGTCCAAACCAAAGGTTACTCCTTGGAAATATGAGCGAGACTCTCCACGCAAGCTCGGCGGTTTCAACTCCCTATTTCGTAACATGTTACATTTCGGGGACCTTAAACGCCTGCGTGTTGGGCTAGTGTAAACCATGATGTGGTTCATTGACGATCCGTTGCAAGCCACCGTCTTTACCAAAGAGTCGGATACAATACCGAGCTCCATGTAACTGAAGTTATATGCTTGTTTAATCAACGAGCCGCCATTGAGCATACAGGATGATTCTTTTAATTTATACGAAGTGCTGCTAATAATATGACGAAGGCCTAGACCTATGGGTAAAATCTGCGAATCTTGTTCTTGAAGTATAGGCAGCCAAGATCCTAGACGACAAATGCACGCGACAAATGCACGATAATGCATGCAGTTCTCGGTGCTCAGGTCAGATTTGAATTGTATATCATTACGGCATATAGCAGGCAGTTACCCCAGTCGTCCAATATGAATCATGACAATATTATGCATCTGCGGCCGTGAAGTTCAAGGCTGAATAAATCGACTTACAATCGGATTTGGTAGTAATTGCAAGGAATAAATATACCATGAGTAGTTAAGTGATATACTAATCATGTATAGGTATATATATCAGAATCTTATCTTATTATGTGAAATAGCTGAATTATCATTTCTCGTCTAGAAGACGAATGAGACTATTGCCAATCGGTTTGACGTGTAAGGGAGAAGTTATAAGTTATGAGATCACAGTTTGAAGTCAAGGAACTTAAACATACAATATATCTTATCGATAAGATAAAAGCCGCTTTAAGAGCATAAAACACCGAATATTACATAACTCTATACCTCATATGTACCTAAGGTACCTAAGATTGGCATTCACAAGCTGATGTCGTTTGCTCAAGTTGTTGCATGCAAAACATACAAAAGCTCCAACACCTTTTTGACGCGCAGCCGCTTGGAAGCAGAGCAGCGTCGCAGGATTCTATCGTTTCAGTAATTGGACTCCGATTGCTGTCTTATTTTTGGTCCGCAGAGCTTGGGTGCATCTTGCGGCTGAAATATGCCGCCTTAAGACGTCTAGATGGCATCGTTTGTTCCTTATACCTACATACAATGTCCCTGTAACGATACCGCCATCCGCACCCGTTCCGCAGATGGTACTTCCTCTCCCTCTTCTCGAGATTCGCCTGATGAAGACGACGAGCGCACCTTCGATCCCCGTTCGCCCCGCTCCAATTACAGCTTATATCCCCTAGAATATCTGCTGTACTGCGATGTGTGCCATCAGATCCGCTGCCCGCGATGTGTCGCCGAGGAGCTTGTGACCATATACTGCCCAAACTGTCTCTTCGAGGTTGGGAGCAGTAGTATAAAGACGGAAGGGAACAGGTGCGTATATATACTCTATTTATATATTCTAGAACCAGTCTCGACGTATCATGGCCTTCTAAGTAATACTAATATATTTTACCTAGATGTACTCGTAGTTGCTTCCAATGCCCAATATGTATAGGACCACTAGCCGTTCAGTCCCTCGAGTCAGCACCCGAACCATCACTCCTAACCGCCGAGAGCGCAAGCGCCGCACCTCCGTCTGGACCATGGATTCTAGCCTGCTCGTACTGCAACTGGAACTCAGCTGAGATAGGCGTCAAATTCGACAAGCCGCAGGGTATATTCTCCCAACTTTCTAAACTCCGCCACGGCGATGACCATTCCAAGCACTCTTCTTCGACCGGAGATGTTTCGCCCAAGAAAAACGACGCCGTTTCCGAGACGGCCTCGGCGAGATTCGCGGCCATGAAGTCGTTCTACAACGCCCAGAACAACACGAATTCGCCCAATTCAAGTAGCTTATCCAACTTGATGGACTACGGGCTCAGCTCCCCCGGCGCTCTTACGCGGATCATGAACTTATACTCGGGCAACAGCGCCGGCCTCGGCAAACCCAAGGCCAAGTCGAGCATAATGCGGGAAGCAGATTCCGCAAGCGAGGGTTTCCGTGTCGCCGACCTTGACGACAGCGCAGCTATCTCAAAGCTGCGCCGCGACGGATGGGACGGTACCGTCACAGGCGACCAGTCACGGTTACAAGTCGAGGAAGGCGCCCGCTTTGCCAACGAACTCTGGCCGATCCCATACCTATTACGTACGAAGCGCTCAAAGCGGTGTCCTGTATGCCGGCACATCATCAGCAAGCCCGAGTCCAAAGTAGGCAACACGCGATGGCGCATCCGCCTCGTCGCCAACAACAGTATCCCCTCCATCTCCATAAAACCGCTTAACCCCACCCCCTCAACGCCGGGAACTTCAGACCTTCTGGTGCCCCTCCAGCCTGCGCAGTTTCTCCTAACTTTCAAGAACCCCATGTTCGAGGAGATCAAAGTCACGCTTGCGACGCCGGCAACTACACCCGGACGCTTCGCGTCTAGGGTGACGGTGCTATGCCCCCAGTTCCATATCGATGCCAATACCGATACGGACATGTACCTAGACGATGTCCTGAAGGACGGCGAAAAAGGCGTAGGGCGAAAGCGGGGCGACGAGAGTACGTCGCAGCAGGCGGAAGCAGGCAAGATATGGGAGAGGGGCCGAAACTGGGTTAGTATCGTGGTGGAGGTGGTGCCCGCACCGCTCCGCGTGGAGGAGCGCTCGAGCTTTTCCAAAAGTAAAGGCGACGCTGGGTCAGATCGGGCCCCGCTGAAGGAAGACGAGGATATATTGGAGATACCCATGTTTATACGGTTGGAGTGGGAAGGCGACGTATCACAGGATCAGGTAGGCGCTGCGGCCGGCAAGGAAAAGGATACGAGGGAGAAGAAAGAACTGGCGTACTGGTGCGCCATCGGCATTGGTCGGATCAGTCAGGAATAGCTAGATAATCTACGATACCCCGAAGACACAAGCAAATATGAAAGGAGTCACGAGTAAAGATATCAAAGGCAATTCATTAAGTGTGATATGTCATCAGAAAACCAGCTTGTCATTTAGTCCACAAGCTATCTAGACGCCGTGCCAGTAATGTAGTTTTTGGCCCACCAATTTGCCATGCTATCATTCCATGAAAGACAATGCCAAACTCTCTTCCCATACCAGCCCAGATAACGTCCGCTTATCCCTAGTACTCGGTGGCACCGGACTGGGGGAACTCGAAGGTGACGGTTCGGCCCGTCAGGCGACGGTAGACCTCGGAGTAGGTGTCGAGTCTGTAGTCGACACCACCACGCTCCTTCTCGTCAAGGATGACCTTGAGGAGCTTGCTGTTGTCCTCCTTGGTGCGCAGACGCTTGCCGACGATCTCGACGGGGTAGACGAGGTCAGTAAGGATGGCATCGTGGACAGCAGTCAGAGTTCGCGAACGGGGTCGCTTCTGCTTGAGGGTGTTGCGCGAGCGGGCAGAGCGCTTGGGTCGGGGAAGGATGCGGCGCGAGGCGAGGATCAGGACATGGCGGTCGGAGAACTTCTTCTCGAGCTCACGAGTCAAGCTATTATAGTAACGCAATGGTTAGCAACCGTCTTTCGATAATCAGGTAGGAGTTGATTTCTATGTCTGGGAACTTACCGCTGCTGAACTCGGTGGAAGCCCTGGAGGGATGGGACGGGGACAAAGATGACGATAGCCTTCTTGCCGTGGCCGACTTCGATCTAATCAAGACCCAAAAGTCAGCAGGCGAGCTCCAGGAGACACGATAAATATTATGTGTTCCTTGGACCGCTTCCCGTCCTATTCCACTGATATTGCTGGATATTTTCCTATGCCATTCATACCGAACTCATCACGATTCATAGACGAGTCGTTTGTAGCAAAGAAGAAGTTGTCCGATCGGATCGAGGAATAGGGCCGGTCTGAAGCAGTCCCAGGATAACCGGTAAAGCAGGGAACTATTCATACCTCTCGGGCAGAGACGAACTGCAGGGGTCGGAGGGCAATCTTGAGGTCGGTAGTGTTGGTCTCGAGGTCGTAGAGAGCGCCAGCGATGCTGGTCTCGAGCTCGGACGGGTTCTGGCGCGACGGGCTGTTGGGCGCGATCTTGTTAAGAGAGGCACTCATGATTGCGGTTTATTTGTCTTCGCTGCTAGAAGGAGGGGAACGAAGTCGCAAAGGAGCGGAGGGCGGTTGGTTGGTGGGATGATGTTGAAAGTTTTCGACTTGAGGGTTGTCCGAAAATTCACACAAAATTCAATTCGCGGTGGGAATTTGGGAAATCGAGCTAAGTTGTGGGCAGTTGTGGACAGTAGCGCTTGGGCCACTCAGGGTTTTGTGGACAGAAGCGATTCTCTCGGGATATCTTATCTGGAGATCCACTATATTAAAAGTGTGGCTTATCCGTGGCTCCGTAGCTTCGTGCAGGTGGCTAGAGATACTTTGATTGGATCCATGGATTGGAACTTAACCCCGATTTACCTAAGCTGAGGTTCTCTCGGCTGCAAAGTTGACAATTCCAACTCATAGGTAATTAATTCTAATTACCATTCCATCCCTTGCCTATCACATCATTTGCTCTGTCGAATGTAACAATGTAACATCTGCATGTAATTTATACGCATTAGGGTTGCCTTTTTTAAAATTCCGTACTTCGTGAGAAGTGATCGTTCCGAGGTTCTTAGCCTTGGACTTTGTGCTTTGATATCAAGTTGCTTCCAAGCCTTCCCGCGTTTCGAATACCTCTCGGCCCGTGTAGAATATCACCATGGTGTGATAGAGACGAATTACCGAGATGAGCCACCTGCGATATTAAAACAGCCAACTTAGAAGCAAGATAGCCTTGTCGATAAAGCCTATTCTGATCCTAGACGTCAAACTTCAGTTGCTGTCGCAATCTATATATCACTAGGTAGTCACGCCGTTTGGTTTACCACGGAGTTGATGATATATGTAGGTACCTAGGCTATGGTCTTTTGTAAGACTTCTAATGTTGTACTACTCGCGGGCCGAAGGGCTGGGTATGTAACCATCAATCACCGCGTACCTACATATACAAGTAAGGGAGTGTAATTCGTCTACAACTACCTATACAATACGACCTAAGTTAACGCGGAGATCGCGGTTCATAGAAGATAGGTACCTACCTAGCTTTCCAATTTACTATTTACTGGGTTAAGTCAGACCCAGCCTGCTGGTAAAGCCTCCAACTATGACACGAAATATTGGATATCTACTATGGACATGGCTACTGCGCCTCCATATCGCTCCCGGCCTCTGGCCAATTAGACGAATGTGATGTTCCTAATTTGGGATATCCTCTGCAGCTGCTGAACTGCACAACCAACCCAAAGGAAAAGGAACCAACACTTACTTCTGTTGACCGGGACCTAATACTGCCACGGCACCCGACGGGGCTTTGTATCTGTCGGTCTTCGTATTAAGCCCCGATCATCCAACCTTCATATGATCGACTGACGTTTGCTCCAATCCCTTCTGAAGGTGTTGGCAGCAATGCATCCATATATCACTTAGCCGAGCCAGAAGTGACAAGCCACATCATATACCGGATCCTATACTGTTTGTTGCTTTTGCGACGACCCCACGGGAGAGTGTTTTCACTCCCTTTCTCCTTTCTCTATCAGCGGCAAAGGTCATTTCATAATTCTTAATCTACCCGTTGATAGCTCGCTCATTCTCGCAATGTCAACAACTCGCAGTGACCTTGGGCTTTCGTGCCCGTCCAAGGGAAAGTTCTATGTATGCGAAAATGCAAGCATCCGCTTCATCGGCTGTTGCACCGTTGACCCTTGTGCCGACGGCAGCGGACGGTGTCCCCAGAATGATTTAGCAGTGGCAAGCTTTTCATCAGATCACTACGATAGTATACCGGGACAAAGCTGCGCTCCGCCCAACAACTCCAGCAGCTGGTTTACTTGCAAGGGTTCGCAACCTTTTATGGGATGTTGCAGTATAAATCCGTGTCAAAATGATGGGTGCCCAACATCAAACCTACTCGCAGCAACACTAAGTGACGATGCAAACAACGCCGAGGTCTTCCTTGCTTCCTCGTCATCTACGCCCAGTTCGAATTCAAGTTCTGGCTACCAGCTGCCTCTAGGTGCAATACTAGGTATATCTCTGGGGGGCGCGGCGGTGATCGCAATTCTTCTCGCGATCTTAGCATATAGGTGTGGTTGGCTAGCAAGGAATAGGAAACATAACAAAGGCACCGATGAAGATATAAATCATTACGGCGCTCAAGGACGTAAGTCTATTACTATCGCACGTATACGTTCACTCAATGCTAACCAAGAAGCAGCCAATTCCCCCGGTATGTCTCAATGGCAAAATGGAAATCACTCCGGCGCTCCAAGCCCAGGATACCCAAGTCCTGGTTTCTCGACCTATTCTCCCAACCAGTACCAGCAAAATCCATATGTACCTCACTCGCCCCAACCGACGGAATCCTGGCACGGAGATGACAGACATGTATCTCAGATATCCGGAATGAGCGGATGGAACTCGATAGCGGAGCACAAGCATCAATCCTACTCCCCGTTACTAGGACCGCCACCGACGGAACTCGAGGGTCGTGATACGGAACGCCCCGTAGTAGCTGAACTCCCAACGTCTCCACCAGAAAATTATCGGTGATGATTTCTTGGCATAGGAACGATATAGATGGATCATAGTAGTATTTGGATTGGAGTTAGGGATCGGGACTTCCGGTATGCATTCTAAAATTAGTGTATATAAGACAGTGGCACCAGTTGAGGCGACGCCACATGTCAATACTTTGTCAGACAACGACATAATACTGTTTACCCCAAAATTAGCGGTGTAAATCTCCAACGTTATAGGTTAGACAAATCCTAAGGCGTGGGTTTCCGTCAGGAATCCACTAGTAAAAAGCTCAGCCGCATAGAATTTGGAGAATTTCCAGCCGAGCCTCATCGTTTGGCTATCTGGGTCGTGGCACAGCATTTGACGTTTATCTTACTATCCCCGACTCGTCTACTTATCCTAGGACTTTGGACGATATTTACTGAAGTGTCTATATTGGTTGTTGTTGTTGTTGTTAGTGAAATACCTAAACTGGGAGCACCAAGTCGTACAAGGATATCAGGAGTGAAGATCACGAGGATAGACTTGGATGGTATTACTCGAGCAGAAGCACCACACCCCCAATGTCATGGCATATTATCCTAGGACTTTATCCTAGAAAACGGAGAAGTAGTCTACAGCATACATGCACGAGGTTCATATATATGGACTAGCTTCTCAGTTTTCTAAAGGCTATGGCATTGCTATAACCTACTCGGTTATTATGTACCCAAGGTAAGAACATTCATCACCATACGTTATATAAACGACCTTATTCTCTTAAGGCTAAAGGATCGTCTTCCATGCAGACAACCCCCAACCACATCCGCGGGTGTCATACAAAAACACGGCGCTAATATTGTAGGCTATACGTGATGACATTGCTAAGTTAAATACGAAATGTAGATTACATTCAAGTCATATGTCTCATGAATAAAGCCCCGAAGAAATGTGGTTGCGGTAGCTATAGCTCAGCTGCCCTAACCAAGGGTCGGATACCGGTACTGGGGTTTTTCGTACATAGGTGACAGCCCAGAGATCTTCAGTTTACCCCTTTTCTCTTTATTGTATTGGGTAAGTTGGTATCAAAGTCACAACCTTGGGTCAAATCGGGGTAGCAGACATGGTTATATATCACTTCACAGCACATATTCCATCTAAGCCGTAGTTGATTTTAGGATGTTAGTAGCCACCGTAATAGTTTATATGATTATAGGTATGAACCGATCCGGTTGTCAACTCATAATCTGTTCCATCTACGATCACTCCAGTACCTGGTACTTGAGCTTGAATGAATCAAGGCGAGTAACAACGACCTTCGGGCGGGACAAGCTGGGTCTCTTCACTTGGATACTATACTTGCGTCAACCGATGCTGAGTTTTGTGCTAATTCATGTCTATATGTTTTATCTTATGCATAGTATCATCTCCACTCAACTCCGCTTGGCTTACAAGCGCCTCATGAAATGCGATGAGTCCGTTCTATTACAAAGTCCCCAGGACTCCACATAGATGCACCAGATCGATGGTCTAACGCAAGGCAATCCCTCTATATTCTAACTCCTCTACGCGCCGAAGACCTTGTCGTAGTCGGTCATGGTGAACCGGTACCGAACGTCAGATTTCTTAAGCTTCTGCACCGTCGTGGATAAGTTTTCCGCGCTGAGGGGCACCGCCTCGACCCAGGACTTGATCCCCTTGTCTGCAGCCAGCTGCAACATCTCCAGCATCTCACGCCGGCTTCCCAGATGCGACGAGCCAATCAAGCAGCCATTGGTGACGAGATCCATAGCCTTTACGCTTAGTCCTTCTCCTTCGGGTAAGCCAACCGAGATCCACTTCGCGTGGACGTCGAGAAGGGCGAGATAACCGCTTAGGTCGAAGCCTTCGCCGGTGCTGTTTGCGGTGCTGATGATGAGGTCGAACGACAATAGGTGGTCCTTGTTCCAGTCCTTATCTTGTGTAGCCAAGAACCCGTCGGCACCCATCGCCTTCGCGTCCGCCTCCTTGCTATGTGTGCGTGAGATGACCCACGTCTCAGCGCCTAATGCTTTGCTGAAGAGAACGGCGAAGTGTCCTAAACCTCCCAAGCCTACGACACCGACCTTCTTGCCGGGTCCGGCACCGTTTCGCACTAACGGGCTATAACTGGTGATACCGGCACATAGCATCGGCGCGGCAAGGTGGCTTGGTATCGCCTCTGGGATTGGGTATACCCTGGCAACAGCAGTTAGGAACACTCGATCTACTAGAAACATTCGCACGTTCGACTATTCAAATACGCACCAATATTCATGTGTCCTCACGTGGGATGAAAAGCCACCCTGGGTCACGATACCAGTATCCGGCCAGACAGCACCATAAGTATCTACCCATTGGGAGCAGTATGTCTCATTGTTGTTTTTGCATTGGCGACAGCTTAAGCAAGACCACGATTGGGCACCAACACCAACACGCTGGCCAGGCTTGACAAGAGTGACCTTGGGGCCAACCCTCAAAGCCTTGCCGACGATCTCGTGGCCGACTGCCAGTGGGAAACGCTGAGCGCCCCAGCCACCGGTGATAGTGTGGACATCGCTAGCGCATACACCACAACAATCGATCTTGATTTCTACATCGTTATCGCCGAAGGGCTTGGTGTCGAACTTGTTCAAGTGGAACTGGGTCCAGGTGTCGGGCGACTCGACTTGGAAACCCTCGTATTGGTCGTTTTTAGACATTTTGAGATATAAATAAGGGTTGGGTGCTATCGTTAGGAGGTAGATACAAAAAAATTATAGGAATACCTACTATAGACGAGAGGTTGATAGAGGGGTTTGTAAGTTGATATTTGAAGCAACGAAAGCAACGAAACCCCCACCTATGAATTCCATGAATTCCCCTCCATCCCCCCCGGTCTAGAGAGTATCCCCAGTATATCCCCCCAAAACCAATCAGCCTTTTATCCACAATAGGCATAGAACCGGTACTCTTAGCGGCGTGTCTACTCCAGTTTCGGAGCAATGCTAGAAGCATGAATGTCTTCTTCGCTAAACCGGGACCGAACCCAGTCATAGAAGCTGTATCACTTCAATATCTTTGGTCAGTCAATCTGATTGGAGCCAACCGAATACGGTATAATGGTATTAGCGATGGGTCGGAGATAGAGCTAAACCCCACGACCTAAAAACCGTCAGTGCGGTATTTCATCGTACCGAGTGATTCGGAAAAATTCTTATTATTGTGGGTTCCAAATGGTTTGTTGTAAGACCTCTTTGAAAAGGAAAATTATTTGGCCTTGATTGTTGGGGCATAGTACCGAGAATAGAGGGCTCATGATTGGTGCTGTTGGGATAGTAGGTAGTAAAGGGTGATTTGTCGCTTCGAATTCCTTAAAGGACTCCTCAGGCCGACTTTTTCGTCTTTGCCGGGGATGATACCCCCAGCCCGACCCCGGCGAGAAACGCGATCCTCATTGACGCGCCTAGATATACGAACATGACGTTCCCGTAATCGATGGGATTCCAACGCGTCACGTCCCAGTAGACCCAAGATCCCAACCCGCTCACGGAGTAGAGGTGGCCGAAGTCGGCTACTAGTAAGACGAACAACACCATTCGCCATACCCGGAGATCGCCCGTAGACCGTAGTACCAGGGCCTCGTTAAGTGCGAACAGTAAGTAGAGGTTGGCGAGCTGCGAGAGAACGACGGACGTCCCGAGAGGAACCGGCGTCTCGGCATGAACTGTCATAGAGAGATATTCATCCTGCCGGAAGTGCGCGAAGAAGGCACCTACGAGGGCGGATATAGGCTCGACGATGAGGAAGAAGGCTCGGTAGGCGAGCGGGAGGACGGACTGACGCGGGGCCATCTGCTTGCCTTGATGTTGGTAATTTTGAAATTATATATTGGTAGTGAGGTAATGAATGCTAAAGACTAATGCTAACTAGCAAGGGAGGAGTCAAGAAACAATTCCTACGTGTTCCGTTAATGCTAGTTAATGTTAATGTTAATGTTAATGTTCATGTTCGTTCCATAGAACCAGAACTTTGATGGCAAGTAAGGGGCAAGTATGTAAGGGGGAGGAGAATCTAATTGCAATTGACCAATTGGATTTTCCCAAGCCCAGTTAGATTTTCTTTTTCTTTTTCCTAGTTATTCCATTAAAAGGCCATCGGTTTGGAACAACCTTGTTCCCTTTGGATCTTCAATCAGGTCCCATCTACGGTCCCGTCTTGAGCTAGAGCTTCATTCCCAAGGATTCCTGTGCCACTACAGTCTACAGATACACTACAGACGCTATTACATGGCTTCTCGCCCTGACTTGGGCCGTTCTTCCGGTTTCATTTCTTCCTCATGCATGTTGGAACTTCTAATTAATGATGGTTAGTAACTACAATCGTGATTGGGAGCCTAATAAAGTAATATACCCAATTCTATCCCACCTCGCACCTATCTACCACCAGAATGGCGGTAAGACTCCTACCTTGCTAAGAAAACGCGTCGGGTGTACATATGCTACCCCCTAATTCGTACAGATAGGTCGCCCTAACCTCTAGGTGAGCTGGTAGTCATAAAAGCAGCGTGCGTACCCGTATGTTGGGAATAAGTCTACGCCGGGAGTGGATTTCCCAGAGGGTAACCTGTGCTAGATGTTTAGGGGGTAGAGACAGATATGCCAAGTAATACGGGATGTCGCATATGCATGCATGACACATGAGTCTCTAACAGTGACATAAGCCGGTACCGTATGATTCATATGTCAAGCCGGGCCCGGATTATGACTACGGCCCGCTATGAGCCATCGGCAACATAGTCGTGATCTTAGCCCATTGAACAACGGCGTTGGCTTCTGAACGAGAGGTTCGGTCCGCACTTGCATACCCGGAGTTCCAGCTGGTAGATGATGGTGACACCGGTGGTAGGACACTTCATTTTTGCAATTACGAAGCCCATTCATATATTACGGCTACATGACATGATTTAGATCCTACATCCTATACGTCTAGACGACAAAAGAGTCTATACGCGTTGGGCACGATTGGGAAGACATCACTTCAGGTTGCAAGTGACATGAAGTGATATATAGGGACTGACATGTGATAGATACTCGCTGTAAAGCGTCTACGAGGTTATTGTTGGCGACGTCGATGGTGATGTTGGTTCTTCGGCTTACGGAATACGACTTTTTGTTGCGCGTACATGTCAGAGAAGAAATATTTCTGGCCCATCATATCCTTACTATCAGTTGAGGGGAAGTCTAGCTTCTCCGTACTTGTCAGATCGATACTCGGCAGTGTGATTGCCCGTTAGCGTCCTGCGTGGTGATTCCTCAACAGCTTTCGCCGAGTTTCCTGACAGAGTTGGGGTACCCATACAGTCCATCTATTGGTCTTTATTCGACTACCGAGGGTAGCTTAATATCGACGAGAGATGATGAAAGGCGACTATCATCTATCTTGTGTACTTTATAGAAGTCTCTCAGGGAAAAAGCGACTGAAGAGTCGTGGTGAACATGCCCTCTAAGCTCTGTATTTAAGGATGAGGGCTTGCTCCTTAGGAATGGAGGTTGTAAGAAGCCAGAGAACTCGGGTTTCTAAGAGAGCAGCATCAACCAGAATTGAATTCAAACACTCATCATGAATCCCCCAACCATAAACGCATTTTCTGGCGCAGCAACCTTTGGTGTTGAGTTGGAGCTCATAGTTCTTTTTAGAGGGGCTGGCGTGGCTCCCCTAGAACTCGAGAACGGAAAGCATAGCCCGCCTACTCAACAGGTACTAGAGGAACCATCAGGCTTAACTGGAAACGATTCCAATGACCATGAAGTTCATATGGAAAGGATCCACTATTTTGGAAACGAGATTGCGAAAAAGCTAGCTGGTGCTGGAATACCGACAGTCTATCGAGAAAAGGGCCACCCAAAAGACGACAAGGCATTGGATCCAGACGACGCACATGCCCGGCTAGGGGACTTCGATGATTTTCGGTATAGTTCCTACAAGGAAAGCAGTATTGTTCCTGAGGAGACTATGATAGTATGCTTGAGAATTTATTACCACTAGTTATATTGACTTATACCTAGATGTTTAGGTTAAGGGGCTCTTCTCGCAACATGACAGAAACCATCCTTCAAGTCTTTGCTTGAAAAGAAGCATATGCTGACTCTAATCATTACAGTGGACCGATCCAACAGCTAAGGGGAAGCGTATGGCTGTAAGGCCCCAGACGCCTCCAGGCCATTTCTGGCTCGGCTTCGAATTCGTTAGTAAAGCATATCGATACAGTGATTTCGACATCATGAAGTCAGACTTCGATAGTGTCTGTCGAACTCTACGCACGAACTACTTGGTCAGCGTGAATGCTGGCAAAGATTCGGGGTCTGCTTCGAGCCGTTGCGGCACCCATATCCATTGGGGTCTTAGTGGCGCAGAATACGATCTGATAACTATCAAGAGGATCCTCACCCTGATGTGGGTTGCAGAGGAGAAACTGATGGGACTGCATGCGTCCTGGCGACAACTTGCTAATAAGTATGCCGCGCTACTACAGACAGGGACGAACATGGCAACGGACAATGCTCCAAAGCTCCCGAGCTGGATCGATGACATTGGAAAGGGGGGTTGGGTCCATGAGATGGAGCAGAATGTCCCACCAAGTGTTCAAGAATCCCTCCACCGGCACAAGCCAAAGGTCCAGTGGCTATGGCGTTCTGAGACGGTGGAAGAGCTTGCGATGCTAGTCGGCGAACCAAATAAGTCCCGTCGAGCGTCAATCGGTCTCATGGAACTGCTGCCAGCAACCTCGAACTTCCGGGGGAAAGTTCGCCGGAGCCAGCTAAACACGATCGAGTTCCGACACATGCAGGGCTCGCTTCACCCAGCATTGGTCACTTCTTGGATCGAAGCAACTGCTGCTATCATGCAACCATGTGTCGACTTGTCGCCGGATCAATTCAGAGACTTGTTGAATGATATAGCAATCTATCTTTTCAGCGAAAACTCGACCGTCCATGGATTACTCAATAAGCTCGGAGTTTCACGGGAAGCTCGTGACGTGTTTGAAAACTACGACCAGCGGCGCCTGGATGAAGAAGCCGACCCTGAGATATCGGTGTTCTTGCCGGAGCTATAATGTTTTTATGCAGTTTCAAGTTGTACGATGGTAGAGTTAGTAGTATGACGAGACACTGAGACTTCACATTAAGAAATGAGTTGGATAGGTTAGCACGAGGTTACGACATCCAGATTGGCCCTCTATGGCAAATATATCTATAGCCTGCAATACCAATACACTATGACACACTCCGGGCGAAATAGAACTGTTCCTCGTGTAATCGTGCCCATCTGGTCATGTTAGGACGGCAGCTCGCAGCAGGTGGCGTCCAATCGCGGCACCGAGATACACTAGATGGAACATGATTCCAGGCAGCTTCTGTCGCCAAGAGCATCTACCTACCCCGACTTGCGTTTGGCGAGAGGGACATGTGTAACATTAGAAAATCCGGGGCGGTAGCCCCCAGATACAGAAGCAGGTAAGAACCAATGATATATAAAGGGTTGTGAGCTTCTGATGTTCCGACTTTCTGCTCTGTATACTTCAGCCTGTCCACAGCTGTCCTACATTCTGCCCACTTTAAGTAAATATTCTGGCCTCTGATAGATAAGCCATGGCTTCATCGTTGGAGTGTGAAGTTAAACAGACGGTGGATCCAGAGGGAATGCCACCTCTAAGCCCAACACTATCCTCATTGAGCGAGGATGCTGAAACCGTGACGGGAGCTCGACGGGAGGTCAACGAGGACGCTCTTTCTATCCTATCCAAAGAATCTTGCCCAGACCACGCTGGGCGCAAGACATTGTACGTTTATAGATACTTATAATACTATGAGAAGCAAATTTCTGACCAGGAGTAGTACCGTCCCGATCGACGAGCCAGCGAAGACGGTGTACGAAGCATGGGCGGTTCTTGACAGCGGAGGCACCGTCGACAAAGTTGCCTGGAAGACGTTCTGTGGCATCAAGTTCGGGGGTAAATGGAAGAGCTACAACGACGGATTCCTGACTATCGAACCCCTGACATCTTACGCCCAAGAAGAGTTGGCCGAACTGCACGAGAACGCTATTCAAGAATACGGTGCCAAGAGCTCTAAGAAGGGAAGATCATACGCCCAGGACCTCGCCAACCGAGTCTTCCGTCTCAATGCGGGGGTGTATAACCGAATCCAGTTTGTCATAAACAGCAAGCTCAGGTCAACAAACAAAACCCCATTCCGCCGGCGTGACTGGCAAGTCGTAGTTCTCGAGGAGGGCGAGTTCCAGATGACGGAGCTACTCCCGGAGCGCAAGAAAAAAGGCCTGTTGCGTCGCCGCCAAGAGAAACCGATCGTGCTTAAATACTTCATCGTCCTCCGGGGCGAGGAGGTCAAGTCGGCGAAAGAGGGGGACGGCTGGCGGACGTTCAACCCTTACTCTAACCCCTGGTGGCGAGTTGATGGGCAGGAAACCTATGAGGCGCGCAGAAGTCATCGCGATCACGTAAAGAGAGTCGGCCAGGCACTCGGTGGGAGCCGTGGGCCTATCGTTCGCAACGTGGGGAACAGGCCGAGAGTTTAACGTTCTACATAGGTGTTAGATGTTTAGAGCTGAGTCGAGTGATGACACTTTCCGGTTTCTTCACTTTCAAATGATGCGACGATACACATGGATGATGCGATGAGACGTATGGATCAGTTATACGGGTTATGGAACGATATGACGGGGCTACAGGTTTACGGTTTTACGATTTCCAGTGTCGTTAGGTCAGGGGGATTAGGGATGTGTTTGGAGGAGGATTATGAAACTTTTTGCCGTGACCGTTCTAAAGTTGAGACAAGGTCCTTGGTGTTCATCCCGTTTCTTTGTTCATGAATAGGATGGTATTTTCGAAAGGGTTCATATTATTGCTAGGTGTAGGTACTTAAGGTACCCAAGGTAGGTATGTAGTGATCAACCAATACCAATAGCTTATTAGATAGATACGCTTCCAATCATTCCTAGCTAGAAATAAATCACCAACTATGCAAATGGAAGCATCCAACGGTTGTTAGTTGGCACCGGGGATCCGTACAAGACTTAGGATTCGACGGGAATCCGACGGAATCCTATCACGGGGCTCAGCAAGGCGACAACATATAGTGAAGATTTAGTGAAGATTAAAATAGAGTCAGTGTACAATGTGTACAATGGTGTACAGTGATTGAATACGTCATGAGAGATAATGTGGCGGTTTATGAGTTGAGGATGGCATCTTATACATACGGAATACGTAACAATGCAATTATTGAATATTGAAATATGGCATTTCTATGGCATTTCCATCTAAGCTCATCTAAGCGCACCTGTCATTTAAAGTTCTGTCCTGAAACTGCCGGTACGAATATGTATGTACCTGATCTGAATTTAATTCTTAGGTACGTACAGGTCCATACATGTCACATTCTCCCTTTGATCCCTACGTACCCTATGTACCCTATGTACCTTATGTAGGTACTCATTAAGGTGGTATACAATCTTCAGCAGCTTTCCATTGAAACCCCGAAATCTCATCCGACTATACTGTCCTATTATATTACAGAGAGACATTAGGGCCACGAGCTAACTAATTTATAGGTTGTTTATAGGTCGTTTATAGGTTGCTCTTGTACTGCAAGTCAGATAAGCTAGAGATGAAAGATGTGAATACTGACCATTAGCGGCCCCCTGTCCGCGTATTACGGGGATCCCCGACCTTTGCTTCAGCTGTAGGTATGTACATAATCCGTACTGACTAGCTGCATCGGCTTATCGTTTTTTTTCTCCCTTCGTCATCATCCTTCCGCTAGTAGTGACCTGGACCTATAGTGACCTGGACCTACAGTAATGACTGTTTTTCATGTACGAAATTATGTGCCGAATGCTGCACCGCTTCTCGACAAATGGATGCAAGTCGATCCTACTTGAAATAGAGTAATGGATGCTGCGTAAGGCAGGAATAAGAAAGATATTGGATGTGGAATGGTTTAAGGTACTGTACCAAGTCAGGTACAGTTCTGGTTAATCTTTTCCCGCACTCCACCATTTTTTACCGAATACATACCTGGTACCTAGGTAGACCAATGCCCAATGTGGTACCTCCACTCCGTACCGTTATTTCCTGGCTGCTAGGAACAAAGTGCACCTATGTGTAGACTACCTACTTAATATAGAAAGACCGTGCAGCTATTCGTTATGACTAGACTTTAGCAGTTCTTTCCTTTTGCGTCTTTCAATAGAAGGTTATACATTGCACCTGACTCAAGAGCCTTAGGGGAGGCAAACAAAGGAGAAAAGAAAACAATAAAAAGGGGGCGTGGGGTAGTAAGGAGAAATAACCCTGGGGGTCCAGGATATCGGGAAGGTACATACAACGTACATTAGCGTAACTTTGGAGTACTTTTTTTTTTTTTTTTAAATAACGTAAAGCGTAAAGCGGGTGCTGGCATTTGGACCTTTTTTTTGTTGTTGTTGCTGACCAGCCACAAAAAACATTAAAACTTCCTTAACAATACCTTACTACTTATTACTTACAGCTATTTTATACGGCTTACATTCTTTCGCCTCGCCGGCGCATTGTTTACTTTACGTATCATCCGTTCTTTCTCTCCTGCAGTCTCCTTTCCTTTTCAACTGACCGCTGAAAATATATTATTTTTTTCTTCTTCATCTTGCCGTTTTCGCATTGTTTGTCGCTGTTATTTTACTGTCCTTTTTGCTGGAGCCGCTATTTGATCCACCTCACCCTTCAGACCGAGACGACCTATCCGCGTTTTCCTCAAATTCGAGCATCGAAGTCCCCTTCCGATCTTCGCTATGGTCATGTCTCCCTCTAAAGTCCCTGCCCAACCTGGGCCCTTAGCCGCCATGTTCCACGATCCCACGCCGTTGAGCGCGAGGTCGTTCTCTCATGATACTGGTATAGAACCGGGCATTGAGGAAGAACCGACCACTCCGACAAGTGCAAACCCGTTTCGTAAAAGTCGTAATGGAAGCGTTTCTGGGGAAATGATCAAGGGTAAAATCAGACGCGCATCGCTATCTATAAAGGGCATCGTCCGTCGTGAGCGCAGAGTCTCCGAGTCAGCTGCAGAGAGCAACGAAATACGTCCTACCACTTCGCACTCGACTTGGCACAAATTGAGACAAGCTGCTAGTTTTCGACATTCGCGTACTTCTTATGGCGGCCCCGGTACCCTAGAGACGATTTATTCCCCTCTCCAAGCCGAGTTCCCTAGCCATCCGGTGCCTGGCAACGGCCTTGAGCCCCCTATTATTCCCTGGCACACGGGTGCAGCAGCTAAGGCGGCAGCAGCTTTGCAGAACGAGTCTCTCGGTCACGCTCGATATTACCAAGAATTGGTCTCGCTCGCCGAGTCACAGAATGACCGCGAGAGCGGCATTGGAATTACTTTCACTACGTCTATGTCTCAACTTAATATACATTTGGAGGAGAGCGCGCCGATAATCAGAAAGGATTTCGTAGCACAGCTACCTCCTGAGCTAGCCGTGCAAATTTTGGCTCATTTAAATGCTGCCCAGCTAGCGGTTGCAAGCAGAGTCTCCAAGCTTTGGCATAATATAGCACATGATCAGCAAATCTGGCGACAGTCCTTCCTTAGGGAAAAGACGGGCACATACGCTACTGGCCACCCTGTCCAACCCGGATCCGGCTTTGGCGTGCCCTCGCTTCGCTCTCAGAGAGATTGGCAGAAGATATACAAAGCGCGAGAAGAGCTAGATGGGCGATGGAAATTGGGAAAGCAAGCACGCGCAGTCTTTTTGAACGGGCATACAGACAGTGTTTATTGCCAGCAATTTGATGAGTATGAATTCAGCCCCCAGCACTAATGATTTACTCAACTAAACGTTTACTAACGCGTCGAATAGAAACAAGATCATCACTGGTTCTCGAGACAAGACAATTCGAATCTGGGATATGCATACTCTCCAATGTCGTCTTATCATTGGACCGCCGGAAGTCGTAAACGATTCTTCACTTCTATTCGACCCGACGGGCCACCCCACACATTATGCCCTTTTCCCTAACGAGGCATCAGTGAGCCCTTCGGTTAGCCCTTCGGTTCCTGTCACCGTCTCATTCCCAATTCACCACAGTGCTTCTATTCTATGTCTCCAATATGATGACGAAATATTGGTAACCGGCTCTTCGGATTCAAGTTGTATTATTTACAATGTGCGCTCAGGATACCGACCTGTTCGACGCCTTAAGTTTCATACCGCAGCTGTTCTTGACCTGGCATTCGATGATAAATACATTGTAACATGCTCTAAGGACTGTAGCATATGTGTTTGGGACCGAGCTACAGGCTCTCTAATCAAGCAACTAAATGGTCATACTGGACCTGTCAATGCGGTACAACTACGTGGGAACACCTTGGTATCTTGCTCTGGAGACTTCACCGTGAAGCTTTGGAATATCGACAGCGGCAAGGTGATCCGCGAACTTGCCGGCCACACTAAGGGTCTTGCCTGTAGCCAGTTCTCCGAGGATGGCCGCTTTGTTGCGTCTGCTGGGAGCGATAAGGTTATACGAATCTGGAACGCCAATACGGGTGAATGTCTTCAAGAAATACAAGCCCATCAAAGTCTCGTGCGCAGCTTGCATATCGACAGCATTAGCGGACGTCTCATTAGCGGTAGTTACGATACGGATATCAAGGTCTTCGACATGGAAACGGGCCAACAACAGTTAGACTTTCCAGGATGGCACGCTAGTTGGGTGCTGAGTGCAAAGTCGGACTACAGACGTATTGTCAGCACTGGGCAGGATGCTAAGATCCTGATTATGGACTTCGGTGCTGATGTATCGGATATTAGGATGCTCGAGAGCACTCGCAAGTATGAAGCTGCATGCGATATTTGCGACGCCGGTTTCATATAAGATATAAGACCAACGGAAACTATGCATACTTGGTGGAAATAATATGTAATTACGATCAACGTGCGAAGTACTGGTATCCGGCTGTCTCACAGCTGCAACAACCAACAATCGACGACTTTGGTTTTCACGAATTTCCTTGTCACGATACCGTTTTACTATGTCGAGGGGGGTTTACAGGTTCTATTTGCGAGGGTACGGAACAGGAACAGAGAAGTGGCATTTCTTAATGTTTTTTTTGTGCATCGCAAAGCATAGCCCGGCGTCTAAAGTCCCTCACGGGAAAGGAGACATATCAGTTGTTTTCCCCCAATCATCAACTAAATCATATTAGATCCCTCCAATATAAGGGATGGAAAAGAGAAAAGCAAAACATAGATCAGGAGTTCGGATTCGCCAGTTATTATTCCCGTGTTAGAAGCAGTCTATTTCTTGCTTCTTTTTGATGTCTTATGCGGCAATCCTTCTTTCTTGCCCATACACGTAATGTATTGCATTGTATATAGTTTGCACTGCTGTCTGCTGAGTACATAATCAAATATTAAAATTCCTTTAACTAGCCTCCATTGTGTCTTTGATACTTAGATAGGTTGTAGGCACGAAGCGAGCTAATTCGTGTTTAATATTTTGATAAAATTGTATGAATTCCTTCCTTATAGGAGACTCACTTACCTGAGTACATACCAAACCGTCGAGACCGTGGCTACAAGCCATGTTGGCTCAGATCTCGTTCGGGAAAAATGACTCAAGTGGCTCATTTTTGTGGTCGATATTCAGCATAGACCAGATTCCTCAAAGCATAGACATATTTGATAAAACTATTAAATGAAATACTGGATAAGGAGGTGTAAGAGCTAGTTAAGTAGATATATTTATCTAGCGCTTTAGGTTTAATTCATATAGTGCCAATGATAGAGTTAACATATTCGCCTGTATTACTTACCAACCTTATATATAGGAGCATCACTAATAAGACTACCTACCTAGGCTTTGGCAACGGCTATTTTGTGTTTTCTCTAAAGGAAAAAAACAAACGGTATTTTATTTCCTTACAAACGGGGGCCTATTCAATATCTCGTAAGCAGTAGTTAGCGGATACAGACAAGACAAAGGATAATTAGCTACGTCGACTTAGGTAGTTATATAACACGATCTTCGTCTTGAATCGCTGGACGGTTACGAGTTACGTTGGATGGACTTATAAAAAAGCCTGATTGGTTTAATCAATAAGGAGGCATTCTTATCAAGTATGTGCTATCCTAGGACTTTTACTTTTTTAATTTTTTTTTAATTGGCCATACTCCCATATATATTACAACCATCTAACCTAACACTTTAGAATATAACGACAATGCTATTCTTCACGTATGACTTCGTTAAATCTCACTTCTACATTGCTATTATCATCAAAATCTAATCCAAAATAGCATACCGAATTAGTCGCTTCATTTTAGATTACGGAAAATATATTAACATGAGGCTCCGCTTAAAGATTGCGAGGGCGAATTACGTTACATTTTGCTTGTTTTATCTACAACTCCAACCCCTAGAACCGGCGGCTCCTTGACCCATTCGAAGATGCGTCTCCAGACGGCGGGGCCGTCATGCTCCATATTCACTATTTCCTGGAGCTTAATCCAGGCCTTCTCATCCAGCGAGGCATCGAATCCGAACCACCGCATCGAGTCGTGCAACCGCAGACGAGCCGTCTCGGCATCCTTTTCAGGATGGCCCTGGAATGTTAATATCATGTTGTTCTCGCTTAGCAGGCACTGGTTACCCTGAGCTAACTGTACAAAGGCTGGCGGCGCCACGGCGACCTCACGCCGGTGATGCTGCTGCAGCTTGAAGGACCCTAGGGCGGCCGCTTCGGGGAAGAACTGTCTTCCCGCCTCCGTAAGATCTATGGTGGCTACACCCATCTGCGATTTTTGGTCAATGTCTAGGTTGTGTTATAGAAGATGGAGATTTATATACTTCTGGGTACGCGGCATCGACGACCTTACCACCGAAAACGCGCGAGATGGTCTGGTGGCCCCAGCAGATACCTAAGACCTTCTTCTCTGGGTACTGGGTTACAAGACGGCGGAGGTATTCATGCACGTCAAGAATCCATTGGTGCGATTTGCGCGGGTCAACGTTGGACCCGCCGAATACTATCAGATCGAAGAAGGCTGGGTCGGGAAATTGGCCGCTCTTGTTGGCGGGCTCGTAGAAGGCCAACCTGGCATCCGGGGCGACGGCACTGATGGTTCGTTCGTAGGAGGCCCTGATGGCGGGAAGTAGACGGGAACGATATGAGTTGAGCAAGATGGCGATGCGGATCGGTTGCGATTCAGCGCCAAATGTCGTCACGGAGGACATGGCGCTGCACTAACTGGGCATAAGAAGAAGAAGAAAAAGAGGAAGGGCGGGTATAAGTGGATAGAATTCGTCATACAAGTAAAGACTCGACTCGGGCATGTCTGTTGAAGACTTGATGGATGCCGGTTTAAAGCTCGGGGTCGTTGAAGACTCTGAGTTGCCCAGGGCAAAAAAAAATAAAAAATGTTACAAAGTGACAAAAACAACAGAAAACAGAAGAATTGTAGTTTTTTATTTATTTCACGCCCTAGGAAATGAATGAATACGGCGTGGCATGAGATGAGGCTTGGCCGATTGCCTGTGCCTTTCCATTTCAGGAAATTTGGTGGATCTTTGAAAGCTGCCGATTGGTCAAAGTAGCCGGAGCTCTGTGCACATTGTGTAACTCAAATCCTGGGGCAGCAGGAAACTTAGCCGCGTTACTTTCCTAGTGCAGATTTCACTTTCTAGTGTAACTAAAGCATGGCAGACAGGGTAACCTAAGGCATTTAGCTTCCGGGCTGCCGGGGTTCCCGTTTGGACGCCTGGGCGCTAGATTCAGAACAAGGGGGCCATGACGCCACCTACGGGATTTGAGCGTTACAACGCGCAGAGCCTCGGCAGCTTTCTCTAACAACTAATCTAACAACTAACAACCATCCAGCCAATTCATTGTTGAGTTTCCAGATGAGACTGCTATGTAATGTCTATTTCTTATATCAAGCAACTAGGTCTGGGTAGCTATCTAAACTACCTGTTATTCAAGTTAGTTAATCTTATCATTTTTGTTAAAAGTTCATGAATTGTTTTATCGAATGAAAACGTAACAATAACAAGTGAACAAATATTAAATGTCGTAGTTAGACGTTAGACGTTAGACGTTAGACTATACCAACCTCCCTATTTCATCTCAGATCTCAGAATGCCCGGTTTCATACCGAATCTACCGAGGGCGTTAAATATTTACCAATAGCTTAGACTCCTCGGTATGCCATGTCACATTAGATGATGCAAATACGAAGTTATATGCGCTCGAGATGTTGTGTACCTATCATCGTTAGTTAAGCAGTCTAACCTAGATGGAAGGATTACATCCAAAGAAAGACATATACGAATGCCACGAAATATATTTCTTCCGCCGGTATAGGAGTCACCAGGTCAGCCACTCCGGTAGGTCAACTCATCATAATGATCATCGCTTGCCATGAGTGAGTTCATTATGCCCCCTCGCCATACACCTGCACACAGCTAGCCAGTTACTTCCTAGATACATTACATTATCGTCGAATACCTAGATACATACTATATATTGCTATAGTCTTGGCCAATGAGAATAGTTGGGCTCGTGGCACAAGTGGCAGTACACCTGCTGCTTTGAGATTATCATATCTGGTGAAGTCCAAGTCTACGAGGCTAGCCTACGGGAGGGTCGATTCATACGGAAACTATTGCCTAGGAGGGAATGGTTGGTTGCACAGAGCCACAGGCCGTCGTTTTCTGTCAACGTTGGCAGAAATGTCTCAAACGGGACATAGCATTACCCGTTGATACCAACACATATCCATCTATCGTGGCCATACGGATTTGCGGACTTATATTGAACTGACGGTCAGTGAGTTCTTGGGCTGCATTGCATGAAAATCTGCATGTGCCTAGATCCCCGGTGAACGGCATATCGAGATTTGGGCCTCAAAACTTAAAGCGAAATCGTGGAGGTCCTGCCTTTCCAAAGCTAGGAGGCGATGGGGGGAGACCGAGTACCGGGAATTCGGAATATAGGAGCTTGGCCACCCACCTCATCTGGCAAACACTCATCCAGCAAGCTGGTAAGATGGCTCGCGGAGACAGATAATATATTGGTTGGGAATCCCATTGGCTACCTACTCATTTCGGAGTCATCCGATACCGTGATTGATATCGGCCCAAATGTCTAGTCCTGTGGGTAATGTTTGCAGATTATGGCCTCTGCTGATCGTCCCCCCACGCTGATGATAGGCCGTCGTGAGATGAAGCTGCAAAACCTCTGCAACCCCCGCTCTCAGGCTTCCTCCCCGGTTATTGCTAGTGCTAGAAATGATGTAGAGCTAATCCATTCCGTACTGGCCTGCATGCGTGAGTCTTCAGGGGGTAGCAACCTTACCGGGATCTCGTACTAAGATCCCGGGGTCAAGGGTCTTAGATCGCAATGACATATCAGTTTTTTTTGTGATGACGCTAGGATAGGCTGGAAACCTCATAACTTCAATGACACTATCGCGGTTTTAATCGCAGAATGGCCGAGTAGGACGTGGGGGTACGGGAAAAGGAACCTCGTCAGTTATATTTCTTCCCCAGACAGACTTCGCTCATCGTGTCTCGGTTGCTGGCCTAGATGGCAGCCCATTGCCTACCCCGAACCCGGACCTCGTAAGCCGAGGTGGGGAGCGAATAGCGATGGATGCCTAGCGTCTCGCAGGAAACCCGTTAGAACCAAAGGATGATGGGCCCAGGACAAATTTACAAAACCGGTAGAAGCATGATCCCGCGTTCCCGCTCGCAGGTGTCAACATCTACGCAGGGTCAGGTCCCAACGGAGGAACCAAACAGGCGAATGAAGTCAGGGGCTGATCGTCGGGATTGCTCGGCTCCAGTTAACTGAGAGAGATACCCCCTCACATGCAGACGTGATGAGGAGTTGTGGTGTACAAGATACTAGCTTAAGTTATCCGCAGATGCCCGTAGTTTTGCATATAGAAGTAGCTAGTGCCTGTGCCGTTTGGTACTAGAAGTAATATATGCCGGCTCTAATGTAGCTAGTTTGCTATTTGGTACAGGTATATCCTGTAGAGGGACTTTCATATAGAACTCACCCCTGCAGAATATCCCCATGCTCTTCTGTACCGAAATCTCCAGCACATACATCTGCAGGTAGAGCCGCAGCCAGAACTATAACAACACAGGGATACCCCTTGTACAGCTTTGGCAGCCTTCATCGACGCCATCTAGGACCGTGGTAGGAGAACACTGTCACCTATGGTAATGAGGAGACGGCATCAGAATCGTTTTGGGTAATCTGGTGATCCTTTTGAGAGACCTGCTTCCCGCTCCTCCACTTTCTACCCTTGTTATCCGCTCCTCATCAATGCTCGGAAAGCTTTAGAATATCCTCACGCATATCGTAGACAGTATCCAGAAAACAATGGATGGGCTTCTGGAAAAGGTGAGCGCCGTATGAATAGTATTAGTCCCGACATCCTCTACCTGTACCTGCAGGACAAGTCAGACAGTTATAAGCATATTAGTTGAATCTGTCACCCTCAGTGAATGATAGACGGGAGACTGAAAAACTACCGCCACCTGAATACGCCATTTGCAAGGCCAATCCCTTTTGACTTTGCGTACCCTTACCTTTCTAATACGGTGAATATCCTGCAGTGCGTGGAGCTCTCTTTTTACATCCAAACATACCTCTCTACAGGACTTACTGTTTACTTTCTCTACCAGAATCTACCCCATGTGTTCTAACTAGAAGGACAGTTGCGGGAACGGTTCCTGACTCATATTCGGGAGGCCGCACAAAACCTGCATCGCTACCAAGAACACAAGTTCTTGACCGCTAAGGTCTGCTGCAAGCATACCCAACATCGGCCTACTAGCAGAATCAAGAAGAGCGTCGAAGGTATCCTCCTTGCCTAAGACTCGCGCAGAAGGCCGATAGAAGCGGCGGTGAAAGTTGGGAGAAAGAGGGGGTGTAGCTGGTGGACGAAGCGAAAAGGAGGCATGACAGAAGCTTACGTCAATATCAGGCAGATATCCAAGATGGTTATCAACCCGAAGACACCCCAGCTTGTCTGGAATACCCTACCGAGTGACGACGTTTTTGCATCTGGGTCTCACTTTCGCTGCCAATGTGAAGAGAAGACCCTGGAGGCGTTCCTTCGTCTAGAATTCATCAACTGCCCCCACGAAATAGGCAAGTTCTGGAACCGCTTGGTGCATCAACAACGACTGAAGCAGGCAATGGACGAACAAAGCTGGTTTCAAAATATGGGCGCGGATAGTGGGGACGAAGTTTACATGGTAAGGACATCACGCAGCCCATTAGAGTGGCATCGGAGTAGATACTCATGCTTGTGCTCTCAGCCCGAGGTCCCTTATAGCGAATATTTTCCGCCTGTTGATACGAGTACTCCATATACTGGAACTCAAACGACTTCCGCTGGTGTCTCAGCCGTAAATGCCGGAAGAGATTTCGATCCGAGTCACCCCCAACGCAACAAAGGACCCGTTGGAAACGAATCAATGCATTTACCAAGCCTCCGCACGACAAACGCTTACCCTCGAGACTTCGGGGCCAACTACGATGGGCGGCAATTTTCCGTGCAGACGTGCGACATGACTGGCCGTCATCAAACGGCCAGCTATCTCGACTACCCAGATGGCCTACCTAGCACCGACTGGCCTTCCAACCTCCCCGTCTTTGGGGAACCTTTAGAAGGCACGCAAGTCAGTTCTAGCAGCTTCTCCTCTTCAGCCCCATCATCAGCAACTTCTGAAGCCATGGCTGCGATGACCCTCGATCCCATGGCGGTACATAGCAACACAGCTGGGCATCTACAGGCTAGTAGTTCTGTTGTCGGCCCGGAAAATCCTGTAAATCCTTGGTCGTCGTCGAGCTATCCTTCGACTATCTCTCCCAAGATGCTACGGATTAACCCATCGCCCACACCAGCCTCCTCGTCGGAATCGGTCCACAATAGTATGCTTGCTGGCGGTGACTTGGATCTCAGCATCTCCACGTATGAACACCAGAACACCCGCAGCCCGTTCCATTCGCCACGGCAGAGCCAAAAGCCGCCACGGAAAGAACTTCCAAGTAAACCGGCGAGATCACGGCTGGGACCAATAGTATCGTCCGAGTCGCCGTCATCTTCAAAAGGAAAGAGGCCAGCTTTGCCCCAACTCTCCGCTGATGCTGAACAGTCGTCTCACAAAATACGGACTTCCCAAAAACCGGAGCATCAGGACGCCGCAGCCCAAGGAAGCGAAGGCTCACCAGCTCGCGGGCGCGGCACCAGAGTCGTCGAGAGAGCACGGTCGGCCAAGGACGACTTCCTAGTCCGATCAAAGCTAGCAGGCAAGACGTACCGCGAGATCCGGCTCGAGGGGAACTTCACCGAAGCGGAGTCTACGCTGCGAGGACGGTTCCGGACTCTGACGAAGGACAAGGAGGCGCGCGTGAGGAAGCCGGAGTGGCAAGACAACGACGTGAGTCTCCCAAACTCTAGACTTTTCTTTCTTTCTTTCTTCATATTCTAGGCATTTAACTGACGAATGGTCAACGGCATAGATCCGTCTGCTCAAAAAGGCCGTCCGCAAGCTAGCGAAGGGCAACGATATAATTCCGTCCAAGGCACCCTGGGGCCAGGTGGCTGAATACATTATGGATCATGGCGGCTCGTACCAGTTTGGCGGCGCTACGTGCCATAGGAAGTGGAAGGAATTGGTGGATGAGGGTAAGGCGGGATGGAAATGAATTCAGCTGGTTGCTTGGCTTGGGTATTGCGGGTATGTAGGTATGTATGTATGTTGGCTGAACTATGTGTGTTGTTGGTCTCAAGTGTGTATGATAGAAACCCTCAAGGTGTGTGGGTGTGGGTGTGGGTGTGGGTGTGTGTTAGAGTCCTGGTAGTTAATGTAATGCAGAAACCGGAGGTTTAGTATTTATGTACTTACAACGATGGGGCTTCAAAAGAGGTCCTATCACCAAGAAATAAAACATATGGCTTCTATTCAGCATCCTCTCCCTCCCTCTTCAGCTGGCTAGCCGTTGGTATCTGCTAAGGGGGGCAAACCAATTCCTTTGAGGATATTGAACAACTGATCGGGGTCTTCTCTTAGAACATCCCATTCGACTTGATCTTTAACAAGAGTAGTGCCAGCCAAAACCGTCCCGTTAAACGATACTACACCAACATCTTGTCCCGACTTGCTTTTGATCGCCGCGCCCTCCGCCGTCCTCGGACAGATGGCCATGGAATTACTTGTCATGGCGAAATTATAGCTTATTACAGCCTCACCTTCGCTATCGACCTCTTTGTCTAGGAACGTGGCCTTAACGGCACTTCTATACAGCTCCAGATACGCACTGTGTCTCTCTTCGGCAGTCATGTCCGGACGGATGCTTGCAGTAAAGATATTAAATGGCAGTACCTTTTCAAATTCAGCGATTTTCTCTGCTAGTACGTTCCACTCGCCACCCCGATCCACGTCCTCCAGCCCGTCTCTCATCCGCTCGACAGGGAGAAGCTGTAGATGACGATGCGGCTGACTGGCGCCGGAGTGTGGACCCGAATTGAAGAATGCGAACAGCTCGTGTCCGTGCGTACGGTAGGCTTGGATGCAAGCGTATGTAGCTGCTATATCTGCACTCTCCAGGACGTGCGTCTGGGGCTTGAACTCCTTAGTGATCAGGATGAAGTGTTCCGGCACGACTGCGAATTTATTCAGCACAAGCCGATGGGACGGCGGCAGGTCGGCAATGAGCATAGCGGGGGAGGGGTTTTCGAAGGGATTGAATGGCTTGCCATGAGGCTCTTTGGGCTTCGGGGCTTTGGGTTTTAATGCCAAAGCTGGCGAAAAGCGAAGTTGGAACTGAAGTGAATGGTAAGTTGTTGCTGTACTATGCGCGAAGATATGAATATACGGGTATGCTCACGGGAATGGAATTGGGCGTCAAGATGACGACTTGAGTCGGATAGTAGGTCAAGTCGCCATTGACGCGAGCCGCATCGAAGGCTGCTTTCACAAGTCCTGGGAGATTCTGCGGCGCGACTAGGCGAGTCATTTCCGCCATCGTAGCGACTGGGCAGCACAGTCTGATGGAGTGAATATGAGGCGGCCTCAAGATTTGAGTCTCAAGTTGTTAGTTACATCATCGTATTGAAAATATTGGCACATTATTATCTACCAGCTGTATGCCAGCTGGGATGGTTTGGCAATATCTCTCTCTATCTTTTGATCGCCAAAATAGTCTGGTTTAGCATCTTGTCCTCTTACTCTTCTAATGATACACGCATATAGGGTACCTTTATATAAGTCGTGTACATGTATCTTTTACGCACTTATATCAATATACCTATCATACAAATCGAGCAAGTGATCATCGACAATCGTCTTACGTAGGACCATATCTTGTTTGCCTAGGGTGTATTCATGCGTGTGACGATTCACCAAAGGCTTATCTATAATACTACAGTCAACAGCGGGGTCGAAAGGGGAATAAGCCGAAGGCCGCGAGGGCGTACGACTTAAATATCGGGATCTTCTATGTGCCTATCTATCTAGTAGCCAACTCTTCAAGATCCAAGAAATTAACATCTTGAATAATACCTACCGAAGGGCACGCCTTAGGTTGGCCTTCGTTTGAATATAGCTCCTTACGACCCAAAGATCCATCTAGAAAAGAATGCCGACTGTAGACATTGGTGTCTTTATCCCCATTGGCAACAATGGCTGGTTGATATCGACTACCTCGCCTCAGTACATGCCTACCTTTGAGCTGAACAAGCAAGTTGTCCAGAAAGCCGAGGCCTATGGCTTTGATTTTGCGCTTTCTATGATCAAGCTGCGTGGATTCGGAGGTAAAAGCGAGTTTTGGGATCATAATCTAGAAAGCTTCACCCTTATGTCCGCCCTAGCTGCTGTCACATCAAAGATCAAATTATTTGCTTCGGTGGCCGTACTTACCCTGCCCCCAGCCTTGACCGCTCGAATGGCTACGACGATTGACTCTGTAGCGCCTGGGAGATTCGGAATCAATATGGTCACTGGCTGGCAATCCGCCGAGTATACTCAAATGGGTCTTTGGCCCGGAGACGAGTACTTCGGGTATAGATACGACTATGCCACCAAGTACGTCCAAGTCATAAAAGAGCTTTGGAAAGAAGGCGTATCAAACTTCAAGGGTAAATATTTCCAGATGGATGACTGCAAGCTGTCCCCTCGACCAAAGGATCTTGGTGTGGATATTGTCGCCGCCGGTCAATCAGGCAGGGGAATCGAGTTCGCTTCGAAGTATGCGGACTACAACTTCGTGATAGGCGCCGGAATCAATACCCCAGCGGCATACGGCCAAGCGACATCTCGTCTCGTCGAAGCAGCTGCTAAGACGGGCCGAGACGTCAGCTCATATGTTCTCTTTATGGTTATTACCGACGAAACCGACGAGGCGGCCCAGGCCAAGTGGAAATTGTATAACGACGGTGCTGACGCGGATGCGTTGGCCTGGATGAGGTCGCAGTCGTCGAAAGATGTCAACGCAGACGCCAACTCCACAGCCAGGAGCTTGATGCTCCCAGAAGGCGCTGTGAATATCAACATGGGCACCTTGGTAGGCTCTTATGAGAACGTTGCGAGCATGCTGGACGAAGCCGCCTCTGTCCCAGGGACGAAGGGGATTATGCTTACATTCGACGACTTTTTGCTGGGTATAGAGACGTTTGGTCAGAAGATACAACCGTTAATGAAGAGCCGACAGGGAAGGGCGTAGGTATGGTATCATGATACTAAGCTATGAAGTATCCAAAGGGTTGATAGCCTTGTAGGTTGCCGTGTCGTCTTAATATTCTCCCTTTTCATAGTTTGTACTCTGAAGACAAGGGTGCGCATGGGTACACATATGATGGGAAAGGGATGGTTTATTAACCTATACCTATGTGGCGTTGAACAGTTACCGCTCATTCATCAGATATCCGAGGCTAAGAAGCAGTAAGTTGATGATTATGAATATAATATACTTATAATCTAGTTATAATCTCTTGCCTTAAACTTCTTTGCTTTACTCGCAACATACTTCGCATGGCATAAGAATATTGGAATTTATAAATATAACTATTTCATATATTAGAGGTGGATTGCCCAGATGACTACTCACTTTCATATAATTTAGTTATATAATATATATTGTCCACTCTGTTCGAAACGAAGAGTGGGAAACAAACTAAAAAAAGGTCTGTGAATATTAAATAACAGGTAGTTATACGGAATACAACTAACTGGTCGTTATTCCAATGTGCCGGCATAGCTATATGAAACCGTGGCTTATGTATATCAAGTCAACTTGAGCCGCTAAGGTAGAAATAGAATGAATGAATTTTCCGAAGAATGTAGTACCTAGGTACTTAAGGTAAGCGCTGAAGAAAAGAGTTTAATCCCGTCTGTCTAACCGCTCCGGCTCCGACGGAGCTCTAAAATAGAAGCAGGTGGGGGGCACGAACTTCATAGGTAAGGGCGACCCCACGATCCGAACTTCCCAGGGGCGATGAAACACAGACCCCTAATTCTTGTTATAACCCTGGCTCAGGGGCTTGCTAGAAAGATCCATTGTCGACATGTTTCGAAACATGCTGGCCTATGGTTGGCTGTGAATGGCTGAATGATGAATTAGGCTGAAAGGTAAGTAATGCCGCATGTGGAGAAGTGGAGAAGCAAAAGCGAAAGGCGTAATCCGTATAAGCTGAGCCGATTGATCGAATGAGGACCGTAATTTTGATTGTGCAATGGCGTTGTTTCACGCGGCACTGGTACGATGATATTGATTCGCTGGGTGTGCTGCCCAGATCAGAAAGTTTCTTTGTCGTCCCCTTCCCCTAACTTGAACAAAGAGATTGCTCAACGATGGGTTTATAGAAGCAATGTTGAACAGGTGTAGCAGCTCAGCGTGTCAAGCATATTGCATACAGCGTTATGTGACCCTAATCCTGACGCATCCACGGCATACGCAAGTATTACGCCCAGAATGAGTGGCTCGATCCCTGCCGTACATGCACATACACAAACGTACAAACATAAAATCAAGTAGGAATTTTACATGATATTTATCCCTGGTAGATCGAGTAACAGCTGTTATCGTATCGTTACACCAAAATTTGGACTCGAGGAACGATCTCATCCAACGGTCCTATGTACCTAACATAATATGTTTTCGAGGATCGCCGTCGTGTACCTAACGCTTACATGGATAAGACGTAGTGTAAGTACAGGGACAAGGAAGGAAGAACATTGAAGTTACCTTAAGCACCTACTTACATAAACATAGAACAGCTATGGACCAGTCGATCCTCCCGTTTGCCGGAAGTTTGCAGTCTTAAAAGCTTTTAATGTCCTATCGATAGCAATAGCCGCCGTGGTTCGCGTCTGAAACGCCTAACCTAAAGGCTTTGTACTCCATCTGCCAACGGTATTTAGATACGCTAATACGCTAACCGAGTCGCTTGCTTTTATCCTATTATGTTTTCATTCGATAAAGGAATCTGATAGAAATACAAACAAGAAATTTGTGGCCCTTATGACTGGAAAATACATGGATATCTGGAAATCCTGTGTTGTTATAAAAGGTACCTACGTATCGGCCTAGCTGACCGAAGGACTGGGTGTCTCAATTGAACTATGATAGGCCACAATTGAAGCAATCTTAGGGCGGATCGCCAAGGGCATCGATATGCAGGAACGACCGTAACCTACTACCTATGACGTGATGCGGACATTATGATAGGTAATCTGATTTGTACATGTTTGACGTTGAAGATTTCAGCAGCTGCAGCATTCTATCTATCGATTTACTATAGATTGGTACTTAAAATAGGTACCTAGGTATCTGATATTTAAATCTAACATGTCGGAGGTCATCGCATTGGGGTCCTCTGTACCTAGCCTCCTATTAAATTTATTACCCCTTTCCCCGAACTTGTGTTTCTTTCGCCGCAATGTATGCAATTCCTATCGTGTTCGGATTCTAACGTAAATTCGCCTTGGGCATTGATCTGTATTGTCCACTCGCCGCGTCATACTGGACAGGGTTCACGAGCAATTTCTATGGCTGCTGAGGCCCTGTCAAGATCCCAAAGTCTAGCCTAGGTCTCGAATGTCTAATTTGAGGACCTATGCCTTAGACGCGTTCTTTGGCTTGGCATAGAATGGATCAACAACGCCTGATGTGGGCACTGGTAAGCAACATGATTGCAATGACAAGGGTTTATCTTCCCTATGATGATCTTGATAGAAGCACTGTAAGAGTGTTGAGAATAAATTGTAGGAACCTACAGAAATAGTGGCCTAGGTACCTAGTTTAGGTACCTAAGGTTAACTACCTAAGTACATAAAAAGGACCCTAAAAACATAGAAAAAGAAAACGCAAGATGCAGGAGCTGCTAGCCAGTGCTTGCTAAATCGGGAATGCATACTGAATTTCATTGGACCACAAGACCATGCGGCAATTGGATCAAATCTCACGGCTGAAGGAGAATCATGCGCGTGCAGGTAACTGCGTCCCGGGGTCCTCGACATGGGGTCTTGGATTGATATAGTTACACTAAGCTAGGTAGGTTAGGAGGTTTAGCAGGCAAGCAAGCAAGTAGGCAGGGTAGGTAGGTACCTAACATACCTCATGACAATACAGATGGCAACTCCTTCAGTAGTCACCCAGTCACCTAGGTAAGGCAAGTACGTATAAATGCATGCGTGCGTCAAATATTTACCCTTTTTGGTTGCTCAGCGCCTGTGCCTTGTCAGTGACTTTGTAATCCCCTCTCAACAACCCTTCATTTCCTATCACCCTTTCTTCTCTCAGTCATCTCAGTCATATCCTATTCTTCATTTCTCGATTCCTTTTTTCGGCACTCCTTTCTCTTTTCTCCTACGATCCTTTTCGCCAAAGTCGTTCATTCAGTCGTTCATTATTAACCAAGTCCAAAGACCCTAATTATTCTATTCCTGACCTTGGATAGGTCAAGGCAGGTTCATTGATCCTATTGACTAGACAGAGTTCGCCAACAAACGCCAACAAACGCCAACAGTGTTTATCTTTACTGGTAAGTCTTTGATTGAATCTCATCTTTATTGCACCCTTTTGTTTGGCACACAAAACACATTGCCTCCAATTCACTTCTTCGTTATCCTGCACAAAGCCTTACCCTATCACGTTCTCTTGTCTGTCCAACCCCAGCCCATTCATGAACAATCGCTATTGTTCACCATCGCTCGATTTACGAGAACACAGTCATTAGCTACTCACCACCCGAGGAGTCAAGCCAAGAGTCCAAGGTTATTTGCAGATACGAGGCTGCCTACTTAAACTCTCGCTCTTTTGCTCTACTTTCCTACCAACTTTTCTGACTTGAAATTTATCCCATTACGTACATATTAATAGCCAGCATCTTGGTTTTCCTTTGTGTGCACATTCATAACTTTATTACTTTCTTTTATTACTTTCATTTATTCTATTGCGCAAGCAACCTCCCTAGAGGAGCAACCACTAATCTTGGATAGAACTGTCGATATTGGCCCTTAAGCGTGGAAAGAGTCTAAAATTCCACATAGGCATCGCTGGTACTGCCATCAACATGGGACTTTCAAAGTTCCTTACTGTTTCTTTCTTGGCTGCCCGCCTGTTTTCCGATGTTGCGGTGGCTGGCCCGTCGGCAACGGTCGAACTACAGGTAGGCAATGCCGCCTCCAACTACTGGGTTGCCGACATCAAACGTCAGGGCGTGGCAGCATTCGGGCAACCCGACTACAAGGTTTTCCGCAACGTCAAGGATTACGGTGCTAAGGGAGATGGCACAACTGATGACACCGACGCCATCAACAAGGCTGTCCAGGATGGACAGAATCGATGCATCATGCACTGTGATTCCCGAACCACTACCCCGGCCCTTCTCTACTTTCCCCCTGGTGTCTACTCAGTGAGCAAGCCAATCATTCAGTCCTATTATACCCAGTTCGTCGGTGATGCGCTCGATATCCCAACACTTAAAGCAACCGCGAACTTTGATGGCATAGCCGTTATCGACGCTAACCCTTACGATTACAACGTCGATCCAGCCGCGAATTGGTATATCAACCAGAACAACTTCTTCCGCCAAGTCCGCAACTTCATCATCGACATCAAGGATATGCCGCTCAACAAGGGTGCCGGTATTCATTGGCAAGTCGCCCAGGCCACTAGCTTGCAGAATATCGTCTTTGAGATGAACCCTGATACCAGCGAAGAGAACTTGCAGAAGGGACTGTACATTGAGAATGGATCTGGTGGCTTCATGGCTGATCTTACATTCAACGGTGGAGGCATCGGGGCTGACATCGGCAGTCAGCAGTACACCTCTCGGAACATGACGTTCAACAACTGCAACACGGCTATTCACATGATATGGAATTGGCTCTGGTTAATGCAAGATGTGACGATCAACGGCGGAAAGCTTGGTATTGACATGACCAGTGACGGTGTTGATCCCATCAAAGTTGGATCGTTGCTCCTCGTTGATAGTAAGATCTCGAACGTCGAAGTCGGTATCAGTACCCTCTACAAGACCGATCTTCCGGACACCAATAATACCCTCATCCTGGACAACGTAGACATGACCGAGTCCGTTCCTACCGCTATCAAGTACGCAAAAGATAACACTACCGTGCTTGAAGGAAACCAGAAGATTGTTGGATTTGCCCAGGGTCGCCAATACACCGGCACGACTGGAAAGGCTGTTCAGACCAACAAACAAAGTGTTCTTAAGCCTGAGGCTCTTCTAAATAAGGATGGAAAAATCTTCACACGCGTCAAACCTCAGTATGAGACTGTCTCGTCTAGCAGTTTTGTCAGTGTAAAGTCAGCTGGGGCCAAGGGTGACGGCACAACCGACGATACTGCTGCAATTCAAAAGGTTTTCGATGGTGCTAAGGAAGGAGATATCATCTATTTCGACCACGGCGCATACCTAATCTCTGACACGGTCAAGATCCCCAAGAACATCAAGATTACCGGAGAGATGTGGCCCCTTCTGATGGCTACAGGCACCAAATTCGCCGACCAGAATAAACCGGTACCTGTCTTCCAGGTTGGCGAGGCTGGTGACATTGGTAATGTTGAGATGTCCGACCTCATCATAGAAACAAAGGGATCTCTTCCTGGTGCTATTCTCATGCAGTGGAACCTGGCTGGCTCCGAAAACGGCGCTGCCGGCATGTGGGATGTGCATTTCCGTGTTGGTGGGACTGCTGGGACTGAGTTGCAGTCCGATAAGTGTACCAAGAACGAGAATGTCACGACGACTGCCAACCCCGAATGTATGGGCGCTTTCATGATGCTCCATGTCACACAGACAGCCTCGGCCTACATCGAAAACTGCTGGTTCTGGGTTGCTGACCACGAGCTCGATCTCGAGGACCATAATCAGATCAACATTTTCAATGGTCGTGGTGTGCTCATCGAGTCGCAGAAGCCAGTATGGTTTTGGGGTACGGCTTCAGAGCACAGCATCCTATACAACTATCAGGTCTCCAACGCTCAGAACGTTTTCATCGGAGTGGCTCAATCCGAAACGGCCTACTTTCAGGGTAACCCCCAGGCCCCGGACGGCACCACAGTTCTCGAAGGCTTTTTCGATCCGGACTTTTCGAAGTCCTGTGACGGCTCTTCGAAAACATGTGCTCGCACTTGGGGTCTTCGCGTCACGAACTCGTCGTCGGTATATATCTATGGCGCTGGTCTGTACAGCTTCTTCGACAACTATGACCAAAAATGCGTAGACAAACAAAACTGCCAGGATAACATGATCAGCATCGAGGACTCTACTGGAGTCCACCTCCTTGGTATTAGCACCAAGGCCTCGGTGAACATGATTACCGTCGACGGCAAATCGGTTGCTCTTGACAAGGACAACAGAAACAACTTCTGTGCCGCTATCGCTAAGTTCGAAGTCAGTGCCGTATCAGGAAACCAGCCGGAACCGAGCGGTTCCGGAGAGGACTCAACTACGGCTCCCGCCCAAACTTCGACGTCAGCCTCAGAAATAGTCCCATCCGGCACTGAAACAGTTTTCCCAACGTCAGGCTCTGGTTCCGGTCCTTCAGGTAGCAGTTCATCTGCTGTCGCCACCGAGACTCAGGCTACGGCTACTCCAGTATCCACACCTGCAGGTAGCTACGTTCAGCCTGGTGTGGATGCGAGTACCGCGACAACAGCGGTAGAATCCACGACCGCTCTACCAATCCCGTCGGAGACCCCAAGTGGTGGTGCTGGTGGAGATAACTCTGCTGTCACGATTGTTGTCACCCAAACAGTGACAGCGCCGGGAGTATGCTCCCAGGCACCGTGAAGTACGGCTCCTAGGAGTGATACTACTCGGAGCTTTTCAACGAGCACCGCAACCAGAACGACCACCGTAACCTCAAGTGGTTGCGCGTCCAAGACAGCGCATGTGAAAAATTCTTGAGATGAGCAGGGATGTCTATTCGGGTGATTTTGACGAAGACCTACATTCAACGTCCCTAGTCCTATATGTTCGCTTCTCTTGTGGCCCCAGTGGCATTTAAATAGTCAGATTTTCACTTGATTCGGAGTAGGCAGGAAAGGATATCAAGGTAGCCAGTCCATGAGGATGGCCGGAGTTCAGATGATTGATAGGATCCATTTCGAGATACCACTTAGTACTTGGTGCCCGTGAGATTATCAGTATCTCGGGGAGAGCAAGTGACGGTCAATAGGACCCTGAGTTGCTAATTGCTCTGCATTCATGAATACCAAATATTGATTTTATTGTTCACGTACTTTTATGACAGTCTCGCAAGTGATGTAGAGCCCCTTAAGCAATTGCCCACATTGTGGAGCCTGGAACGCTAGTAAGAATTTGGAATTGTGCCTACCTAGGTAGGTACTTGGTACTTCTTAATAAACGTATAATATACCTAGGTACATAGGTACCTAGGTAATATGTAATAAACGTCATCGGATGCAACTTTCTTTCACCCTTCACCAAGAAAATAACACTCTTCGATCTGAGTGGTTCATTGTGTGTTAGGTATTCTCATTGTACTCAAAAGCGCATGTTCTCATCTACTTCGATTCATTTCCTCAATAGTTGACACGTACCAACAAAGCTTTGCCAACGCCAATGTTATACCCTCCCAACTATCATGACCGATAACAACATCACTTCTTCGCTAAGATCACGACAACAAGCCAACATGGCCGCCGGTAGCAAAGCAACAGGGTTTTCATCGTTACCGGACGATACCGCGGGTAGACCGACGTATCCCCCTCCTTCGAAACGCACCTCGCCGTTCCTACCGACGCCTCTCGAAACCCTGGTGCTGCTCGTGTACCCGACACTCCTCACGTTCGGCACCGTATTCTCAATCATCAGCCCGCAGACCAGGGCCTCGCCATACGACCCGACGGGACACTCACACGTGGCCAGCGCGGCACCGAGTTACTTCGCGCGCAAGGATAACGTGTTCAACACGCTTTTCGTCAAGCGCGGGTGGGCGTGGATCAGCGCCGCGTTCGCGACTTTTGTGCTAACGCACCCGGCGCTCGGGGCGCAGAGAAGGAGAATACGCGCGGCGGGCAGGTGGGCGCTAGTCACGGCGTGGTGGGTGCTCGTCACGCAGTGGTGCTTCGGCCCGGCTATCATCGACAGGGGGTTCCGGTTCACGGGCGGCAAGTGCGAGGTCGCGCGGGAGGCGGTGGCCGAGGGCTCGGCTGATAAGGCGGAGGCGTTCACGGCGGTGGCGTGTAAGGCCGCGGGGGGCCGGTGGAGCGGCGGCCATGACATTAGCGGGCATGTGTTTCTGCTTGTGCTGGGGAGCTTCTTCCTGCTGCAGGAGGTGGGCTGGGTTGTGTATCGCGCGGGGTTCGCGGGGGGCCGCGAGGAGAGGTGTGTTATTATGGCTGATAGCGCGGTGAAGGGCGCGAGCGTCGAGGCGGAGAGCGCGGAGCCGGTTGCGGACGAGGGGGTGCTGGGGTTTGGGGGGAGGTTTGTGCTGGGGGTTGTGGCGGCTTGCTTGTGGATGTTGCTTATGACCGCTATCTACTTTCACACGTGGCCCGAGAAGGTTAGTTTTATCCCGTTTCTCTTTGCGGACTTGGCGTTACGGATGTGCTTGCTTGCTTGCTTGCTTGCTGACTCTTTACGACAGTTGACTGGACTGTTGGTTGCTGCCATGGGCATCTACCCCGTATACATACTCCCGCGGTGGATACCGGGGTTGAGGGCGCTCGTCGGGTTACCTGGGATATAACTTGCGGAGGAGGGACTGGGGAGTTTACGTATGCGTGGGTGGCGGTTCGCATAGCATGGCGATGAATTACGAGTTGAAGATAATAGAGTATTATATTTTGAAGCCCGGGACAACTATCCATGGCGGCGGGCTAATGCTATTTTGAGATGACATATAGACTAACATACCTACGGTACCTATACTAAATTACCCTGGATTAAGTTAAAGATAATTGATATGGTATGATAGGTATGATAAGATCCTATAACTAACGAATGCTTCTTATACTTTTACACTTTCTTTCCCTCTCCCCGCCTCCTCTTCGCCCTCTTCTCGCCGCGGTAATGATAATGGTGTTCCCTCCTCATCTTCTTCGTCCAAGGTGCTCTGCTCGGCATTGATCCCGAAGAGTCCAGCGTAGTCAGGAAGTTCGAATCCACCAACTGCTACCTCTAGTCCATTAGTATTATTCCCAAGCGCCGGGTTTGTTATCGTAGCTTGGGATTCGGTGAGGATAGTGTCTTCGAAGCCGGTATCTAGAGGTCGGGCATACAAGGCTTCGATCGGTACAGTACTGTCGTCATTTGGAATATCAGACGCGATGATACCCGCCATTGGCGGCCGAACCACAGTAATGAAGAGCAGTCATGCCAAATCTATCCTCCATATTCAATAAACCAGCATTCCTATCCAAGAACCACGAGGTTACTATTTTGGATGGACCGGTCACTGCCAAATGAAGAGGTGTACGCCCAAAGTTATCGTATAGGGGTTTGTTAAAGTCCATGTCCTTTGCAATAACCTCTATAATTCGCAATACCTCAGGAACGTCACGCCGGGATCCGATCTGAGCTGCGAAGTGAATTGGGCGAGTGAAGTTGATCGAGTTTCAAGGGTCCCGGAAGGGAGTGATAGCTATTCTCTTCTCAGCCATACGGCACTTCGCTCTTATAACCGGCGGCCAACGCAACTTTAAGGAGGTCTGATAGAATGTCAGGGCAGTGATATTGTACGGCTACGTGTATCGGCGTCCATTTTGAGCGATGGTCTGAAGTGTATAGCGCTCCTTGGCATTGACCCCCCCTTTTCTTAAGAGGGGGAGGGAGTTCTTATCCTTCAGTGTGCACTTATTAAGGGTATGAAATGGCATATGATAAGTTTAAAGAAGGACAGAAAATTATGAGAATGTCCAAAAGTACCTAAGGATATAATCCTAAATAGCTCAGTATTTATTATAGATCGCGACGAGGTGCGACAAAGCTCTTTGCTATATAGATGCCCTCCGTTGGTGATGCAAATCGCTTCGCGCAACACGACGTATTTCCCTGCAAGTAATAACCCGTCTCAAGGAGGGGATGCGGGATAGAAAGCCTTATAATAATACGTTGCATATGCCTAAAATCAACCCAAGTAATTTTAAAGTAATAATCTATCAGTTTCCACGATGCAGAAATTCGAAATTCGAAATTCGAAAAAAAAAAAAAAAAAAAGAAAAGAAAAGAAAAAAAGTGTAGTCGTCTAAGGAATCGAACCCCGGAACCTAGCAATACTTCATAAGGATAGTATAAGGATATTATTATAAGGATGCGGATCAAGCAGTTCTTAGGAGGGGCGCGGAAGTATTCGCTAGGCCGTACCAACACGACCTTTTGGCATTTGTTAAAGACCCCTACCGTTTATTAGACTTATAAGCCTTCGTTTTAGATTCTAGAATGGGACAATGTCGGGTGGCTTGGGAATAAGATTCCCGCATTGTGGTTTGATAGAGTCTATTTTCTGTATGGTGGCGCGTACGATAGAGTTACCTACCTACCTACCTACCTACCTACTGGTCCCAAGCCAAACCTATATACTCGCATTGCTCCGCCTCCATAAACGGCTCCTGAACGCTGGGCCATTGCAAGATCCGTCTTGTCATCCCCCCCTCGGAGGTGGAGGGCTGCCACCTCCCAGAACGCTCGATTTCCCCTAACGTGCTCTGGAAGCCCCTGGCCTTGAGAAACTCGACATCAGGGTTAGGGTCGAACGATCTTGCGAACGAGCTAAAGGAGTCTAAAACGAATCGCTCGAATGACAGATCAAATTCGTCCCGCATAGGTAGGCCTTGTCGGGCTAGGTTGCCGAAGATGTAGTATAGCTCGCCCGAATGGCATTTGAGATACTCGCCGTTCGGATCGCCGTGGGGGTGAGAGGTTGTCTTGGGCGGCTCGCAGGCGTCGATCTTCGGCCAGTCTGAAAGCTGGTAGGTCCTGTTGAACTCGTAGAAGTAGACGGGGTGGAACCGATTATTTCGAAGACCACCGGACACTGTAGCCTGATCACCGCATCGGAAAATACTGTCTGTAACAAGACGAGTGGCCATGTTGAACAGAGCTAAAGTCTTGTTCTCTATGTTGGGAATTGGGAAGAGGTCTGGCGGCGGCACGTCGTAGCCTTGGGATATTAGATACTCTGTCTGGTTCGTCGTCGTAGGGTAACTGATGAATGGGCCGCCGTCGTCGCGAGTAGTTCCCATCATGATACGAACCGGAAGCGTGGGCCCTTCGAGTTGAAGCTTGTCGGATGTGAGATATGTGCCGTCAACAACCGGGAACTTAGCAAAGGTGCTTAGGCCTCCCGCGAGAGTATGAGGCGATATCGATCGCAGACAGTCTACTTGAGACGTAGCGTTCGCACAGCCGGTTTCTTTTAAGATGGTGTTTCCTAATGCCTCGACTTCCTCTTCGATCGTGTAATATTCTGTGTAGCCCGTGCTGGGATCTTTATTGGCAAGATTGCTGACGGGTATAGCCCCTGCAAACTTCCCGATAGACTTCGGAGAGGCTATCAGGGCGTGGACACTCCCCGCGCCGGCCGACTGTCCAAATATGGTGATTCTATCAGGGTCGCCACCGAAGTCCTTGATATTCCTCCTTACCCACTCAAGAGCGTTAATCTGGTCAGCAAGGCCGAAGTTACCATTAGTGACGCCGTCATTTAAGGCCAGGAATCCGAGGGTAGTCAACCGATAGTTGACAGTAACCACGACGACATCGCCCCTTGACGCTAGATTACCTCCGTCGAACGTAGGATCGCTTGCTGCTCCGTTTATAAACGCACCTCCGTGTATCCAAAACTATCCAAACTGTTAATCGAGCCTTTAGACGGGTTCCTCGAAGCACTGGAGTCAATACTTACCATGACCGGCTTCAGCTTTTTAGTAGTAGGTTTGGCTGGGATGTGAGTGGTCCAGATATTCAGAAACAAGCAATCTTCAGACCCGATATTCCCCGCCTGAAGGCACCGAGAGTCATACTCCAACGCAGAAACCTCACTCCCATTGCCGACGTAAGGCTCAGAATACGTGAATCGCTTAGGTTGCGGTGCATATCGAACCCCTAAGAAGCGAAAACTCAAGCGGTCACGGTACCTAAGGTAGACATGTATCAATATAATAGTCTTCGTAGACAGCCGGATAGCGGTGATGACACTTACCCCGTAAGAGATTCATTGTTAGACTTCACAGTGATTTGCCATCTCTCGCCCGTATCCTGAGCCACTACGTTAGAAAATGGTGCCGATTGGGAGCATAGAACCGGGAGCTTAGCCTTCGGTTCTGCGTGAACTATACGGCCGTCTATGTCTATAGCCCGAGCCGACTGGTTCCCAGACGCAACCCAGAATTGCGAGAGACCCAGATCTAGATCTATATATTTCAGATAATTCAAGTTGGCTTGAATACTTTTCGTTCCCGACTCAAGTGACCAGAGCTGTTCACCCACCGCCTCACATGTCTTGCGAGCGTTCTCTAACGACCGCGCTTCTAGCAACAAAACGCCGGAGTTGGATACAGGGCTATTCGCCCCTAGGCCTAAGTTAGGCGCGAGATATTGAAACTCTTGGTCTGCAGGATACGATTTACCTTGTAGATCATTGTCAATTAGTAACGTAAGACTCGAGTCTAGGGTCTGCGGAGAGGGGACCGCTATAGCTCCAACGGCAAAGACTGCAAATGGTAATCCTAACAGCATCGTGAAAATAGCAACGTCTCTAGGAGGTGCATGCCGGCTTCTGAATAAAATTAGGAGCAAATCAACAGTAAGTATTGTAGTTTCCACCGGAATCCAGAGTTATCACGTACCACCTCCTCGGCCCTTCGTATGTCTCTACTAGCAACAATTCATTGCACAAGTATATTATCCTAGATATAGGTCCAAAGTGAGCTAGTTGAGGTGGGATGGGGAACGTGGATGTGGATATCGTGTGGAGATCATGTCCCCCAACGTCCCAAACAAGTCTAGAGTAGATTGTCAGAGTCGCAGTCGTATTCTTAGGCTGAATCGAAAGTAGAAGTCGGACCGGCAATCGTAGCATAAGGCACCGAGCCTCTACCTTTTACAGAGATAGAGAATAACTGGTCTAGGTATATGCTGACATTATGCAAGGTTAGTTTGTGTCATATTCTACGCGGTGAGAAATGATGATGAATGAACGAACAAACAAAAACAATGGCCAAAGTCGATGCTAAATCAGGTTTCTCATTCGCTACTTTGGGGTATAATATGCGCCAGCTACAATAAAACAAAGACGTGATAACACACAAACACGTCAATACATGTCTATCTCATACACCCTCCCTACTCCTATAAGACCGATCCTCTCTTATACCATGGGGATGCCAGCCCGAAGCGTCCAGCAGACCATACTCGTCTTCGTAAGTAGAGGTCAGCGTCGACTCATTGTATATTACCATACCGCCCGCCCGACCAGCAGGGAGTCCGTGTACGCCGACTGTAGCCCCGCTCGGCCTCCTAGTTTCTTCGGAGGACTGGCTGTGGGGAGGTTTCCGCACGAAGGACGGCCAAGTTTTTTCCTTGCTGCTGCAGGGGCTGGACCAGCCAGTCCAGTCCTTAACTTGCGCATACGCCAGTTTCCAGAGAGGCCCTAGGGTGGCAATGCAAGCGCAGATGAGGCCCGTGTTGATCTCGAGTATACTCAAGGTGAAGCTGACGCCGGCCCACCACGATCTGTCTTTAGTTCCGATCACTACGAAAAGAAGGGAGTCAGCCAACGGTTATTTATCAACAGTGTTCCCAAGCGATATGATGTGACGATTTGAAATACAAGACATACAGTCATACGTAGCGATGCCCCAACGAGCGACAGCCACTGCCCAAGCACTATAGTTCCATACATCAGCGCAATTCACAATGTGATAGATAGTATACTCACGCAAGCCCGCTACTCAGGACAAGACTCAGCCCGACCTTCTGCAGCTTCGACGCCACCTGCAACTTCCATATCATGGTAAGGGGCAAGATAGCGATGACCAAATCACTCGCCATATTGCAAGCGCCGTAAAAAGTCGCCGTCGCGATGCTATTAATGCAATGCCCCGGCAAACTCGGCTCCCACTTCTTCCTGATGGGTTGGCAGCCGAGGAACTCGGTCGTGAGGTTGCAGAGCAGATACCCCGTGCAGAAGAACAGGGTGCTGTAGCACGCCCACCTAAACCTGGCGTACACGCCGAACAGCTGGAGGTACAGCAGGATGAGCGCGCTCTTGAAGCCCATCAAGCCCAAGACGTAGAACTCGGACGTGATCCCGATCCAGAGATAATACCGCGCGTTGAGCTCCTCGTTGTACTGCCATACGTGCAGGCCCATGCCGTTGTACGTCGCCATAGCCATGAGCACCGCGTGCGTAATGCAGACAAGCATGCTCAGCGCCACGATATCTATAGTAAATCAGCGCTGCAACATTATCGACTACCTCCTTTCCAACAGAGAAGCTAAGTACGTACAGTCGTCAATGGTGTACTTCTTAGCCTTCAGCAAATAAGTCCGGGTATAAAACCTCAGAGCAACAAATGCAAAGGTGATGAACGGCATGATGACCGCAGCGCGCCATATATGCACCCCATTTTCAGCCGGTAGATGGGCGGGCGGCGTTCCATTGAAAGTTCCCGTGGGTGACGCGCGTTCGAATAGCGACGAGAGGGAAGGCATATCGAGGCGACTTATACAAACATAAGGGACCTAAGGTGAGTTCTCAGCCCTACCCGGCCTATTTTTACAACGCCAAGATGGCGCGATGATAGATTCGATAGGTAGGTAGGTAGTTAGAGATGTGGAAAAGATGGATAGATACCCAGATAGATGGATGGATGGGTGGATGGGCGGATGGATGGATGGATTCGATTTATTTCCAGTAAAGTTCTTACCGGCAAGGAAACACGCAGGCGTGTGTTCCTGACAACTCCAGACATCGGGATGCAAGCTTACTTAACCATCCTTTGGTTTCTTGCTTATCATCATCTCGCACATAAATGCGACGGCAGGCAAAAGGATCGTGGCCCTGCAAGATGCTACACTGCTACTGCGTGATGTCATTAGTGCTTACACGCTGTACTAGGGCTGGAACGTCAGGACGTCGGCATAGCCTATCAGGGTGGCTTGAAGGTTGTATATTCCAATAAAAGTGTCCAGTGATAGGTTATAGCACTGGCTGCTAAAAGACATTGCAATCTTAGGTGGAAAAAGTCCGAGTAGCGTGGCATCGAATGAGACCAAACATTGGACAAAACCAGGTATGCGAAGATTCTTTTCCCTTTTTTGATATAGGTTTATGTTAGGTTCCTATGTAGTGTAGGACAGCTAAAAATAGCGATCCGGCATGGCTGGGACGATTGGCGACACTATTAATTAGTACCTACATACGCTATGTATACGGACGTAGTGGCCCCTGCGTCCGCTACCTCCGCATTTAGCTGCGCCTAGTACCACGACATGGAGCGGGCCAAGCGGGCTGAGCGGGTAATTTGCCGAACTAGGAACCGTGCCTGTTTAGCGTCTCTTTTAGTCAAAGACATCGGCATCTTGATAAGACTACCTACCTCACAGTAAACTAGCACGCACCTACAACTCAGAACAGTCAGTAGGTAGTAGAACCGCAAGGAATAAGAAATATTAAAACTATAAAATCACAAAGACATTCATCGAATAGTTACCATCTATCAAGTCGCAGTGATATTCGAATATCAACGATCCAATGCGGACGGTATATCTGCTCTTGCTACGGTACAGGAATCCCTCCTCCAATAACGCCCCTTTTGATACATTGTCGCCCCCCTTTTGGGACTATGATAAATCCGAGTCATAACCCCCTTTTAACAATGCCGTAACTACTAGTTATGTAAAGAAAAACTGTGTCCATAGAGAAATATATGATATGACACACCACTTCAGATTCTAGGCCCGCCGGATAGGCAGCGACGGAGGCGGCATGCTCTCGAAAGTCCACTGCCCCCCGCTGCCGTAATCTTGCTTTGAGGTGAACTTTGCCCCGAACGGTTTGTACATGTGCGGGATGAGTTGCGGCTGCGAGCTGTACGGGACCAGCTTCTTCAGCCTGGGCTTGTTCACTGTTACACTAGCCGACTCGTCCAAGAAATTCTTCTTCTGGTCCTTGATGATCTGGCGAAGCTCCTGGTCGTCGTTCGTGATCTGTGCTTTTATGAAGCTGAGGTCCGTAGGGTCTTGGGAAGCATTCAGTTCCTCCATCACAGGTTTCCTATACTCATACGGAATGTTCTCCAGTTTCGGAACGGGCTTTGCCGGGACGGTAGCGGGGTCAAGTTTCGCTTCATCTCCTTTCTCGAGCAGCTGCATAATGTCAAGGCTTTCCCCGGGTGGAATAGGCGTTGAATGGCTAGGCGTCACGCAGTCCATGTCAACCTCTTTACGAAGTATGTGGTCAATATCGATCGCAGAGAAATAAGCGCATGCCTGTGGAAGGTCATTTATGCCAACCTGCTGGGCGAACATCGCTCGGGTCCAGAGGTTAGCGACTTGAAGAGCCATGGCAGCTCGATACTTGTCTTCATTCTTGACGAGATAGCGTATCTCGTCATGTACACTAATGGCGAGACGAGCCGTAATGTTAAATCGTCGAGTTAAGTAGTCCATTGAAACGATTAGAAGATGCAGATAATCCACACCCGACGACTGGATTGCCCAGTTGATACGAGATGTGAGGTAGCCCCCCTTGCTAATATACCTAGTCAACAGAGCTTCGGTAATTCCGGCTCCGAGAACCGGGGTTCGTGGGCGATCTTGTTCTGCGAATTCTTCAAGCTTGTTGAAGACGAACGACTCCGTCCCGCCCCTCCAGAAAGGCCGCTTAGAGAGCGTTTTCCTTGTTGTCTTAGTACCCTTCGTCGTGGCATACAGTTTTCCAGCGATCTCCAACGTTTCTGCATCAGAGAGGCTAGGGTTAAACTGTCTGAGCAAGGTAGCAGCAAACTTAAGTCCTGCTCCGTATATCCGGCCGTAGTTGAAAACTTTGGCATTGTTACGTGTAATCCCTAAGATGGAAGCGGTACGGGAGTGAAGATCAGTCCCTGCGGCTTTGGTGCCTTCCAAGGTCATGAAACCAATAGCGTTACCACCATGGAGTTTAAAGGTAGCATCTCCTATGACGCTGGCGATCCAGAGTTCTTCCGAGTCGACATCGGCACCGACAAAGCAATAGCCTGGTGGCGCTTTGACCATTGCTTTCAACTCAGAACCAACCCTATTCTTTTTTGCATTGCTTGCGGTTAACCATGTATTTTCGACTGCTCTTCGTGTAATAGTACCCATTGGGATAATTTGAGGGAGTATATATCCAAGGTCATAGTCATCCTTTTTAGCGCAGTCCTCTTCGTTATTCTCAACTTTATTCTCTTCGTAAACCACCATTTGAGATGTGATCCTGCTCCTAGCGCTAATCCAATAGGAACACGACGCATTCATATCAAGCGCCTCTTTCGCTAAGGGATATTCCGACGATAAAGTACCATTTTCGAAGTATGGGAGATATCCTTTGGCTAACGGGTTCACGCATCGCGTAGTTGGGCCATCTTTATGAGGGAGCTTAAAATATACTCCAGTCCTGTCGTTCTTTAAAGCTTCTGTAGGTTCGTCCGAGAAGTCACACTTAGTAAGCTGCGTTGGACTGTATTTCGACATGTCTGAAAGTGGCACTTTAAAAACCCAGCCATACTTGTCGGACCAGACCAGAGGATAGCCATCCCACGCAAGTCGAAGCAGAAGTGGCGCAATTCGAGTCCTAACCGTAAGACTGATTGCCGCATCGCTTTTCTTGAACAGGTCTTTATACCATTTGGGCATTCCAGGTTTCTTCTGGCGAGCAGAAGGTCTTGGGGGGTCGCCCTTTTTCTTTCCCTTGACCATCTTAATTTCTTGGCCAGACCAGTCCAACTGCCTCAGCCATGGATCATTGCTCCATTTGTCTTCATCATCCTTAATTTCTATCGCCTTCTCTGCAAGGGAGATTAGACGATCCTGGACACTATCAGATAGCCTATGGTAGGTGGCTTCCGCATTTTGAACATATGCATCCCATGACTTGTTTACGGGGAGGATGACCGAGGAAAGATGTCGTAATGCAGCAAAGCTGACGGGGTGAGGGCAGACCTTGAGGAAATTAGGGAATATGATCTTGTAAACTTTGTGGGTGACGACTACGTCTGCCGCGCAGTAATCCAGTAGCTCGTCCAACTTCCCGACAATGCCTTCCCGGTCCAGCTCCCCAAATTGATCTCGAGCTGCTTTGTCGATTGCGATATTTAGATGGAACTGAGCAACATGGCGGAGGGAATTAATCGAACTTCTCTCAACCCAGAGTTCTTCTTCGTCCTCATAGGTGTTGGCCAATAGGTTTACTAGCTCCATGTTGTCTGTCTCTTTGGTGATTTTATCGCGTAGCTCCCTGTTTTTTTGGTGCTTCATCCATGTTGGCCGTTGCTGTGAACACATGCCGTTGACTGCAACATGTAGTGACATGGTATCGAGAAATGAGTTTCTTGACTGTTTCAAATCGTATTCTTCAAGGATTCTTGCTCGGTCATACCCAACATTATGGCCGACGATGATGCGTTCCTTATTCGGATCGCCTAATGGAATCAGATGCCGATCCGTATCGGATTCACCAAGTAGCCAAGGCGATAACCAAGCGTACCAATTTGTCGGGCTCATCGCGCACGCCATGACGGCAAACGAGCTCTCCTTCCACATGACCTCGACGTCGAAGCAAAGCATATCAGAGTCCGGAAACTCGACCTGCTCTGGCGGCGTACCATCGTCGTAATACTTTGTCCATCCGCTTCGCCTCACCCATTCTTTCGGCCGCAAAGGTGCATGTTTTTCTGCAAACACCTTCGCCATGTCAAGGAACGGGTTGGCACAGTCCATGCCGAGCTTGTGGAAGTGCTCGTCCAGAGTTACACCCTGGAGTTCAGGTACATCAAAGGCAATAGGTTGAGTATTGTCGGTGTTCTTTCCATAAAGATCATGGCGGCTTAAGTGATCTATGGATAGATCAATAAGCTCTTGTGGTGGTGGGTCGCTACCGTTTTTGAAAATCTGTTCATAGATACGGCTACTGACTTGTTGCACGCCTATTTCGTTGAATCGAGCACCGGAAGGATCTATAGGTTTGTTTAGAGGTCTATTATACATGATTTTAAAACGAAGAAATGTATAACTGACTGGCGGGACTTGGTATGTGTGTTTGTGTTTGTGAGGGAGGATCGTGGGAAGTTTGAGGAGATTTAGAAGCTTGGGCTGCGGCGGTTGCGGTTGCGGTGGTCTGCCGCCTCAAATGGAACGTCAACGGAGAAGGCCATAGTCGACAAGGGTGATTATGCACCCGATTGGCAAGCCGCACGAAGCTCGAAGTCGATGCGCTTCCTATGCGGCCCTTTGCAGGATGAAGCATTACTTCCGTCTATCAAAGATCATTTCGAATTGGTAGGTTCTTGTCTGAGTTTTAAGAGTGCGCGAATCATGACGAGGATAATTTTGATAGCGCTGAAGATTTGATAAGCCTCCACAACTTTAGCGTCTAAAATTTAGTGACCTTGTGTGGGCCACAACAATTATCGATTATCGTCTATACCAATTACGGTAAGGCGCCTATTAGTAATTATGCACAAACGCCGTGCCCCTCTCCGATCTGATTTCCAATCTACCTTGTTTGCTGTATCTGCATATCTAACGCTTTGGCGAATATGTATATTGGTAGTTATTAAAAAAGAAAGAAAAAAAACCGCATGCTAATAGCCGTCTAATTCATCTCACACGCACATCGCACGTCGCATGTATTTGCACCCATGGAGATCTTGCTCTACTGTATCTTTGTCGCACCGCAACCAATCTAGACGATTGATCGATGTACAGCATAAATCATCATGTACGGGTGTTTACTCGTGTCTCTCATAGCCAGCGCTATCAGCTTACAGGAAATGATAGGGATCACTTCACCGTGTCTTGATAATCTCTTCGCATTTAAAGCCAGCGAATGCACTTTGGTGAGATATAATCTATGCTGTGCCCCCCATATTAAGGGCGATTCCGAGACGGCTACGGAAAGCGGCTGGTATTAGCAACCACATGACCTGAAAGTTATATGCATCTGGCTTATAATAGGAGTCACAAGATGCCAGGCTCTACTAGAGAGTAAGGAAAAAGAAAAACCTCGGACGCTCCATTACGCATCGAGGGGCCACGGCATAGGATAGCTGCATCTATGCATGAGAGCAAGGCTAGCTAGTAAGAGACGTGTGCTACACGGGGCGATAACTAACGACGAAGTCTTCCGGAAAGATAAAGACAGACCGCTAGATAGAGTTGAAAAGGTATTAATATCTAAGCCGAGAAAAAAAAATAAGGTAGGCCTATGCCAGAGAATACTGAGCAGAGAATACTGAGGTTTCGCCCGCTGTCTTCAAATCAGCGTGCTGGAAGAGTTCAGAGCCTCACGGAAGGAGATGGTGGTTTATAAGTGGCTTGGTGTCGCCGGATAATCAATCTATTAGAAATATGTGGTCCTAAGAAGTCGCTCTTATACGAACCTAGAGCTTGTCTATGAATCGTTTAGTGGTGAAACGATAGCATATTCGCGGATCCCTCTGGTAGCTGAGATAGAAACTTCATGGTTTTGGTTGAAGATATGAGATGCATGTTAATTCGAGGAACCCAGCAGTCTTCGGTCTCGAGCTTTACTTCTAGTACGGTAGGCCTCTCTTATAATACTACGAGAGACTAATTAAACGTCTCGCACTGAGACATACGGACAGGCGCGCGCTGCGGCAAACCAACTCGGTAGTGGAAGGACAGACTTCCAACAGTTCGGTAGCTGGTAGCTGGTAGCTGGAGACATTGGCCCGTGGCAGATTACGAATCCAGTCTCGCATGACGAAATCACGATAATATCATCACAGACACCATACCCTAGACCATGGCCTCGCTGAAGCAAGGTGAATCACCGCTGGTACCGCCCGCAGCAACGATATACAACGTGCGGCCACGCATCATAATAAGACAAATCCCACGAGCTTGCGTACTGGATTTATGCGCCACAGACACATGGGCTAGGTACCTAACGTTAGGTAGTTTGTCTGCGAACGCTTTGCCGAAAGGTCTCGGACCAATTTCCTCGCTGGCCGAAGGTGGCCGTGATGTTCGGGTCTTGACTCGAGACATCACTGATTACATGCCTTCCGTTCCCGAAACTTTATCTTACGGGAAAGGGGGAAGCGAAATGCGGTAGCAAACTTCATTCCCCGAGTGTCTATTCTTGAATCTCCCCTTTCTCTCCCCTCCAATCCCCCCTCATATAGTTTCATCCGCATGGGAGGAGGTACGGTACGTGCGCACATACGTAGCACCATGGGAGACAACGTTTCGTTCACTCTGCCTTCTTTGCCGGGAAAGGCGTAGAGAATGGCATTTAAACACTTGCGATATTACCAGGTGCTTAGATTTCTGAGGCGAGCGCGAATCCAGAAAGGCGGATAAGGTAGCTCCTGTGCAGAGGATCCCCTGTATGCTAGGTACTCGCCCAGCTCGTGATACTGGCACGAGATTGTTGCACCAAGTGGTGGAGTAAACTCGAGAGAGGAAAGGAGAGAGAGGGAGAAGTGTACATCGTTCCCGCCGTATGGCCTAGTACAGAGGAGCAAGAGGCAAAAAAGGGAATATTGCGTAGTATCGGCAGTTGAGAGAGCTAGATAGTCGCGTGCTACAGAGATCTCTCGACCACGCTTTCACATAAGTCTCAGCTCTTTCCGAGACCGTCTGTCAAGACTTAATGCGTGGGCCGAGTCCGACAAGACCTTACCATACGAACCGACTTGATAGCCCTCATCAGTGTCTAGACATAGGGACGTATATTTAGGACCGGGTATAGGTCTTCCATGGATCGTGTGTATATAAGTATGAACCTTTGGACTCGTCCTTGCTAGCCCAGTATCCGATAACCATACGGCGAGTCCCATTATCACAGCCAGCCATCGCCGTTATCTAGGGTAGAAAGGCCTCATGGATTCAAATGTGTTACCGGAAGCTCCAGGGTGTCATATGGACGAGCACGCATCTTTAGGATACAACAGGAGGGACAATTTCGAAGACACAGCCCGGAGGGACAGTGCACCAGCATCACCGATCTACGACGTAGATGGCAAGAGTTTATCGCCAGGTCTGCGAAAGGATGATTACCAAAACCAGTCAAGCCTTGACAGCGACCTAGAGAAGAAGGGAAGCAAAGGGCATCCAAGGGCACATATCTTCCTTGGCAAACCTATGTCGGTTATTCATGAGCTGGCCTTCTTCGTCGTTGTGTCAACGGCCAATTTTACACCTCGTGAGTCGGTTCTCCGAATTGCGTTCTACTCTGAGTTATTCGTGAACAATCTGACTAAAACTAAATAGATTCCGGATTTCATCAAGCCCTCTGCATCCTTCGCCTTATAGGTTCTGATTTGGGCGCCACGAGCCCAGGACAACTCGTGTGGCTTATTGCTGGATATGGCCTGACTGGGACGTTCATCCTCCTGGCAGGCCGCCTCGGGGACGTCTATGGCCACAAACTCATCTTCCTCGTCGGCAATATGTGGTTTGCGCTGTTCTCGCTTGTCGCCGGCTTATCCATCTACGCGCCTCGACCTTACGCTGCTTTCCTCTTTGCGCGTATCATGCAAGGTCTCGGCCCGGCACTAATAGTTCCAAACGCCGTAGCACTATTAGGCGTCACATATGTACCTGGGCAACGAAAGGCTATGCTGTTCGCTATCTTTGGAGCCATGGCTCCGGCTTCTGCTATCATCTCGCCGGCATTTACAAGCCTGCTGGCACTGGCGTGGTGGCCGTATGCATTTTTTGGCTTATCCCTTCTATTACTATTCACTACTCTCGCCGGTGCACTCGTGATACCAAGCGAGTTGTCCCCGGAAAAGGGTAGAGTATCGACAGGGGGGTTAAAAGCATTATGTGCTGAGCTAGATGTCCCCGGTGCTCTAACAGGGGTCAGTGGTCTTATTCTCATCAGTGTTTCTTGGAACCAAGCATCCGTCAAGGGCTGGCAGAACCCGTGTGTTCCCGGGCTTCTGATAGCAGGAGCCCTGCTATGCGTGGGTTTTATTTTTATCGAGAAGTATGCCAGTAAACCTTTGATACCACTCGAGGCTGTCAATTCGGGAGTATTTTTCGTCCTTGGCGCCGTCTTTTGTGGCTGGGGCTGCTTTGGAATTTATATCTATTATATTTGGGGGTTTTATGAGGTGTTGCGAGGCGCGCCGCCTCTCCTGGCCACGGCAATGCATAGTCCGATTTTAGTCAGTGGTATTGCAGCAGCCATTACTACGGGTATGATCATTCACCGTGTAGGACCAGCGGTCGTGATGGCCCTCGCACTATTGGCTTTTACCATTGGCACTACCCTCATCGCAACAGCCCCCATTAACCAGACGTATTGGACACAGACTTTCCTCTGCAATGTGATTATCACCTGGGGAATGGATTTGAGCTTTCCAGCGGCGACGCTTATGCTTTCGGATTTGGTATCTAGCGAGCATCAAGGCATTGCAGCCAGTTTAGTTACCACTGTGGTGAACTATAGTGGTGCGCTTGCATTGGGCGTTGCTGGAACCGTTGAGCTTCACGTGAATAATGGCGGAGTGACCGCCGAGGACATTTTGAAGGGATATAGGGGAGCTTGGTAGTGAGTAACTCGGAGTCATTTCGTTCCCCCCTTTTCGATTTTGAGAGATTGAGACTTCTTAATCAGTCTGATTCGAAACTATCGATTTTGGGATATCGTTTGAACCACTATACTTCAAGCAGCTACTAATTTTCATCGAATAACAGCGTGGCCATTGGGTTGGGCGTAGTTGGCCTTGTCCTGTGCTTGATCTTTGCTTGGAAATTTTCGAACCGCCAGAAGACGACCCGAAGTTAATGAGAACTGCCACCATTACTCTGGGAAACGGCTGATAGATGGGGGTGTTATTTCCCGAAATATGCTCTGATTGACCTGATGGCGTTTACTCGTTAAATGATCTACATTTCATTGGTAATTCAATGGGGGGGAGGGGCATCTTGACGATTCTCGGCAACCGAAAATAAATCCTATTGGTATGAATAGTTTGTCTTCCAACCGCTGATGGATGCTATTCGCATCTCAAGCGATGGAAGTGGCACATACGGGACGGTGCGGAAGAGTAAGTAGAATGGCCCAGAGTGTATCTACCTACTCGGTGACCAAGACGATGGCGGGGCATTTCTCTGAATGATCATGAAGTTTTCTATTATTGTACAATTAAAAAGTATTCACTCACATCTACTTCGTACCCCGATGCGGGCCGTCCTCTGTCCGAGCACAATAAAAGCCGATGTCTGCTGTCCGCTGTCTCGGGAAGCCGTGCTATTTGCTATTGGCTCTTGAGGTATGGATGTCGAGAACGGGTGTGATCAACGCGCAGATGTAGATACTTATATATCACATATCTAACCACTGTGGCCAACAATACCTCCGTGCATAGGCGATTCTTAATGGGCTGCAAAATTCAAATAAGCTTATGAGAAATGATAAGCGAAGGTCGGTCTAGATGCAGTAAGCTATGCCGTACCATGTCTCATGCCAGATTTAGACACATCCCTACGAGGAGGTGTTTAGATAGTACCAACTACGCTCGTCATATATTGATCCTCGCACAGAGATCCTTAAAGGGTAACGTCGAAAATACCATTGAATGTAATAAGAGTGTAATCTTTTTCCAAAGTGTTGAAACGCCGCCAACCAAACTCTCAACATGAACGCCATTAGATAGTACGAAAACCACCTACTACAGAGTTAGCCTGGTATTTCTTCTATGAGGTGGTTTACAATTTGTAGTTTACCGTTGAAAAAAGAGAAGGGAAAAAGCTGATGCTGTAAATACCTGATATGTATATATAAGTGGGGGATAAAAAAGGCACAACAGGGGTAGCTTCATGTGCAGATTGGTAGGATTCAGCCGTGCCTGAGCTGTATTGGACCTCTTCGCACAAACATTATTAAACGTATAAGCGCACGGGTGTATCGTGGATGTACATAATGGATATAGGCTTATGTACATGTACGTATGTACGTATTTTAAACCGTGCATGCCGTTCTTTCCGTCTCGACTACCTCACATTACCTAGGTAGTTACATGTACGGAATAGTATGTAATGTTGTTTAAACTTTACAAGTGTAAAACGTTATATGCATTGTATAGCTAGCTAGGTAGGTTCGTTTGGGGGAGGAACGGACAGTGTCCCAGGTGGCTCCAATTGATGGTCCGACTTGTTACCACCACACGGAGTATACATATGTATTATGTATGCAGTTGTGGATGCATGATCGTACCCGGCCAGGAATCAGTTAAATAGGTAGCTTAGGTCATGTAGCCACCTGTGCAAAAACCTCACCTCATCCTCGCACCGAGTTTTTGACAAATGCTTACATATTTTCTTCTTCTTTCTGCCAAACTTCAAACTGAGCGAAGAAAGAAAAAGAAATAGAAAATTCAGCAGAAAAATCAACGACTCTTTTAGCCGGCGACTCCATTCGCATCCATCAACCATCGACGAATCGAATAGCATGTTCGAGCAGCGAGGGGTGGGAATAACTTAGTTGAAGAAAGAAGCATTGAGATTTGCCTTCTACTAATTTACCGAGATAGCTGAGGTACCAGGTAATTTGCTGTTATTGTAATCACCTGGCAGCCTGGCTATTGCGCATCCCGGGAAGCGGCTACCACCAGGTCCGTGAATACCTAGAATACCCGTATCAGCCGTACCTACTCTGGCGCAGGCCTCAAGTGCGACAGGGAAGAACGACGCTTTTATCGCCGATAACAAATTGCCACCAGCTGTACCCAGAGGACAATCACGCGAAAAAAAGCACTTAAGCTCAAGTTTGCTACTATTGTTGCTGCGCTCCTCAATCCTCAGAGGTGGAAATCAACCGTCCAACCTTTTTTTAGTCACTTTGCATTTTCCATTCTACATTCCTCAGCCGAAAAAAAGAAAGAGAGAAAAAAAAAAAAAGGAAATAATGGCATACAGAGGTATTCTCCCACTTTATTAGCATTTTTTCTCAAAACAGTGTCTTTTAAACTTCTCACATATTATACTCTTAAACCTCACACCTGCAAGTAATTCATCCCCTCAACCTGAACTTCACACAATCCATAACCAAATCTCGCACTGTCAAGAAAAAGGAGGCTAAAACCTGGTTACGTGCAACCTAGTAGTATCACAACCCGATTTAGATCCCGCGCAAACCGCATTTGCCAGCGCTGTCGACTTCTCCGACTACAGCATCTTTAATCGCCCAGTTTCCTTCGGACGACCATCCACTCCAGCGAATTCAACCCCCTTCAACCCGAATCAGCAGGACTACTCGGGTTACCAGTTGCCCTCTCTACCCTCACTACTGAACGAGCGTCAATTCTCCGGCGTTTTCGATTCCTTCCAACAAGTCGATTCTTACGTAGCCCGTTATCCACTTCACGATCACAACACGTCGTCGCCCACCAACCATTACAGTCACGGTCAAGGAAGACCTAGTTGGGCGTCTACTAGGCCAGAATTTGCATTTCCCGGGTTCGATTCGAGTCTACGGCGGTTGCCTCGTTCAGCGTTTAATTGCTACCCCGAAACCCACCCCGGCGTTGCCCCACCACGAGCCCAGGGACAGAGGCCGCCATCCTCTAACACTCACGACGTTCACACACAACTTCCTCGCCCGAACGGTGACGACTACTACCTTGCTGCCTTAGCTGACGGCGACTTTTCATCGCCGTCGCTTCCTCCTATCAACAGCAGCCCTCTCCCGACTACTCGACCACATTTTCTCCACCTACCTAAACCTCTTGAGGTCGGAGAAGCGATGCCAACAGCTGGTCCTCGTTGCCCAAGAAGTAACAAAGGACACCTTGTCGACCTGACTAAGGAGGAGCCGGATTTCGATTCCATCTCGGGAGTCGATCCTGCAACACCTGCCATGCCTCCCAGAAAGCGAGCCGCCGCCGGCGCAAATAGTGATTCAGCTTCCAAGAGACGGCGAACATCTCAATCTTCTCTCCAGAACTCCGGCCGATCAACAAGATTAAAATGGAAGCCAAATGACCAAAATCCGTTTGTCGATGATGGCTACAGTGGGCCCGCCAACGACGACAGCCATGAAACTATTGATCTATCTAATGCCGCTGAAGTTCCACCGGAGTTTATGGCTCCTAAGGCTGACAACCGCGTCAAGATTGGCAAATTTCAGTGTGTCATTTGCATGGATGACACCTCTTACTTGACTGTCACACACTGCGGTATGTCGGAATTGAACCCTTTACTTAATTCTTGCTGCAAATTGCGTTACTAACATGAATATTATTAGGTCACCTATTCTGCTCCGAATGTCTGCATTCGGCACTTCACATCGATAATATGAAGAAGACCTGCCCCGTCTGCCGAACGAAAGTCGACCCGAAGGAAAAGAAGGGCAAAAACCAAAAATCCTACTACCATCTCGAACTAAAGATCATGACCGCCAACAAGAAGGGAAAGCGGCCAGCGGTTTCTTCATGACGTAGTTGAGCACATGACAGGAGGATGTTACTTCACCGTCCGACTGACGTGGTGCAGACGCAGTTCCGACAAGAAGTGGGACGAATCAGAGCTAGGCAGGGTAGTCTTCTATGGAACGGCAGCACATCGTGAGATCTCAGCCTCGCCCACGATTTTAATAGAGGTGTTCTAGTATATTATTGAGCAGGTTTCTAAGATGAGGGGCGTTTTTATTTTTTTTTGGTTTTTTTTTGCCGGCCCAAGCGGGAACGGACATGGGCCCATACGGACAGGTACGCGGCGGGTACAAGGCGTGAATTTCTGCATGGAAGGGGAGTTGGGATTCATACATCCACGGCATGATACCCCATCATTTTCTCGTCTCAAACCGGGCTGGGGTGTGGCTTGTCTTCTTTTGCATCTGGCTGGGATCCTGGCGACAGGAATAGCAATAATGTTACGATAGAGGGCAAGCAAGCATACCACATAGGATCGACAAGAGACCGATGTTTTTTTTCTCTCTCTAGCATGACCTGGCTCTAATTACTACGAATGGATTATTATCATTGTTATTAAGCTATACTTACATGCAAGTAGTAGCATCTCGTAATTAGAAGGGTGGTATAATAGAAAGGACATATTTTCAGTTCACGCTTGAATTATGATAATATTGCTCGATAACCCTGCAAACGTTTCCAATAGCTACACTCCCTCCACGTACCTGACACATCGGCATACAGGTTGCCCAGCACGTAAGCCCTTCCAACACATACATACATGATACATATTATATTAACTATGCCCGCGTGCTACTTCGCATATTCATACCTCGCTACAAGGCGGCCTATCACGAGCCAAGGTTTATCTCGCTTCTCTTACGGTATATAACAGCCCTATAAAACAAAGCAGCTTATAACCATTCTACTAGGTACCTAATACATATACCTATTACACTGCTGAAATAAGCCTAGAGCCTCATTGCTTTTTTTTCTTGTCCTTTTTTTGGCGGGGGAAAGGGAAGAAAACAACAAATAGGCAAGCATCCCGTAAGGGTGGCCACCAATCGTGTCGTCTCTGTACTCATCCAAGTGCTTTCACTTATGTCTGATTGGCCCGTATGACCGGCGAGCGGAGCGGGTGTGAGTTTAGGAGAGCGTGCGGATGTTGGTATTATGTATTATTATATTTCACCATGTATGTAGGTACAGTACATACATATCAACACACCCTTGCAAGGAAATTTCTAGTAGAATCAAGATATTTCATATATGATATTAACCCGCCTATTATATCACGCGCCTTCCCGTACCGTCCTATCTACATCCTAAGGTAAACATACCTAACACCAAGCTTAGTAACAAGTCTATAGGATCCCACTTCTATCATCATCCGCAGGCGAATCCAGCGAGCCATCATCAGGACCCAATAAACCGCCCCGTTCCCCCGCCGCGCCAGGCACCCCGTCATCATCATCCCCGCTTCCGCGCCCTACCTGTCCAGCCCTCCCGGTGCTCCGGCCCTCCTCCGTGCCGTTGAGCACATACCAGCAGTCTTTCTTGGTGAGCAGGCCCTGCAGGACGCCGCGGTCGCTGAATAACACGTAGCGCACTCCCAGCTTCTGGAAGTACGCGACGGCGAGGTGCAGGGTGCAGCGGCTGGGCAGCGTCAGGGGCGTTTGGTCCATCCAGGGACGCAAGTCCAGCGTAGTGCGCGGGTCCGCGAGCGGCTGGTGCGAGAAGAATGCCTCTGTCTCGGGGGGTAGGCTGCGCGGAGGTTGCGTGCTGGCTGCCAGGTTGTACGCGAGCTCGGCGCGACTGATGTAGCCGAGAAGGACGGCGTCACGCGGATCACTTACCACGGGGAACCCGCGGTAGTCGCACGACTCGAGCACTCCGCGCAAGCTGGCGATGGTGTGGCCCGTCGCGGTTAGCACGACTAGATCCTCAATGCGCGTCATGATTTGCGACGCCGGGATGTCCGGCACGTGCTGTGCGCCGCTACCGTCGTCGCCCGAATCCAGGAACGGGTACTCGTTGAAGTGAATCCAGCTCTCGTAGATACCGCGCCGCGAGAATGCGTCGCCCACCCACTTAGACAGCATCACGGCCACCATAATCGGGAGCACGTATGTCAGCGCACCCGTCAGCTCGAACATGATGACAACGATGGAGACGGTCATGCGTGTGACACCTGCAAGCGTAGCAGCTGCGCCGATCATGGCGTATACGCCCGGCGTCACGCAGGGTCTACCGGGATCGCAATTACTAAAGGCAAAGAAGTCCGGGTGATTGCGCTGCCAAATCTCCATGACGATGCCGACTGCCCGGCCTGAAAGAGCCCCGATAGCCATAGAAGGCAGAATGATACCTGCGGGGATCTGTAGTCCGAAGGTAATAGATGCGAGGAAGAAGCCCAGGACGGCGGCAAACAGTAACAATACGATAGTGCCGACCGTTGCAGCGCCCGTCTTACAAAGACCGAATTGGTCATCGAGTACCAACGCGCAATCACTGAAGAGCGAAGACACGAGCTCTGAGGATTGGGCTCGCATGTAGAAATTAGGGTAATTAATCAGGGCTGTCAAGAGAGCGACGATAACAACTTGTATTAGGGGACCAGGAAGCCATGGTGTTGACTTCTTCCACTGTGCCACACGCATATTAGCCTTGATGAAGAGTCCGCCGTAGAGACCACCAAAAATGCCGAGAAGGGCAAAGGGTATGACTTCGAAGCCGTGCCAACCCGTGCTGAACTTGACTTGGTACAACACAAGCTTACCAGACCGGAAGGGGTCGAAGGCCTGTAGCACGACGGCTGCTGTCATGGCGCACACGAAACTCTGCCACATAGTCTTGTCGGGGAAGTAGTAGGACAACTGTTCGAGACTGAACAACACACCCCCAATAGGAGACCCGAATGCAACAGAGATTCCCGATGCCGCAGCGGCAGAGAGCACCTCTCGTTTCCGTGCTGCTTCGGGTTAGCACGCTCTTGTAAAGCCATCGCCATTCGTGATACACACCTTCATTGGTATTGATATTGGGAAATAATTTGATGAAGAGATTTGCGCAACAACAGGCAACATGTACCAGAGGGCCCTCCTTGCCTAACCACATACCCGAAGCGACGGCAAGACACTAGCCTCAGTTAGCTTATTTATTTGATATATGATATATGATATTTTGAGACGTACTAATCCTAGAGACTTGGTGACGAGTGTCCAAGTCCCCAAGAAGCGCCGAATAACGAAACCACCCAGTACTGTCTTTATCTCAGGTATACCACTATGCTTAGCATAGATCGCGTACTCCTTAACCAGGAATCCGGCACATAAGGCAAATGTCACCTATCAATGAATTAGTTACTTATGCTTAGGAATGCTTAGCGATGAACTCACGGAGAATATTAGAAAGAAGAAGTACTCTATAAACCACTTTCCACCAGTAGACCCTATACCTAATGCCGCAGCCCAGGGCTTCCATCCGAGACATTTGGCGCCCTGGTCGTAGCCGTAACAGCAGAATTGCTTGTTTAGATAGAATGCGCCTCCTTCAGGCCCTGAAGTGCAATAACCAGTCTTTATATCACCCAGCCAGTCCGAGGCCACGTCTATGCCTGCTGCCAGTCCACCGACGGCAAGTCCCGTCAGAACGAGGATAACCCATGTCTGGCTGGAGTCTAGGAGCTGTTGTATGTATCCAACTATCCCCGTTGCGCTTGAGTACAGCACCCGTAGACGTTGTCGCTCTTTCGTGTATTCGAAGATCCAATCAATGGCTGTAAGATCTTCATACCCAACTCTCCGGCCCGGCCCCTCAACATACCAATCAAGCGGCGCTCCCTCTTTCTGGTCGTTCGGCGCATTGGAAGTATTATCAAGTCGCTCTGGGTTTAGACCTTCTAGCCTCGTTGGCGTTTCGGTACCGGAATGTGGTGATCGTGGGGGTGCCGATCCCAAGCGATTGCCCGTTAATGTGGATAGTAACCGACTCGACTGCGAGAAGACGGACTGCTTTTGTTTCCGCTTGAAGCTCATAGGCTCTGCTAATTCGTCATTCAAAGGGTCGTTTCCTAGCACGTCCCCATCGTCCCCGTCGAACAAGTAATCGAGCTCGTCTCGTTCGTTAGAAGGCCGCGGTTCGTTCGGTGATCTAGTGGAAGATGACGAGCCTTCTTCCTCGTGTATATTTATGAAATTCCTGCTGCTTGCCATATCGAAGGCCCGGTCATGCGATCTGCCATAACGCGGTGCCTATGTTATCTTACTGAGTCGAAATATGGAGATTGTCTAGGATTCATGGCTGCAAGATCGCGTTGCGGCTTTGCGACTAGAAGAAGGTTCGGTTCAATGGTTATGGGTCCGAATTGGCTGTCGCTAACATGCCTAATGCATGTACCTAGCCGATAACGATAAGAGGATAAGAGCTGAATAAGTTGTTACCGACCCTCTGTTACAGTGACTTGGCAGCTATGTACCTCTTAAAAATACCACTAGTTCTCATTGGCTCTTATAAAATCAAAATCATAGTAGAATTCGAAAGAACTTCATCTAAACAATAAATGATCTAAGAGATAATAAAAAGAGAAATCAACAATACATGATACATAATACATTCTTACTTTTTACTAATGCTAACGAGTTGAGATCTACAGCAAGTTACTCATCCTCAAATGTCAAGTGAGCATAGTACCCGAGAAGAGCCCCTGGCTTGAGGCATTGATACCGTATAAGTGAGAGAAGATGGATATTCCAGATGTCTCAAAGCTACAAGTACAAAACAGCGATGAAGGCGGGTCGAGCGACACTACAACTTCATCTTTAGAGAAGATCCAGCAGCTTCTCAAGGCCAAAGATGATACCTCCAGATTCGTTGGGTTGGCTCTTTTAAAGTCCGTCTTAGACAACTCCCCTGAACTTCAGAGCGAGAAAGAAATTCTAGTTTCATTATGGGACTCTATTTCACCCAAATTCTTAGACAGGTTGTTACGCACCGGTTCTCACTCTAGCTCAGAGAAGAAGAGCCCCAAGGATATGCTTGACTTAGCAGTCGCTGTTGTTCATACATTTGCTGTGCTGTTGCCCGATGACGCAAAGCAAAATACAAAACTACTGAATAGAATACCAAGATTGGCCAAGGCCGTCCTTTACAGGTACCTAAGTTAATGGAAATCACTGCTCACTTACAAGTCGCATACGCTAACACAAGGCCAGCTCCAAAGAGACAACCCAGGTAATCATAGAGACGTTGCTAACCCTTGTTGCCGTACCTGGGGGTGCCAAAAGCTTTGCCGATCTTGATCTTGATGACTGGACCCCTTTAATAGAAGTCGCCCCGGAACACTCACATGTGCTCACAATATTCATCTGGGCCTGGGAGAGGGGACCTACCGACCTCGAAGACGAAGCCGCTCGAGAAGCGATGAGGACTAAGATCGACCAAGGAATTCAGTCTTTCGTATCCTCCTTTATTGGGACTGACGCAACAAGTCTCCTAGAATTCATATCCCATGTTCTAAGGAACCTCAACGAGAATGTATGATACCTTATACCAGTGGAACCTGTGAATAGCTTCTAACCACCATTTAGCTCATTCCTAGAGATCCAAAATGGCTCGGTTCCGTTACTAAGCTCATACGCAACTTAGCGACCAACAGACCAAACGCAGCTAGCCGTTCCGCGTACACAAACTGCGCGGGCGCCTTGCTGCTTCTCTATCCGGAGTCGACGCCTCAGCTGTTGTTCCTCGACGAAAAGGACTCGACAAAGCCGTTCTCATATCTCTTCATCAATCTTATTCTAGTAGACTTACGCGCAACCATACCTTCTCTTCTAGAAAAGCTCAACGACCCGGAATACCCGCGGATCTCGCAGCGTCTCACATCCGCACTTGATATTCTAACAGGCTTCATCGGCCAACTTATCTCTTGGATGGAGGAGCTGGACAATCCCAAGCCAGACGCAAAACCAGCAGATTCCTGGCTCAAGATGCCTCCTGACCTGGTCCTTAAGCTCAGCAGCTCCATCGCCGAAACCTTGTCCGTTGTGATGGAGTATCTACGGGATCGCTGGGATGCCTCGGTAGCAGGAGCTCAGGGGTTGCACCCGGAGGCACGAACGAGCAACGCACATACAGACTTTGGCTCCCACAAGACGCTTGCTTGGGACGCGAAAGACGAGAGCGCAGCCACGGATACCTTCATACTCTCTGCCATACGCGCAATCGCGCTCTGGGTCCGCGATGACGACGGTGACGCTTTAAGGAAAGAGGGCGCCGGGTTGATGGACATGTTTATGGAACTGTACCAAAGTAGCGGTTCGAATTCACCCCAACCGAATGGACTAGATTACAGGCTCCCTGTCCTTGCAGCGCTTGAAGGCGTGCTCCGCACATCGAAGGGAGTTAAGGCTTTCAACTCGTACGACGGCTGGAAAGTGCTTTCGGGTGATATGCTTAAGATCCTCGAAGAAAGCTCGACTTCTGCTGCCCTACAGGAAGCGGATATCATCCGCGGTATCCGCACTGCTCTCGTCTTGCAGATAGTAGCGGAGAACGAGGGTACAACCCCTGAGGACTGGATGGGCGTGGTGACTGCCGTAGCAGCGTACGACGTACCGATTATAGAGGGTAACTCCAACGACGAGCCACTTCTCGACTTCCAGGCGGACGTATTGCAGCTCGTCGCGACATTACTGTCGAATGCGAATCCGGGCATAAGGAGGCGGTACGTGCATTCGGCCAATGCTATACGGGGGGTTGCGGAGCAGTTAAGGGGTAGGACGAACGGAGAGAGTGATACGGCAAAGGAGTTAGAGGATGTGTTATCTCTACTAGATGGGTTGCATGTATAGTTCCATATACTACCTCGTTTCGTCTCCTTATCCACGGAGGCTTTCGCAGCTAAAGATAGGCATAACAGGCATCTATATATTGCAGCACTGAAGTAAGAGGTACCACCTCACAATTCGAGTAAGCAATCTAGGTTAGGCATCTACTTGACATCGAGGATGCCTGGCATATAACTCGAAAGAGACGAGGCAGCAGTATCAAACTATGAAATACAAAGCCTGGTGGTGTAGTGGGAGCACACTCCATCATTACGCGCTTCTGAGCAACGAACTTGGATGAGAGGTCGAGGTTGGAAAGGTCATGGGTTCAAATCCCATCCAGGCTGATTTTTTTGTCTTGATTTCATTTTTTTTTCTCTTTTATTTCTAGATTATCTACTTATGTACCTAACCTACGTACCTGGGTGGTAAAGTCTATCTTACGACGGAAATTATTTGGGATTCTAACACTTGATCAAAAAGAAGACGTGTAGAGACACAACCCTCATTCCACCGAATATCGAGTCTAGCTTTATCTTTTACTGTCGCTCTAACTTCCCGCCACCTTCGAGGAGGTTAGTTTACCGTTCGCCTTCCTATTGAATCCTCAAGCCTATTTACACCCAGAATAAATGAGTTAATAGGCCCAACAAACGTTACTTTCTACTGTAGAAAACGCACACAGCGGGCGAAAATAAAGCTATTCGGACAGACGAAAAGTCTTTAAAAGCCACAAGTTATTAACGGAAAACATCACAGTTTGGTATATTTGATATAGAAAAGATATGGCTACACAATATAATGCTAGTTATACAATTTATGTGTGTACTCTCGAAGCAGCCTAATTGGCTTCCATTATATGCCTTAATTATTAATTGTGAAACTCACCTAGATAGTAATGCTTCCGCCGGCAAATCAGCGTGCGCCTAATAAAATGCTAGGCAAGGATAGATACCTATAACAAAGTCAGCTCGATTATAGAATGTGTAAGCCTAAGAATTGCAACTATAGCTAAGAAATGCCAGGGAGTAGCCATAGTTGTAGATATATTATGCTCTTCAAAGCTCCCCAAGATATGCCGAAACCCCCTGCATTCCCAGAGATAGCTCTGTAATAATGCTAATCCCTATTCTATTCGAACTGCAGGGTCTTAATAGGGTGACCGCAGCAGTCTAAACATCAACCAAACTTCTGTGTATATCCATCACCCTCCAACCTATGGCAATATTCCTACATTATATCGTCGTGCTCAAACGTATATTCGTCCGTGGGTATCGCCTGTTATTTTGTTTAGAAATATATGAACATGTAAATGCTTCTTCAAATGCCATTACTCGCGCATTGAAATGCGGTTCCGACTGTACCCAGAGCAAACTCGTCTAAAATGCCCTGGACACTTGCGTATGTTCCAGCCGATAAGAAGAAAATACCGGTCAAGATAATGATAATGTTAAGGATACCCTCAAACCACCCACGGAATGAACGGTCCTTGAGCAATGCGACAGCACCATCGGCTTTCCGCATGCGGAAATAGGCAAGACCCCAGAAAATGAAACCAAAGAATGAATCAAACAATGAGGACATGAGGGCGAGAACTGTGTTTTTATAATTAGCTATACCCCTCAGGCTTAGAAACATCATAGGAGACTCACGAGAGTTGAAGAATGGGATCGAGTTAGCGATCACGAAAGCAAGAACCCAGGTGGCGACTGAGAGACACTATTAGCGCAAGGATATATATCAGGGTAGGTCGGAGATCATACGTAGAATCAAAGCCCAAGTACCCCAACCAACGAGAGTGTGTTCATTCTTGTGGTGCGAGTTCTGGAAAATCCGAAAGAAGATGAATCGAGCTGAGACCGAAGCATACAAGACGCCCAAAAATATGATCGTAGGGATCATAAATGAGAAAGCGACCTTCTTGTACAGTGGAATCAAGGATCCAAAAGCTGGCGAGGTCATATACTGATTGCCTACAAACGCATATGTGACTGCGCCAACGACGCTAAAGACGATAATCTCTAGAATCGTACATGCCCAAAGAGCCTTGGGAAAGTCTTTCGGCTCACGCATCTCGGCAATGAAACTAGGAAGTGTAATCTGCCCGATGAAAGTATAGCTACACTACTGTCAGTTTTGCATACCGCCCAGAGGGATTAGTCTGGTCTACCTAATATTAAGAAAAGCTCCTAGGCCGGAGACAAACGTAGTACCTAGGATAGGAACAGCTGTGACAATTGGATTGCCGAAGGGCAATGCTACGCCAGTAGCAGGGCTGGTGGCCGGTTCTGCATTGAAGCCCGCCGGATGGTCCTGAATACCGGCAAATATTGTAGCAAGGATGACCGAGACGAACGTGAACGCCGCCGATGCAGTACCAAGCTTCGAAAGCATGCTAAAGGTGCGAGGCAGCGACGACAGCCAGCAAATAACAGCAACAATGGCACCGAAAGATACAGTCTGGCAGGAGATGCCAGCGTTCGGGCCAACCATGGTATTAAGATATTTGGCACCAACGAGGACGTGGAGACCCTGTAAAGGAGTAAGGTTTTTGGATTTTGAATGGTGGCAACGAGTGTCTGACTTACCTGAATGAAGGTGTTGTTTAAGATAAACATGAAAGCTGTGAAATACCAGGCCCATTTTTGGCCCCAGAAGAGCATCTGACCGATATCACATACATCCCTAACTTCGGGATGTCGAAGACAGAATTCCCATAAGACAATAGAACTGTGGTGAAATTATCAGCATAGGTGAGGTACTCAACAATTGCGAAGTTCAAGACAACGTACGTATATAATACTATAAGAGCTTGAACCACAGTGAGAATAAGCCTACATCGTACATTAGTAAATTAAGCTTCGACTAGACTAGCTGCGCCGAAGCTAAATAAAGCTTACCCTGGGACGAGCCCGAGGACGCTGTACGACCATGGAAAACTCATAATTGCCTAGTGTCCCGTTAGTCTCATAAGACCCGTCTTTTCGAAATAAAGATAGAGAGCATAGAAGAACTTGAACATATATCTTATAATTTTCCTAATGCTGAATGAGAGGGAAGAAAATAACAATTGAAAAACTCACTAGACAGATATATTCGGAGAATAATAATGCGGCCGTCTGTGTTAGATGTTAGTAAAAATATATCGTCCTTGGTTTTGACTTTGAGCTTGTGTTCTAAGACGCACCTTTTGCCAGCTACAAGTACGATACTGAATAGCATGGCCGACCTCTTCTTCAAGCTGCTTGTTAAGGATTGCATCGCTACTGAGATTGCTGGAGGAATCGTGAACATCGTCGCTGACTGGCGTTATCCGAGGAGCGATACGAGGGCCTATCTTAACATTGGGGCCACCGAACCAAGCTGACCATCCAGTGGGTATGGCGGTCTCGTGGGTGTCGTAGGTCAACGGCTCGTCCGAGTACTCTGCCTTCATATTGAAGGATCTACGAATTGGCAGATACTGTATAAACTAGAAGAACTAGGCGAGTGTTGAGTAGAACGGGGTGTGAGCGTGAGTTTAACAGCTAGGTTAGTCGTTTAATCTTAAACGGTCGCACATGTAACGGGGAGGTATGACGTTATGACGCGGCCGAGAGCAGCATGAAGGCACGGAGACGGAAGCGGAAACATATACTTCAAGCACAAACAAGCCGATGAGACGAGAGAAACTAGAATCTGAGGAAGCTACATGTAGAACTCGAGAAGATGGGGAGTAGAAATAAGTAAGGTAAGATTATGAATTGTTATGTTACAGTCGCGATTTGCCTTGCTACCGACATTCAACAGGACGCTACGCCTATCGATTGTTCTTGTTAGGTAAAAAGTGGTCTAGAAGGTTGACCGAGCAGGGTAATCCTTCGTTCCACTGGTTACATAGTATGCTGTAATGCTGCTTCCTACGTCGAATAGGTACCTACCCTAATGTAATACTTTTCGCCGCACAGCTTTCACAGAAGTCCCACTGTGGTTCCTGGTTCCTTCTCAGCTAGTACATACATTATGTAGTAGGTAGTATGTATTCGCAACTTACTTTTTTTCTCCTTGGACGCTACATAAGCTTTTTAAAAGACTCAACGTGACACACCGAATAGGCGTTCCCGAAATAAGCGTACAGGGCAATCTTCCCTCGTGGGGGTTATTATTGGTCCATCTATTCCTTCGCAAAGACTAAGGGTAAGAAGCTTGTTCTCTAAAAGAAGCAATTAGTCTGGTGCGCCTCATTGCCTTCCCCGATAGCCAAGAGAGACTAATCCTATAGCGGAAAAGCGGGCCAAGCACGCAACTTCGATCAGCTATGACGACCAGGTGCGTAGTGCGTACCTACCTACTATGTAAGCTACCAAAAATGTAGGTACCTAGGTACCTGTTTTCTCAGCCGTCAGAAAGCAGCTACAATGTAACCTAGTACCTCACACATGCTCAGATCACAGGTAGGTATGTGATATCATAGGTTCAATGTTCTTTTAACAGGCCCTGTGGGGGTAGCATCGATCACGACCCTAACGGCGAACGGTTTAATATATCCGTCTCGTCTATCATTCGAACCAGCCCGCTGGGTTAGACCTCTCATCGCATGCGTCAGTCAATTCTTTAGCTTCGACGAGCAAGTCCACGGGAACTTCTCGGATAGCTCCCGAATGTACTGCGTAATCAAGTGGTACAATCTACAACAAGCTTTTCTCTTCTCTTGGATCATGCTGTCGACATAAGAGGATATTAATGACATCCCTGATGATAGCGAGTCTATGACATGCGATCAAATCATCAGCTCGGTACCCGGCATATCGTAAATTCAATAGGGCAGATAAATTTATGTGTAAGTAATGCCGGTTCGGTAGTGTAGGAAGACCAGGTAGGGGTAATGATTAGGTAAGGATTAGGTGTACACCAATAAGCATACATTAAAAGAAAGGAAACACAATACTAAAATAAGGCTATCACGATTTGTTGTTGTCTATTGTTGAGTTGTATGTGTATGGGTTAGCCTAAAAGGTAAACCCTTTTAGGCTTAGCCCCACGCACGTGGTAGCACGTGACTAGATTACATAATTGGCTATTCCCCATATTCCAACAGGTAGGTTAGTCGTTTTCTTGGTAGGTACATGATCTGCTATGATCTTGGACGACGTGCTACCAGCTAAATATAGGACAATAGGTATGAGATATATCATATATGCATACCTGTAGGTAAAGTGCTATTTTATCTTTAACTATTTGATGCTGATGAACATACTTACTGGTGCTATTTCTTTCGCTCAGCTACACTTGCGCGTGATAACGCATGCAATTGGGCTGGTCGTTGCATCGAGGAGATTATATTTCGCATCTAAAATGTTGCTATATCGAGACTCATATAATGAGACCACAACGGCACTATGATAATCAATGGCACGTGAAAACAAAGCATCGCACATTCCAGGAAATATAATTGGTACGGAGTCGGCATGGCTCCCCGTTTGCCGAAACTCGTGTCTTTTGGGTAGAGAGACACCATGTGCTTCAAAGACAAGACAGTAACCTAGTTGGATATGGACTAATCGATATCAAGAGAGAGTACTCAGATATGTCTGCAAGCCTCTGATTGGGTCTTTATGCTGGACACTCATCAATGGGTTTATCAAGACATATAGCTACACAGCTGCCGTAGCAAACAATTCGGGAGGATATTACGAATTAGTACGAATTAGAGAGACGAGCCGACTGGCCGGCTGGCTTTCGTTCCAGGGTCCAACTCCTTTCTTCCCGCAACGTTGATTTTCCCCGCACAAACTTGGCCCGTCGGTTGGGTCTTTTCCTTTTTGAGCTGATCCTGTCTACATAGTGGCTTCAGCTTGTCTAGTATAAGTTCATACCAATAAAGCGACATCGGCTCCAAATTAAATGTTTTGAGCATAGTGAATATTTGCTTATTCGAGTCACCAAATAGGGTTATACGTTTGCATTGCTCACCATCATATTAGGATTTGAGGCTCAAGAGCCTCGGGAACCAAGGCCGAATTCGCGCAAGCTTCTTACATTTGGAGATCGTCAACCGCTGAGTCTGACTCTACATAATAGTCAGCCGCCGTCAGCGGTGCAACTCATCGCAAAATTTTATTATTTAAGAATCGTACTTCGCATACAGTCTCGTGAGCTACTCGGTTTGCTGTTGAATGTGCGCGTCAATTGCATTTTTTTTCTTCTTTTTCCGTTGAGCATCTTTTAACCAGTGTCTCAATTGGCTTTGATTGCCTTGACTGAAAGGAATGCAATTTGGCAAAGCTTCCCGTACGTCGTGATTTTCTCCAAATTTCCGTCGCGTATTGTACCGCGCCTTCGAGCCGAGTGTCGGAATATTTCGAGCGCACAGCATCAGGCTCAACTGATAATAATGGCTAACTCGGGCATTCAAGCAGATTCAGCTCCGAGCGATTCGGACAAGCCGGTGGATGAAATTATTGGAAACAATAGTTATCATCCCGGTGTTGCCGGTGCCGAGTATGATGGGCTTCATGTCCAATGTCCTCCTCACACAACGGAGCGGAAGCTCATAACACGTGTCGACTGGCACTTGATACCGTTCCTCTGTATTCTTTATCTCTTGGCGTTCTTGGACAGAGTCAATATTGCCAATGCGAAGTCTTTCCGTCTAGTTGAAGACCTACATCTCAAGAATAACGAGTACAATACTGGTAAGTAAATACTAATAAAAGGTGCTGCTTTATACTGATACTGAGAACCTGCTTAGCCTTAACCATGTTTTTTGTACCATATATAATCGCAGAGATTCCTAGCAATATCTTTCTAAAAAGGTTATCGCCTCGCATATGGCTTCCTACCTGTATGTTGGGGTTCGGCATTGCGTCCGTATGCCAGGGCCTTGTACAGAACTACTCTGGTCTCCTTGCGACGCGATTCTTCCTAGGTATTGTCTTCCGCTTAAGTTGGAATAAGATTGTCATACTTACACTGCTTAGGGTTGTTCGAGAGTGGGATGTTTCCTGGTAATTAGCAAGTCCCCAAACTATAAACTCAGAATATGCTAACGCAAGGTTAAGGATGTTTTTATCTCATTAGTACGTACCTGTTTACCCGTCTGGGATAGCATAGTATAATATGTTAACTCATAGGTGTATGTCGCTAACATTCGGTCTTGGTTAGGCATGTGGTATAAGCGGAGTGAATCGCAGAAGCGTTACTCCCTATTCTTTACGTCCACTTCTCTGGCTGGAGCTTTCGGGGGTCTCTTGGCGTCTGCTATAGGCAAAAGTAGGTGTATCCTCTAGGAAAGTAGGAAAAGTAATTCCCGGAGCATACTAATAATTGATTAGTGCAGGGTATCCGTGGATATAATGGCTGGCGATGGATTTTCATACTCGAAGGAATCCTTACATGCCTAGTTGCGGTTATATTTTACTTTGTTTTCCCCTCGTTGTAAGTAATCCTCTTAGCCTTAAGTGCAACTTGTGTGGTTCTGACTCGCGACAGCCCCGAGGAAGCTAAGTGGTTGACCGAAGAGGAGCGAACTTACATAAAAGCCCGACTACAAGCCGACCAAGGCCACAATGCTGCTGATCGAAAGACTACGTTTCGCGATGTTCTAAATGTAATGAAGGATCATCGTGTCTGGCTTGGTGGATTTATGTACTTTGGGCTGGTCGTCCCCGCGTATGGTTACGCCTTTTTTGCGCCTACAATTATTTCGACGTATCATTACGATCCTATCCAGACGCAGCTCCACAGCGTAGTCCCTTGGGCTGCATCCTTTGGCTTCTCTCTTCTCACAGCTGTGCTATCCGATTGGATGCATCATCGTGCAGCTTTCGCACTTGCGCCACTTACCCTTGGCCTTGCAGCTTTCGGCGTTTTACTCAGGGTCCACGACAACACACCCGTTCAATACGCAATGTTATGTTTCGTTACGATGAGCACCTACAGCGTGTTACCCATTACTGTCTGCTGGTTTAGCATGAATCTCGGCGGTCATCATCGTAGAGCTATAGGTACAGGGTGGCAGATTGGCTTTGGTAACATCGCCGGAATCATAGCCACGTTCGCTTTTCTCAATACCGACGCCCCCTATTTCAAGAACGGTTATTCAATCTGTCTCGGTTTTACATGTTTGAGCGGTTTGGCATCAGTCTTATATCTCATATCGATCTACCGCGAAAACCAGAGGAGAAAGAGGGCTGTCAGAGACGTAGGCTTATCAGACTACGAGAAGAGCGAGTTGGGAGATCTGAATCCCGAGTTCAGATACATGTATTAGCGTATAAGTGGGACTGGCGAGCAGTCGTATTTTAGACATTGGATTGATCATAAATATGAAAGGAGTTGGATAGTTGGGATATATTAGTCAATGTGGGATCCCGAGTACTATATGGCACATAGCTGCTAACTTTTGTACATACTAAGATTTCAGCTATGTATAGTGTTGCTAAACGATAGTCTCATAGATTTATTTCATTCATACTCGTCGACGCTTTCGAAGGAAGGGGCCGAATACAACCAGGTAGCGTCGTCCCAAGCATAAGGCCCGCCTCAATATCGAATTGATCATCGTGCACCGAATTAGGAAGAAAGAGCGGTTTTAAGGGTAGATACACTGAGTCGTCGAGAGCACCTAAAAGGGGTTCTAGCATACTTTCGATTTCTATCAGCTGGCTTTCAAGGCCGGGTACATTTATCTTCCGAAGCCTCTGTAAACTAAGCTCAGCGCCTATCTTCTCCCCAGACGTCAACGGCCGTTCCCTCTCTATCCGCACAGCCTCAGCAGTTCTCGGCCCCCACCTACAGCCATCACCATCACTAATGTTTTTAATTCGTTCATTAGCATACGCCACTAGGTTATCTCGCCGTACAACCACAACCTGGTCCACGGCGTCCGATGAGTCCACAAACGCCGCTGCCTCTAATAACCCCGCGTAAGACTCGTCGTGGACTTTACGTGGGGTCAGGCGGAGGGGCAGTCCACCTTGCGGCCCGGCCTCCGGCAGCTTCTCGTAGAACCTCGTCAGGATGCCAAGACGGCTCAGCGCTGCAGGGACTGCCAGGATAGCTACCTCGATACGATAGCCTTCTGCGCGAAAGAGACGCGCCAAGTCCGCGAAATCGCCCGGGTGCCGGGCCACGGACTCGATAAGCACGTCGGCGCGCTGCGACGCGACATACGATGCAGCCGTGGCGAGCCAGCGCCGCGCATCGGGGCTCGTTGCCGGCGAGGCTAGAGCAGGGCGCGTGGCGAGGATCGTGCGATATGCTGGATGGAACGTCTTATACGTGTCGGCGACGAAATGCGCGAGACGCTCGCCACCACGTAGACGGATCAAGGCATTCTTGATCGCGGGCGCTGTGCGCGTCTTCCCGGCGCCCGTCTGGCCGATAAGCAGAACCGCAAGCGGGGTTCTCGCGGCTCCGTTACCGTTGTTAGAGATAGGCGCCTCCGCCAAAGAGAGACCGCTTAACTCGGAGGGGAGGATATCTCGCTCAAATATAATCCGCGATTCTTCCTCCGAAAGAATGTACGACTGGGGATTGGCATCCATTACGCGCCGCGCCCTGAAGAAGTATTCGAGGGGATCTTATAAGGGTATGAGGATACATGGTTTGATTTGATAAATCGCGCTGGGTAATAGAGATATAGGTAGGTTATTATTAGTAAGAGATTAGAAGAGGTAAAGTTCGCCATTTGACCAAGTCCCAAGACTGACTATGCGTGGGGGTAAGACAACTAACTGCCGAGCATGGCCCTTTTAGCTTATAACTGACGGTGGTAAGACTATAGCATGTAAATCTGCGCCCCTATTCTCATAAAGTTGGCTGTAACTCGAAAAGAAAAACCATAGCTTTTCACATTAAATAGTTCTTTTCGTTATATTATATTCACATGTTCTTCCGTTATCTGTTTCTATGTCACCATACAAAAAAAAAACTATTAATCCCTATCATAAGTGATAAACCTAAGGAAAACCCACCCTTAATGTAGACCATGTTTTGGGCACGGCTGTTGAAGTCTTCATCAATGATAAAGTTGCTTTTGAGCATGCTCTTGATGATCATGTCATCAGCTTCCAGATCTCTCCACGGCTTAGGCACGCGTTTATTGGGGAAAACCCAGTGGTCAAAAGTAGGAACAATAGGATACGGCTGGGCATCTGCAATAGAAATTAGTATTCGAAGTAAATACCTAACCTAAGGTAATGGAAACTTACGATCAGAGTCGATACGGCTAGAGTTAGGGACGTGAAAATAATAGGTCCCGGCAGGTATGACATAATTTACAGGTATATATCGTTCAGCAGTGGATGGATTTGAAGACGTGGATAAGAACGGTCCGGTAGTAGAACCCTCGCTTGCCTTGCTTCCCCCACTTTCGTCCCAGATATTCCCAGCAATAATATAACAAGCATAGTAAACTAGGATATAGCAGAGAGAACCGTCGTCGGTAGCACGTAAATCCAGTAGTATGTATGGCGGACCATAGCCGGGGTGAAAAACATGGACAACCTGCCGAATCCGATCGAAATTGCCAACAGGAAATTGTGTAGGTTGGTACTGAGGCTCCAAGTTCATGTTGAATATTGATAGTGTATAGGTAGTTGCATGTTAAAGGCAAAGGTTTAGGGAGAACTACATACGTCACGATATTTAGGCAGAAAAAGATAGAGGTAGATTAGGGAAACTTGGCTTACGTAAAAGTCTGTTTAACAAATCACGTAGTTACATAGGTTAGGTAGTTACTCGCATGTGGCTTTGCCAAACAAATGTGCAAGACTTCTGGCACGGGCCTTCGTAGTTGAATTATATTAAAAAGCATGTTTTACATACCTACCTAGGTAGAAAGCCTAACGTAAAGAAGTATTAGAAATAAGATTCATAGCAGAGAGTATACTAAAATTAGCACTTTTATTTTTGAAACAATCTATCTAGGCTTGTTAGTTACCTAAATAAAAGACAATGACAATTTCACCCGTCCTGTTTCGGAACGGTCCTAAGACTTCTCGGAGGTTAGCCAGAACTACCTATGTACCAGTCCAGCTCTCAAAATAGCTTCCCTGTGTACAAGAATCACATTAGGAAGGGTTATCAATGTTACCTTTATTACTCGCAATGAATAAAAGGGGGACCGTGAATAAGGCTTTGCGCATAATTACCCTTGTCCCCTTTGTTTCCCCTATATTCCGTGTTATAATAGCTTATTTATAGTTCAATATAAAGAGATAATGTTATTCTATTAACCAACAATACGTTGGACCAGGAGTGTCAAGTAACTTGGCTCGTTTCCTATATCTTCGCCGGGATATCATCATCCTGCTCCTAACTTCTTGCTACATGCAATATACCTCGAGCATAATAGGATTGATTCAACATGGACGTCCAAGAAAACCAAGCACTAAATCGCCGTTCGGCAATCCAAGCAACTTACGGCCAAGCTGAACTACTCACAGGCACATCCTCTTATGCGTGTGGGCACAGATTTAGCTGGATCCTTGACTACGTCTTCAAGCGTACCGAACGTCGCTCTCCTAGTCTTCATTCGTGCCCAAAATGTGCTATCAGCCCTACCTGTCTCGTATGTCTTGAACATTTTGATGCCAAAGCGACAGATGCATGTCCAAAGTGCGATTGCTTTTTCGATAAGGCTATCCTCACAGACCGCTGCGAGAAGCTTAGGCAGGTGAACATTAGGGTCATGGAGCATAAGCCTACCACGTTTATAAAACTTCGGCTGCAGGCTGAAAGGGAGAGGCTTAGGATAATGTACAATGAGGAGCATTAACCTAGCCCATCTATGAATTGCCGACTCGAGGCTGAAAGGGAGAAGTTTAGGATTGTGTATAAGCAAGCTCTGTATAACATAGCACCTTAAGTCATAGGATGGATGCATCTAACTTTACCAAATAGCGAATAGACACCTGGTATCATGGGTATCTCCTAGAAGTTTAATCTAAACTATAGCATTTTATCAAAATACTTAGTTGAATCTTGAACCAACTAATAAGCTAGCCAAGTCTTCCGCTGCCCAGCAGACATGTTTTTGTTTAAAAAACCCGATTACAGTTAATTCCTCTAAATCCATTATAAGGTACCTACCTAATTAATAGACATTGCTAGAATTTAATAAAGTGTTATAAATATATAGAAATAAAGTGATCTCAAGTCTCAACGAATATTTTAAGTGGAGCATGGCTCTAAGTCGGAGATGATCGGAAATTCGTAAATATACAAGTCATTCCTACTGCCGGCGATTCTTCTTTAACTCCGGTTCTCCCAGATATATCTCCCCAATGAATAGGATCGTATCTAATCTTATGGCCTTAGGTACATATTTGAAGTCATATCGATATCTCGGCGAAAATGCTGCCCAATGCCGGCGTTGAGACAGCCGATACAACCGAACAGTCGAGACCTACAAGGCAGAAAAATCTCGCTGGTGAAAGAAAAAGCCGAAAGAGACGCGTGCGATTGAGCTGCATGGAATGTAGGAAGAAGAAAGTATGCTACTTATCATAAACCTGAACCTAAACGTCTTTACTAAGTGTTCGGATGTAGCTGTTCTGTGACCGGAACTTACCCTGTCAGAGATGTCTAAGGACGGGATGATCAACACAATGTTCGTACAAAACAGAGTCGCCCCCTTCGTTTAACTTTACAGTCATATCACAAGAAAAGCAGATCCAAGACCTGCAGGCTCAGGTTGCTGAATTGAAAGTATTACTCTCGAAGGTACTTCCCACGGGTGAGACGGATTGTGTAGTGGAAACCTCCTGTGTGGTAAGTGACCATGCTAAATCCAATAGCTCAGTGCTATTGAATGGAAAATCGGGAGACTTCGAAAGCTTGACTAGTAAAGCTTGCGACGGAGATAATTCCCAACCAGACTCAGCATCCTTGTTGGGGAGTAAGTCTGACCATGATACAACTCACGTCAACAATACCGAGCTTTGTGATCCGAAAGAGAGATTCCCACAAGGCTATTATAGCCGACATAATTTGTTTCGGTTCTTCGGCGAGGTAGGTTTCCTCCATGCACATCTCTTTATGTTGGCCGTACTTATTATTTTATTTAGATCCGTGAACTCTTCCCCTTTATCAGAGAGACGGCTAACGAATGGTTCAAACCGCTTGGTGTTAGCCTTACAAGGGAGAAATCCAGCAAAAATGGCTACAATGTGGATTATTCGCCCCGAAAAGGGGTAATTCTGGAGTGTCTCCTCCCTCCTAAGGAGGACACCGGTGCTCTAGTTTCTTTCTGCCTTGATGGTTTGGAGCAAATTCATCGAATAATTCATATACCTACATTCAAGAGAGAATATGCCAGTTTTTGGCTACCTCAGCGGGCTCGGTATCCTGCCATGACGGCTCTCATCCTGGCGATGATATCTATATCGACCTATGCTACTACTCTCTCGGCCGAGGCTACATCTATACCAACAAAATATCGTGCTATGTGTGCGCGATGGATTTATTCATCCGAGGAGTGGTTAAAGCAACAGGGCCCGAAGCATCGCAAAATTGTTCACTACCAGATATCCTGTTTGGTCTATCTCGCTAAGCGGGTAGCCATGATCGGCAAAAAAAGGTGGTGGAAGGAGACTAGCTCTTTGATCCAGGATGCGATTATAGATGGGTTGCATTGTGATCTATCTTCTAATATCGGCACACCTTACACGCAAGAGATGAAAAGAAGGATGAAAAGAAGAATATGGACCGTCCTTAGAGAATTAGATCTACAGAACGCGTTCGAGTACGGTCTCCCTACCCTCCTTCACAACATTAATTCCGATATCCCCCCTCCTATGAATCTCGACGACGATGATTTCGGCGAGGCGTTGAAGGAAATACCCACGTCAAAGCCACTTGATGTTTATACTTTAACATCCTATCAAGTTCATAGCGCTCGCAGCTGGGCTTTGCGTCTTGAGATATCTCAACGTTTATTTAACAGAAGGTTATCTAAAGACCTCATCTATGATGAAGTACTACGATACACTCACGAAATCACGCAAGCGATAGAGGCTATTCCTTCCTGGAATAAAGAAAATACGACGCCACGGGACAATTCTAAGTTGTCAATCCTTGCGAACGCCTTTTGCCTTTTTCAACTGAAAGAGTGTGTTCTTGCCCTTCACCGACCTTATCTACACAAAAATGACAGTAGATACTGGCTCTCGGAAACTGTATGTTATCACACATCGCGAGATATCCTTCTCCTGAATAGCCGCCTGGCGGAGTTTGGCTGTCAGAGCCTCGCAACAGTCAGGGATGACTTACTGCTCGCTTCGTTGAGTCTAGTTCGCATTACTATACTCCAGCCTGAGCGTAAGTTTAACTTTCTCCCCACGAAAAAGATTAATCTAGTAGCTAGCGAGCTATTACTCACTGCTTAGCGTTGGGAAAGCTAATATTGTATACAGTATCAAATAACATCATTGTGACAGATTCTCAAGCTATAATTAACCTCCTTGAGCAGTGTGTTCCCTTAATGGAGGACAGACATCTGCGTTGCTGTTATAGCGAACGTTGGTGATTTGGAACTATATTGACGTAAGTAGCTGACATATTGATCTTATTGAATAACCGTAACTATAATCCTAGCCTATACTTATATGCTGGCTACTATCAGGTTGACACTTACCAATTGACCGCTCCCGAGGCACCGGATTTTCCAGTGTCAGGATGGTTAGATGACAGTTTTCCAGAAGTGCGTATTGAAACACCAGAAACCTCCTCCTAATGCTTACAATTTATAATCTAGCTCGGCGCTCACTCATTCAACCTCGACGACAAGAATAGTACGTGGGATATTTGGGAACCGCTGTAAGATGTAGAATAAGCCTAGGCACCAAACGAAAAAGAGACCTATGATCACCAATAACACGGACAGAATAAACTAAAGCAAAACTGTACGCTATGAACTATACGAAGTTTAGGCATCGTCTTTTGAATAAATAGTTTGTGGCGAATCACTCCTATTTTAACCGTATCTGAACAGTTCTAAGTTTTAGCTTTGGGCGTATTTCAAAACTTCAAGGTTCAGACTTTCAGTCAGTGTACTGGCAGCGTTTTCGGATGACTATTACTGATGGCACTTATGTTTTTCAAGTACGTAATTTCTATCCCCAGAAATGCCACTCCCGATTTGTAGGATCGACCACCGCGCAACCACATAGCCGCCTAACCGTACACCACGCCACGCCGCATGTCACACGACCGTACGAAACCCCCTGAGTAGTTTCTCTTAGCTATACTCAACATGGCTGGGTATACATACCCAGATTATTCAGGCCCGCCCGCTGCCTCGCCGCCAAGGACCAGAAAGCAGAAAGTCCCGAGACAAAGTGCTCTTCGCTCCGGCCACTCGGGCTCCCGCACTAAGAAGAGGGTCAGATTCCAGCCCACGGTCGCCATACGACAATACTATCCTAATGAAAGCCCTCGTTTCGGGTGGAGGAAGCATAAAGCTAGATGCTGGAGCTACCTGTCGCTGTTATGCTTCTAGGAGTTGTATACGCTGGGTACTTGTGCTAGGCGATGACACTTGACAGTGGTATTTCTATCTCGCTCATGGCTATTAAGGAATCGACTAAAGTCCATTTTAGATTGGATCACGAAGATGGAGATTGGAAAAAAAGGGGTGTTGATATTGGATCGAGTTCCCAGTGCTGGGGGTGTTCTTAGTATTTGGACTCATCTGGAAGGAGAAAAGGGGACTCCTATTTTCACTCTATAGCGGCTATGCTAGGTATTCGACATCTCTAACTTCTTCGTACGCATATTGGGTTAGGAGGATATCGGGCTCTGGCAGTCACCCTTCATATCCTCTATACAGCTTCGCCGTTATGGGTATTGCTATTTGTAAAAACCCGCAGTATTAGGAGGCTCATACCAGGACGCGAAGGATTGGATACCTAAGGTATTATGGAGTAGACCGTTTATTTATACGGTCAATTGTCTACTACCATGTCATAGATGTTTTCGGCCATCAGAGAGACGCTCTGCCATATAAAAATGATTCCGAAAAACTATTGATGAACCCTTCCGTATTATATATTATACAGAAACCCCTTATCATTGTAGGATTATCTCGTGCATCATTGCAGTGACCAACACATTAATCCCAACGCCATTAAAACCTACCCTACTTCCTATCCCTCGGGCCAATATTCGGCCTAGCCTTAATGCTCTTATCGTCCTCCCCGCTCCTAACCCTCTTAACGAAGACCTCCGGGTCGAAGTCGACTCCAACGGGGTTCTCCTCGAACTCAGGAGACGCCATGAACTCCACGGCCTCGCGCACCGTATCATAATTATCCACCTGGAACTCAAGCTGGTTGCCGTCCAAGTCCTCGTAGTACATGCTGGTGCTCATGCCGTGATTGACGGACCAGACCGGGAGGATCCCAGCCGCCTTCTTCTCCTCGTACGACGTGACCAGGTCTTGCAGCGTCTCGAACCCGAACGCCACGTGGTGCAGACCGACCTGCGGGGCGCCGGCTTTGCGCGGGGTCGCCGTTGGGTCCTTGACGATGGCGATGCGGTGGTGCTCGTAGTCGTATGTCATGAAACACAGGCGGTGGGATCGGTGCGAGACCCGCCCTCCGAGTATCGTGAGGTAGAACTCTACCATGCCTTCGAAGTTGTCTGGCGTCGTGCGCAGGACGACATGGCACAGGGCTTCGGGCGAGATACGCTTGGACTTATCCGGAGAGAGCTGAATGCTGTCATCCTGCGTCTGGGTGGTAGTCTGCGTCACCATGTTGGACGAGATTTACTTAGAACTATCTTCATATGAGTAGAAAGTAAAATTGGTCTTCACTCCGAGTTCACGGGATTGGCACTGGCAGGGTTCAACTCTGGGAAGTCAACGCGAGGAGATATAAGTGCTAGCACGGCTCGAAGTCTATTTTGAGAATATACCGCGGGTCGCCTTATGAATCGCGACGTCGGTTACCTATCTAATGCAAATAGTCTTGTGAACAGTCTTGTGAACAGTCTTGTTGTAGGACATGGCGTCGAGTGGCTTGGGACCACGGTGTGCAGCCCGTCTAATCTTTCCGATGGAGAGCCGGGATGCCCATATTTGCCGGTGCTGGCTCACGAATGGACATTCACTTTTCATTTCAATTTACAAACTCACTCGAGGCTCGGAATTCGGCGAATATTAGAAGAAGGGAAAAAAACTATCTCTGATGGGTGTTCGTCCGGCTTACAAACTCGACTGCTCGCTTCCAACTCTCCTTGCCGAAGAGAGATCACCTCCGCCGACCTTCTCCACGAGACCGCAGGCGACAAGATTCAATGTCTGGATCCGTTCCAGCCGCGCGACGATGTGGTGCAACGTCGGCAAAGCCTGCCAGTCCAAAGGATACCACTTGAATTCCCCCTCCCCCTCCCCCGCAACCAACCTCTTGATCACCCTAGCTTGCTGCTTCTTTGCTTCTTCTGCATGTGAGACAAAGACGGGGTACTCCACATCTGCTTGCCCAGGCCGCCCCGTCGAAGGCATGTAGCGCCATAGAAGGATCCCCTCATCGACCCCAGCTTCAGGGGGTGCCAGCCGCCGGGACCCCATCCCGTCCTGATTTTCTTCCGCGTGGAGGCCTCCAAGGCTAAATTCGGCAAACTTCGATCCATCCCAGCTCGCTATCATCTAATATGTACTTTCTGTTTGCGAGATGTTGAGATCCGCGTATAGCTTCGGAAAACCCAACTCCTCCCGCCCGCTAATAATCGGGTCTGCCATATCCTCCCAGAGCACGGGAAGATATGTGCCCCGATATGCTCTGCCGTCTCCTTCCGTCATGTATTGCACGCCGTGGATATAGACGCTTAGGAGGTTATATCCACGGCCGGCAAGCCACTCTAGATTATCTAGGCGTTTGGCCGTGATGCTGACATAGGCTTCCGGGCCCGGTTTCTGGAAAGAGAAAGCAGGGGGCAAGAGACTGACAAGATCAGATTGCTTGGTCTTGAATGTGATGAAGGCTTCCACGTTGCGTATTCCAGAGCCGTCACGAGCACGTCCGTCGAACGATTGGCGCGGTCCTGGGAATGGCCCAAAAGTAGTAGGCATTCGGTAGTGTAAATTACCTAGGGACATCTTGCCGGGCGTAAACAATGCAAGCCTTCTAATACTACGAGTACTCATTTGCGTCCTCCTTTGTCGTAATATCTCTCGTAATTTTACCGGATAAATACAAGTGACCACGCAGCTCCTACGCACAAGTTTTCTTATGAAGACGTAGCAGTGCTAGTAGAACCCATCTCAGCGACTAGTCCAACGATGCTTCATAAGTGTGGAGAGGCCTTCACTTGGGAGGTCACATGTCTCCGGATACGGCATGGTCCGGGTTGATCTCTCGGTTCTCCTCCGGGACCCTCCTCGGGAAATCTATTAAACCCCGGCTGGAGAGAGGATTCGGCTGTAAAGGCGAATCGCACCATTCTCGCACCATACATTTGGTTTTTGTATTCAGACATCCCAGCCATCCGCCTCACAACAACACTAGACGCATGCATTTATACATTGAATAGCTTTTGAAGATAGCTCTGGGTCTTTTGCTCGTGAACCCAGACGCTTAACTTGCATAGCCTGGCAAATTGTTGACATTTTATTATATAATATATTAACCTAATAGAGTAGCAATGGCACCGCACGCTTTTTCGGATACATCACATGAGACGCCTACGACAAACGGGACGAGTACGAAGACATCAACACACAACGGCTCCAATGGAACCGATATAGTCCCGGTCATTATAGTAGGCGCTGGCCCGGTCGGCCTCCTCCTTGCTCTTCGACTAGCCATGAATCAGATCCGCACCGTCGTCTTGGAAAAAGAATCCTCACTTAGCCAACTGCCACGTGCTATAGGATATCACGGGCCGGTGCATAATGTCTTCCAGGAGATCGGACTCTACGACCAAATTTCAACAGAAGGAATGCCCTCGGGAGGTTATGTGTGGCGGAAGCTCCCGACTGATGTTGTTGATGAGAATGGCACAGTAGTAGGCAAGAAACTGGGCACGATTATAGGGGAAAACGCAATGAGCAAGGCTGGCCCTGACGGAAAGTTTAAGCCAGGCCATTATTCCATCCAGCTTGCCCAGTGTCGGCTCGCAGAGATCTTCTTGGAGAATGCGGAAAAGACGGGGTTTGTTAAAATCCTCTGGGAACACGAAGTCACGGGCTTGTCGCAAGACGAGAAGCAAGTGTCAGTCACGGTAAAGACGGTGAGAGAGGGAAGCAAAGTTCTTAAAGGTCAATACCTCGCCGCCTGCGACGGTGGTAGATCTACAGTCCGTAAACTTCTTGGAATTCGCCTCTCAGGTCATTCCTGGCCCGAGCGCTTCCTAGCGACGGACGTGCTGCGTATCGCACCGGTCGTCCCAGAGTTTTCCGTCCATTTTACAGTCGACGAGACATTCTGGGGTGTAGCGACGCCGCTGGAACACGTCGAAGCCGGAAAGAAAGGCCTCTGGAGATATAGCTTAGCAGTACCAGCAAAACCCAACGATGATCCAAACAGTGCTCGCTTGACAGACGAGCAGGTTCTTGAGCCGGATTATGTTGATTCGCTCCTCTTACGTCAGATTGATGGGCCCAGACCGAGCAACCACGTTGTAGTGCGCAAGAGCCTCTATAAGATGCATCAGCTACTTGCCAGCACTATGCATCGTGGGCGGTGCTTTCTCGCGGGCGATTCAGCACACATCAATAACCCCATTGGCGGGTTAGGTCTATGTACCGGTCTTCTAGACGGGGACGCATTGGCCCAGACACTCCAGATTGCTCTTTCGACATCGTCGTCTAATCCAAACTTGGAAAACCTGTTCAACCGCTACTCTACAGAGCGGAGGTGGGTCTTCCAGAATATCATCCATCCGTTCAGTAGCGCCAACAAGACACGTCTCCATGGTGCCAAGGCAGACGACATGGCGAGGGAGGATTGGTATTTTAGGGCGCTGGCTCGTGGGGATCCCATGGAACTTGAAAATATCCACCGGCCACTTTATGCGCAATGGAGGACGAACATGCGGAAGTTCTGGCCTGTAGAGATGGCTAAGTAAAGAAGCTAAAGCGATCAATGAAGTTGCTGCTTGAGGAACCTTTGAGTCAGGCTAATGGGAATGCGAGACCACATGTAAAGGATCGTTTTGTACATGAGACGATGTCGCTTACTCGCCTCCAAGACTAACTTGAGTAGAATAGATCTCAGGCACAATATACAAAGTAGCCCAAGCAGTCATCCGTTTCTCAGACTGTATCGACTAGCCAAAAACTGCTTCAACTTAGTATGGACTCCCTCCGAGAATCTCGTAGCGATGCCGCCTCCGAAAGCTGACAAGCAAGTCTCCAGTGTTCGGATTGGATCATCCAATGCTACCAGCTCAGCACCACCCCTTTGGTCCGTGATTGCTGGAACACAGAGCTGGTGATTAGGAGATGAATCGGAAGTCGTTGCTGAGTTGGATCCAGTAATACTTGCTCCCACACTAGAGTAGAAATGCCGATATATTGCATCATCGTCACCCCGCGACTCGACATCTATCAAGACGAGAGTTGATGATAATAGTTTCCACCGCGCTCCCCAGAATACGCTTATCGCCCATAGAGTAAGTGTAACACGGTAAAGAGCAGCAGGCCACCACGATGGCCGGACTTTCTTATCAAGTGAGCGAAGAAGATAGAGGATTTGACCGATATGTAAAAGGGCCTCATCAGGGCAATGGATATACTGTTCGACAAGAGTAGAAGATAGCTGCCGAAGTCGAGAGTCGCTCAGTCGCCTCCTAGCTAAGCTTTCGATGTCGGTAAAGCCCGTTACTGTGTTAAGATATATAATATGATAAGTGATAAGAGTTGCTATCATTAATGGGCTCCGAAATTGGTTGAAAGACACATCTGACTGCTCGATTTCACGGAGACGGGAACAATACAAGCTGAACCAGCGGTGCAGAAGAACCTGCATTTCCTCCATGCGGACATCTGTAGATCTTTTCGTAACCGGAGAGAATAAGCGCGAGTTTGGCCCCTCGCTAAAGCAACTGAGGATTTGGCGGAAACTGTTAACAAGCGAATAAAGGGGATGGAGCAATAGTCGAAACGCCGAGGGTGTTAGACAAATACGTCTGTCTCCTGTAACTTGATCGGTAAGGAACCACTCAAATAGCACACGGAGAGATGGCTGTATCAGCTGTGTGTCGTTCATTCCACGTTTCCACGAGTCAGTATCACAAGCTAGGTACAGTTCTGCAGGACTGGGGAGGACTAAGTTAAGGTCTGCTATCTGTATATGCGGAGTGCTGTCGAGGAACAAGCTGAGTTCTAGGTCAAGAATAACCCAGGTATATGTAAGCCTATATAGTAGAAATTTGCGATGTTAGTAACCCCTTTAATCATGGGAGGAAAGGAAGAGTTCGAGAGGAAACAGAAAGTGGCCCTGCCTAATTAATCTCTCTCGCTCAAGCCAGGCCACGTGCCTTGAATCATTGTCAAGTTCCAGGGACTCCGTATGGCTAATTTGAGCATCGAACAATCTACTGTTCCGGACGATCTACTGATACTTAGTTGTCAAATCCTAGGAGTGGGTGCTGTGCAGAAAAATGGTATAGTCAGGGGTAGGTGCAAGCATACTGCAATATAGATACCACGCTGTCCAAGGCCGATATCCATCAGCCATTTATCGCCACTCCATGCAGCTTGGATAATAAACACCAGTGCACAATGCAGCAACAAGGGCTGGTGGCAGACAGAAACATCCTTTTCGACAGTGTCGAATAAGGAAATACGACAGACTTCCGTTAAGCCACCCGACAGACGTCGTGCTTCATTTGTAGGATCTGATACAGCTCCCTGTCCGATCATAAGCAGAATAAGAAGAGTAGATAATGTATCATTAGATCCGTTTAGTAGCATATTTGCATCCAAAACGCCCCCAGGGACGAGAAGATAGAACGGCTCGAATATGCGCATATATTCGCGAAGAAAATGTTCCATAGTCGCGGAGGGTGGGAGAATAAGGAACCCGCGGGAGTTGCCATCAGGAGACGGGGAAGGGCAACTGGCAGCAGCCGTGGCAGGGTCGAGCTGATGGACTCGGAGGGCCTTTTGGAGGAGAGCCTGCGAGATGGCAGCAAGGTTATCCCGCACATTCTCGCGGAGTGGTAAGCTTGCGAGAGGTTCAAACGGATTGGGGCTTGCGAAGTCGAGCCCAAGCCAGCCCCATAACTTATCCAACTCCGGCATGTGACCGAGGCTCTTGAGGAGCACTCCGGCCGTCCTAGGGCACTTCGACATATCCTCGAATGGGTTGCAACGAAACGACGACCAGTAGTTATACGCTTGGATGATGACTTGATGCTCCACAGCGTCTGTATTATATTGCCACTGGATGTCGTACGCCTGTCTGTCTTCATTCCACAAGCTAGCTGACCCGTCGGTTTGCAGCTCGGTAGGACTGTGCGACGTCAATCCTGTATTGCAGATTACCCCATAGTGACTTGGGCTAAGCGCGCTGGTGGAGTGTTGAGTCTGTTCACTATTCCGAGTTGTTATGAGAGCTTGGTTCTGGCCGGTCCAGCTTTCTATGTGCGACCCAATTACCAACGACCCGGTGCCGGGCGGGACAGCAGTATTATTCATGTTTTGCTCAGACACATTGTCCATGAAGGTGCCGAACCCACCAGTGGCAACAGATTCAATGATCGCACCATGGATTTGTAGCTGCTTTGTCGGCGATGGAACAGAGCTATGTATTGAATCATCAAGACCTTCGCTATTTTCCGAAGAGCTTTGAATATTCCGACTAGGTCTAGCGTGTTCCACATCTATGTTTATACTAGATGTAGTAGAAGATGCAACATCGCGAGGAACATTAACCTCTGCTACTGGCGTTGTTGAATCCTGGCTAGCGCCTGACAAAGATGCACGTACCGGCACCTTTCTGGGCCGCCTGTCGCATGGGATTTGTTTAACGCGACATCGATTGCAGGGTGTGTTAGAATCACATTTCGTCTTAGTCCTTGCACAATTCCGACAAGCTTCTTGTGTACGATGTCTTACACCAGTCATCGGCTGATTCGAGGATTGTCCATCTGCAGAGGTTTCACCATGGACCGCCACATGTCTTTGAAGGACATCTCTGGGAACAATTAATTATAATTGGATAAAAGACGACGGAGGAGTGTAAGAAAAAAAGGGATGTCTGACATACCTCCGAGAAAAAGATAGATGACAGATATTGCATTTAAACCGCTTAATATTAGCGTCTGTAAGATGAGAGAGCGTTATCAGTAGGTAGGTACCTAACCTAAGAGGTATGGTAAGAAAATAAAACACGGGCGACTTACGAGTAGCTAAGTGGCGTTCGAGATGCTCGTTTCGATGGAACTCCTGACCACAATAAGTGCAAAATGCCATCTCTAAGCTATAAGCGAATAGTATAACTAGGTACCTAAGCAAACGATATAAGCCAACAGACAATTTTCGAATAATCTTGTGACACAAATTGAAGAAAAGGCGCTAGGTTTCTGCAGCCGCTATACGGGTGGACGTATTGGACGCATAGGAATAGGAATGCCCCTGTCCGGTAAATCCGCGTAACCCACCTCGGCCTTTGTTAGGTTCGGTTAGGTACCGCCTACCTAGGTAGGTAGGTATGTATTGTATTGCACTAGCCTCCGAATGAACCGAGATGTTCAGCGCCTTTCTTAGTCTAAAACTCCCCGCAAGCCGCAAATCCGGGGTGCTTTAGGTTACTTTTGAGTAACGAATGCCGGAACTCCTTTGTCCTTTGTTCTGCTAAATACGTGTTTTTGCGCGGTTGAATCAATCATGTCACAATCTTTACTAAGACATCGGTCAGAAAGTTCCAAATCAGATATGAAATTGAAATGACAATCCAACCATCAGTTCTGCTCCCAACATATTTCAGAGTTCAACCGATGCCCCCTGAATGTCACGTGGAGGCACGTGGAGGCACGTGATGACTAACATGCCAACGCGTCCACTCCCTTTACTAAGATATCCCAGAATATTAAAACGTATTCGTTGGCCAGGAATGATATGAACCATATTCTTTTAACTATGGCTTTCTTAAAGATCCCTACATTATTACCATGTAAATTACGGATTACGTACCTAGGTATCATATGCGATTGTGACGTGAGCTTACCATGAAGACAATTGGACAAGCTATAGTCTGTGCATACGTCTTATCGGACCCCCACCGGTCCGGTGGTACTTTCCATTAGGTGAGTTGACGCGGTCTTCACTTACCTGGGCATCGAAGCTTCTCAGATGAGCTGAATCTCCATAGTTACCTCCTAGCCTAGATATTAATCGGAGATTTTGATCTGGAACCATACTACAAATGTGTACGCGTACAAGCTACGGCAGCTAAGCGTATAGATCCCGCGACGATCTCGCATAGGTAGACCCTTCATGGAACTGAGAATCCGGGGAAGCTAATATTAGACGAATACTTACAGTGTGTATTAAGTCACTCACCTTTATCTATGTCTTCAAGTTCCGCTAGTTATAGGCATATCTTTTTACTCCAGGACTGCTTCGATATTATCCGGAATAGGTATCACAAGTGCCTACAAGCACCCTAATCGGTATCATGCATTTCAGAACACTTAAGGAGTTAGATACAACTGAAGGCACTGTGCTGTTGTTCAAAGGTGAATCATAACTAAACTTCCTCTAAGGAACAGTATCTAACTACGAGTCACGGTGATAGAGAATCTTGATGGTGAACGCCATCACGGCAATAAAGACCTCATCCTCTTCCCACAACCATCTACAGATCCCAATGATCCTCTGAGATGGCCGAGATGGCGCAAGAACATGGCCTACGCATCTGTTTGTGCCTTTGCTTGCACGAACAATATTAGCGGAACCGTTTACTCAGATGTCTTCGTTCTCATCTCCGAGCACTTCAATGTATCTGTCGATGAAGCCTCAGGATTGATCTCTTGGGTAATCCTTACTCTGGGAGTGTCCGTAAGATATTATCCTGCTACTTCAACGGATTGACTCCACTTACACTTTCGTTTTGAACAGAATTTCATTTGGGTTCCTTCGGCTCTGTATTTTGGGAAAAGGCCCGTATTCATCTTAGCCTGTGCTATCACATTCGCGGCAGCTATCTGGGCGGCGTCGACAGACAGCTTTGCTAGTTTGCAAGCAGCATGCGTCGTTGGCGGTCTTGGTGGAGGAGCATCTGAAGCGCTTGGAGCTGCTATCATTAACGTGAGTTGCACTCCCACCTAGCCGGCTGTAGATTTCTTTTTCTCAATTATCTTCCTAGGATATTTACTTTCTGCACGAAAGAGGCAGTAAAATGGCGTGGAACCTGATCATGCTTGCGTTCGGCAGCAGCTTAGGGCCCCTCATAGGAGGATACCTTATCCAAAGTACGTTTCAGCATCCCAATACAACCCACCTAGAAACTGACAAAGGTGGCACAGGCAGAGGTATAAAATGGGGCAAATGGTTCAGTGCTATCTTTCTAGGCGTTAACCTCCTGATGATCATCTTCTTCGTACCAGAAACGAGATTCAACCGGAACATCAACCCGTCAAATCCTCCCAATCAGACTACACAGGTATCGGAGCCAATGCAGATTTCAGAGACAGTAACAGATGCCGAGGCTAGCAGTGGTATGGACAAGTCTGACCCTGCGCATCTTGAGAAGTCAACGAGTAATACCCCTTCAACGTCGTTCCCGACAGATCCCAACATACCCCGTAAGCCTTACTTCGCACTCCTCAATCCCTGGTCTGGAACTACCCCTGAGGAGTCGTTCTTTGACCTAATGTTCCGACCGGTCCCCTTGATTGTCTATCCGGCCTGCCTCATGGCTACGTTTATCTGTGAGTTTAAAATGGTTATTAAAATTTTACTAAACGCTACTAACTTGGAGAAAAGACTCTATTTGCCTCGCTCCAACTGTCATGGTCAACGTTTTGAGTGGCAGTATTCTAATACCTCCACCATACAACTTTAATGTGGGAAACGTAGGGCTAATAAACATCCCGGGAATGATCGGCCAAGCAAGCGGTTTTATAATCGGCGGTGTTCTTATTGATAGATATTCCGCTTACCGTGCCCGTCGCAATAACGGCATATTTCTTCCTGAGGAACGGCTGGCTCTATTATTCATCCCTAGCGCTTTGGTATTCGCAGGAACTGTCCTTTTCGGCTTCGCTGCAGAGAGACAAATGCACTGGGCCGTCATTTTTGTTGCCTATGGCTTAATGAGCGTCGGCCTCACGGGTGTTGCTAGCATCGCCATGGTATACGTGTGTGACAGCTACTTCCCCGTAGCAGCAGAGTGCTTAGAATTAATCAATGGATTCAAAAATATCGTTGCATTTGGATTCATCAGAGGCACCGTGCCGTGGGTCGAGTCTCAGGGTTATGAAAGGGTAAGTTGGCCACTCCTAAAGCCCTATTTCCTCTATACTATACTGACAAGTCACTTTTATGATAGGCTTTTGGTACTATTTCAGGTATATTTGCAGCTTTTGTTCTCTTAGCAATTGCACTAGTGTTCTGGGGACCCAAGATCCGCCATCATACTTCCACACACTGGCGATTAATTAGCTGGGAGAAGGCTCACATTCACTAAACCCGTCGTTCAAAGCTACGGTGTGCTTTCCTAAACACTAGAATAAGAAACAACAACATATATTTGGATTTCACTATATTTAACGGTATAATATATTAGGGTAAGCAAGCGGATTTCACCCTTAGCGTTTCGGTAATAGGCTACAGGCGTGCTTCAGGATGGATACAAAATTCAGCGGTGGGTAGTTAAATATCAAAGAGAGTCAGTCGTTACTCGGGACCTCGATTAATTAATAAGATGCTTAGCCCAATACTTTTAACAGGCGCTTACCTATATACAATCTGTAGAACAGCCCCTTATGAACCAAGGCTATCCGTTGAGCCTCTTAAACAATATAGAACAAAAGTGTCTAAGTAATCAATATAAAAGTAAACGAGGTAATGCTATTTAAATGTATCCTAGTTAACAATAGCACAACTCTATTGCTTTTTTTTCTATCTAATTTGCCTACCTTAAGCATAGTATGAACCGAGAGACAAACTTCAGAAAATATCACGCCAAGTCTTAGCTATAACACTGTCAGAGATACCCCTTGATGGATGTCATACGTAGAGTGAATGTTAGAAGCAGCAGCAAAGCTGCTGTATAGTAGCCGTGTAGTCGTATGAATATATTAACGCTTAATCTTCTATCCTCTTATATATCTGTTCTATGTAGATCTATGCCTAATTCATACTATTCTCACTTGTCCCCTGACAAACACCGAGTAGCAACGACAATTACTGTCTCGGGTATTATCTTTATCATCATGCAAGTCAAATATGCAGGATGTTCTGGGGTACGGCTATTTTCTCGGAAGTGGAGAGCCGAGCTTGGCCTCATCGGAGTCGTAAAATGCATTCTCCCTATCATAGCTACGTATATCTATGTCTTGGCCTTTCGCATAGAAGCATAGCCTCGAGACTGAGTATAGTGTATATCCAAGGGTTATGCCAAGTAATCATGTCTGAACCGACGTTCTCCAATTTGATCCGATTCCTAGACGAGTCGTCCGTTGAACTTTATGGAGATGTCACGAATAGTTCGCTGGATATCATTGTTGGCTTAGTAGTCCCCGAAGGAGAGTTAATGGATTATGAGGTTCGTGTTCACTGACTTGGGATTAGTGGTATACTGACTCAAGAACGTATGCTTTCAGGGAGAGCTGTGCGTTAGCATCTCAAAGACTGGCAAAAACATTCCCGAGGAAAAGGCTCTCGACTACGTCTTAGGAGTTACAGCGGGAAATGATCTCTCCTCGCGCAAATGGCAGCGACCTCCCTACTCAGGGGGACAATTCACCTACGCCAAGTCGTTTGACTATTTCGCTCCAATTGGACCTACGATTCTCCATGGCTCCTTGATAGCTTCCAATCCCCCGCTCAAGATTAAGACAATAGTTAACGGCGAAGTTCGGCAAAACGGAAGCATAAATGAGATGCTCTTCAATATTGAAAAGATCATTGCGCATGCGAGCAGAGGAACGACGCTAAGGTAGGGAACAATAATTATGACTGGAACCCCGCCCGGGATAGCCGCTAAGTGGCCAGGACAGCCTTGGCTGAAGGATGATGACGTTGTTGAGGTTAGTATTCTTTCCTTAAACCGCTGATCACTTTGTTAAACGCATTAATCATGCCACTGTACATAATACTGTGATCTTTGTAAGTTCCCGTAAAAGGCGCCATATCTCGACGACCAAATAAGACATCCCTCAGCTCCTCCGCCAGCCCTTTCAAAGGGATGAACTGAGGCGCAAATTCTGCGGTAACGTGGTCAAATCCCACCATATCCCCAAGCTTGTTCCGTGCTATTTCAGCGTAGGTTCCGAAATACCATCCGTGGAGCCTGCTAGTCTTCATTGGTCTCACCCGCTTGCTAAGCCTCGACTCACCTATGCCTTCGTAACCATAACGAATGCACATCCATATGAATACGTAGAAGAATGACTCAAGATCATGTCGGTAAGTATGGCCTTTGCCCTCGAGCACCTCAATTGCCATAAATCGCATGGTACCAGTCCGATGACTAGCTCGACTCGGTACAGCGTCCAGCTCCTTTGCCAAATCGAGATCGATCAGCCTTCCCCTCGGGTCGCATTCAGTAGCAGGCTCGGTAATTATGATATTGTTTTCGGAAACGTCCCGATGGAGTATCCTACCATCTACAAGAAGTGACCTGTGTCCCTTGATAGCATCGCGGAATGTTGCTAGAAGCTCCTTAACAGATCTATATGTATGAAGCGGTCGTCCAGCGGGTTTAACCACTAAACAACAGTGCACGCGATTGTCGTATGCCTCACTGTCCTCGCCTGTCAGGCTGTCCACATCAGGTTCTTGAATACTGGGGCTGTCGGGCTGCTGTGAGTCACCCTCCTTCGCATCTTGCTCCACCTGTCGAGGAACGGATTGGCTATCGTTGGATCTCGATCTCTTGGTTGGACTGATCTCAACTGCGAGGTGCTCATCCTGCTTTCTTTTCTGCCTAGAAGAAACCGAGCTGCTTGTGTTCATCGCGAGGCTGGCTAGGCGTCTCACACTACTCTTAGATCTTCCCCGGGGATTGCTTCTCGTCTTCGAATCTGCTTGGCTAGACTCCGTACCACTGTTAACCCAGGAGGCTTTAGCGGAGATCTTCCGCGGTTGGCCAAATTTCATACCACTTCGCAAATTGGCGATCGTGTCCGCAACTCCATCAACAAAAACTGGCTCATGATGAAACCATTGAGCGATACCTGTAACGCCTCTCTCTGTAGCTAACTTCAAGAGCCGTCCTTCTCGTTGCCGCTTGTCAGATGGCCAAGCGAACTTCACAACATACTGCCAGTCCGTCACATCGCTGCTTCTTCCTCGATAGCATGCTGTTCCCCTGCAGACCACTGCTTTCTGCGAGGTGATCGGCTGGTCTTCCAAATAAATCCTTATATCTCGCGCAACAATGTACCTACTATTCCCATCGCGCTTAATGAACGTGTTTAAACCCAGTTCTGCGTCTGTCATAAGCGCATAGCCAGCGATAACCCTGACAAATCGCTCCGGCTCTTTGTGGATATCGAACCTTTCAGAACTATACGGGCCAGATCGATCGAACAGCCAGAGGCGCATCAAGCTTCCGCATATCGTAAACCCAGGCACAAACCGCCGCTCAGGCTGACTTCCAAACACCTCACGCGCGTATCCCGTCAACTGCACCAATGTGTCGGTCACTCGATCATCGCTGAGGCTCTGTTTCTGCTCTCTAATAACGAGGGCATTTGACTAGTCGTATGCACTAGCTTGGAAGCTGGCATCGGCGGATGCGAGGAATATGTCAAGCTTCCGATCGGCCTCGGAGCCCTTCAGCGTTTGGTTCGCTGATGTGTAGTATTTGCGACTAAGTCCACCGAGCACATCGGTCTGAAAGTTTATAAACCACTTATAAAAAGTCTTCTCTAATGGAGGCTCTGGCCAACCTTTCCATCGACCGTCGATGTATTGTGAAATCGACTCGTTGTAGATCTCCCCTGCCTTGTTCGTCCACGTCTTCCCCTCGAAGTATCGCTCAAAGAATCCTTTGACATCGTCATAAACGCGTCGAGTGAGTTCCTCGAGAATTCGCTGATCGACCTCATGACGTGTCTGCTTGATTCCACTCTGCGAAGCCGAGCTGGGTCGAAATGGGGTGTCGAGGAAAGCATTCTCAAGGGCAATCGGAGGTGTGGTTGCTTTCGGTCTTGTCTGCGAAACAAGCTCGAACACAGCATTCCATATCTCTATATCTGGAGCATTTTTTATGACGAGTTCAATCAAGGGGATTGCTAACTTGGTATCAAAGCCGCTCAAAACAACTTGAGATGCAAGGTTAAGTAGATCTAAAATGAGAGGAGTGTTAAGGTTAATTTGCGAGTGAAGGATGCGAGCAACCGGAAGAGTCTGCAGTGTAAGAATAAGAGTTAAGAGCAAATCTTGTACATAAGTTAGCATCACAATAAAACCGTCGAAGACTCAAGCTAACCTGAGCCAAATTCTGCGGAGAGAACCTCCTCGATAGCAGTGGATGATTCAATCACATCCAGACGCGCTCGAGATGATTTAAATTGGTGACAAAAGGCAACCAGCCCGTCTTTAATAGGATGGCTATTGACAACATCTGCTTCTTCGGTCTTCATTAAGAGGAATAAGGTGATATAACGGAAGGAGTCTCGAAGAAGACTAGCGAGGGTTTAGATGCGGATCACTCACATCATAGCACGTGACTAATCTGGCTCAGCCTGGATGAGAATCCCGATTTTATCCACCTTCAGAAATAGCATTGACAGTAAATAAATGGACGTTTAAAGCATACAAAGATACGTGCCACAGCATTTCAACCTAACGGGGGGGTGAGTGGCTTGATACTAGGCGATTTGACGGGCGTCACGTGGTGTGGCATGTGTATAGTTACACAACCGAAATTTGCATCTAGAAGCTTGCCATATGAGACATCTATTAGCATTCAACGGGATATACATGTGCGAAGTCATTAGAATAAGCTTACCTGTTCTCTATCAATAAAAGGGGTCTACTTGGGTCTCTATGAAGTTAATCAGATTGCCGCAGTCTGCTACTACCACTAATAGAAACAAAACACAAAAGAATCAGTTTACACCAAAGATTGTGGCATACTTATCGTTAAAGTAAATACTTTTATTAATTGTTTATCAACAATCATGCTTGTTGGTGCACCCCCTTTCTTCCTTTTTTCTCTTGTGCTACTAGAAGAGTAATGGCCTAAATTACCTCGGGATTATGGATTATAATCACTAAATAAATTTATGCACGTTCCTACGTAGCGAGAAGTGAGGCTGTTCTGTAATACGTTGCATGAACTATGGATATTCGGCGGAGCGGTATAAGTGGACCCGTCGGCCCCGTTCCGGTTACACAGATACTTTTCCGATGGGGTTCCGGATTCCCGGTACCCGAGCGAGCTCTTCAACTCTGGTGTGGATCAATTGGTAAGCATAAAGCATCATCGGAACCATCTCGCGCGCATCGGCACTTTAGAAGTGCCGCTTCCAAGGGTAGATAACCTCAAGCCGATGGTGAAAAGAATTCACACAAATGGATGATGAGTTGCATCTAAGTTCGCATGCGACTGAGCATAGCATCTTGATTCTTAGCTTCCTCCATCGTCGCTCTACAAACCTAATCCATATCCAATATACGAAACCATGGCTTCTCAAGCGCCACTACCAACTCTAGCCGACCGCGTCGCCATCGTTACAGGCTCAAGCAGAGGCATCGGCCGAGGCATCGCCCTCGAACTCGCCCGCCGCGGCGCCAAGGTGACAGTAAACTACGCGAAGTCATCATCAGCCGCCGAGGGAGTCGTTAAAGAGATCCAAGCGTTGGGTTCGGAGGCCATTGCCGTTCAGGCAGACGTTACTGGCCTAGCTGAGATTGACAAGATCTTCGCGAAGACTGTCGAGAAGTGGGGCCGCGTAGATATCGTCGTTAGCAACAGCGGCATAGAGTCGTTCGAGCCCGCGGTTGACATTACTCCGGAACGCTTCGACCACGTCTTCCACATCAACACGCGCTCGCAATTATTTGTCGCCGTCGCGGGATACCGCTATATGAAGAAGACAGCGTCGCCGTATGCACGTCGCATCATCCTCACGTCAAGCATTGCCGCCCGAATCCTAGGCGTCAAGGACCATGCTCTATACGCCGGCTCAAAGTCTGCCGTCGAAGGCATCGTCCGTTCCTTAGCCACAGACTTCGGGGCAGATGGCATCACGGTGAACGCCATTGCGCCAGGGGGCGTCAAGTCAGACATGTTTGCCGAGATGGCTACGCACTACATCCCAGGAGCCGATAAGACATGGCCTGCCGAGAGGGTCGAGCAGGCTATGTCGAATGCATGCCCGATGGGTAGGTGCGCTGTGCCGAGCGATATTGGAAAGGTAGTCTCGTGGTTGGCTGGTGACGATTCGGAGTGGGTTACTGGCCAAGTTATCTTAGCTTCTGGGGGGTCGGCGGCTTGAGCAACGAACAAGGCCGCAAACTTCCTATCCTAGTCCATAGAAGCTATGCCAGATTATCAGCACCCATGTGTAAATAAAACCTACCTACGTATTCCGAAAGACCAGCGGCCCTAAGATATAACTACGACAATTTAAACCATGGTTTCCTCCTGTTATTCTATCGTGTGCTATGAGTATTCTAACATAAGGAAGCTGGGAATTAGAATCAAATTCATAGAATGCGCATTACTACCCGTCAAACGTAATTATGCTACGAGTCACGAACCCATGAATTCTGCTAGACACGCAATTGTGGGGATTAGGTTAGCGATGTCGAAACGAGTAATATTTCTTTCCGAGTTAGGAAACGCTTTCTTATCTCAAGCGGGGGCAGATCGATGGCGAAATCGGTCTTTCGATAGTTTTGTTTCTTTTCGTCTTGTTTATAAGTTTATAAGCAAGCCCATGAGCAAAGGCTCGAATGTTTTGTTTTGTCCGTACGCTCGTGTTGCCCCTGATTTAGTATGTTATACGCAAAATCACTTGGCTTAACTTCATGCATTTCTCAGCCGTCGCACAGCTCGGCCTCCTGGCTCAGAATCCGTTATCTAACCGTAGCCCAGTTTCTTCAACACCTACGGTTAATCTAAGCGGTTATGGCTTATTCTCTGGAGTGAAGGTCAACGAGGCGCTGTCCGGGAGTCCCCTTCCAGCTTCTGTGGACGCATGGCTTGGCATTGATTATGCGCTTCAGCCGGTCGGTCAACGACGCTTTCGGCCAGTGGAGCAGCGCCCGTCGGCCTTTGATGGAGTCAGGTCAGCAGCAAATTACGGGAATGTCTGCGTACAAGACGCTGATTTTACCAAAGGCCAGGTCCAAGACGAGGCATGTCTTAACTTCAACGTCTATCGGACCTCAGGCGTGCCGATAACGGAGAAACTCCCTACGTTAGTTTGGATTCATGGGGGCGGCTTTGTTTATGGTTCAGGTAGGAGTATGGACGGGGCGTCTTTCGCCGCCTCATCCAAACTACCTATTGCAGTTGTTACATTCAACTATCGGCTCAACTCGTTAGGGTTCCTCCCTAGTAAGCTCTTCGAAGAGGAGGGCCTTCTCAATCTTGGGCTACGCGATCAACATTTCCTGCTTGAGTTTCTCCAGGACCACCTAGAGTCGTTCGGAGCAGATCCGAAGCAGATTACTCTCGGAGGCCGATCTGCCGGTGGGCACTCTACCAGCATCCATTACTTTCACAATTATGGGGAGGATGAAGGTAAACCACTATTTGCACGGGCGATCTTTCAGTCCGGCTCAGTAACGGCACGCGGATTTCCGGATTCGGATTTTCCCCAATACAAGAAGGACTTCGAACGGTATATGCAGTATCTCGGCTGTTCAACTGGAGGAACCCAGGAGGGTAATACACTAGCCCTAGATTGCCTTCGGCAAGCACCGATACATGACATTCAGAATATTAGTACAGCGATGTATAGTGAAGAAGAGAAAACTCTGAGCTGGCCTTTTCAACCGACCTTAGGAGGGCCTTTGTTAGAAAGACCAGGATCACAGTCCGGTGCTGAGGGAACCTTCTACCATCTCCCGGTGATTACCTCCTATGTCACCGACGAAGGGAAGTTTTATACTCCGGCAATCCATCATACTAACGATGAGTTCCTGTCCTTCATCTATGCTATGAGTCCCTATTTAAACTATACCGACATCGCCTTGTTGAATGAGCTCTACCCGGACCCAATACAGCACCCCGATTCCCCCTGGGCGAACTCGCCCAACAGCACCCAGTATAATCGACTCTCTGCTGCTTGGTCAGATATGGCCTATATCTGTCCAAGCCGGGAAACGGCCTTCCGCATATCAACTGCTGGCGTCCCCACGTGGAGACTCCACTTCAACACGCCAAACTACCCATTGGAGTACCAAGCATGGCGTGGAATCCCACATACATCCGATACGGCTTACACATTCGATTCGCCAGGAGTAGCCTTTCCGGAAACCGCTCATATATACCACGCTTACTTGGCTAGTTTTGTAGCTACGGGCAACCCAAATAGTGCCCGGCTGGAGGGAACCCCAGAGTGGCCACAATACCAAGCATCAGAGACTTGTGGGACGGCTCGGCCCAAACAACTTCTTGTTAACCCCGGTACTTACACTACTGTAGAAGAAGACTCTGTTAGGATTTCCCAGTGCGAGTTTTGGAACGATCTTGATCGGGCGAAACGGCTGAATAAATAAGCCGTACCTAGGCAGTTAGCTGGATAGTAGTGATAGTCTTCTCAACAGCTCTCTGGGGACTCGAAAGCATACAGATCCGTACCCTCAATAGGGTTATTGGATTGACCTCTTAGAAAATGGAAGTTATTAATATTATCGCATAACATGCAACTAATATCTAAAGTCTATAAGTCCTACTTTATAACCGTAGCTGGCATATCAAGAATTCTGTCCGGTTAATTAATGTGATTTATTAAAACATATCTTATCTAGTACTAGAACAATATGGCAAAAAACTTTTCTATAAATTAGATAGCCCATTTGGCCACACTACCAACTATAACACCAGTTAGCCTTTTATAGTCCACGGTACTTCTATGATCCTTTTATTCCATTGCAGCTTTTTGAACATCCGACATCTCCCCACCATTAGCAAGATATTCCGACAAATGCATGGCTCTGATTGGATAGTATCGAAGACGTCGTTCTTCCTTAACTTTGCGAGGAACGAATTCAGGAGAGTTGAACATTAACAGAGGGGCCATTAAAGCTTCCAACACACTTTCCTGTTCCTCCGCTTTCTGTTCCGCTGATTTACCTTCATCTGCAATGTTGTCTTCTAATCGACGGTGAGCGCTCTTGTTCATCGAGATCGGTAACACGTCCTTCCAGGTCTTGGATTTAAAATCCTCCGGTCGGATAGCCGCTGGCAGGTCACTGCCGTTGAAAGGGGGAAGAGTCATACTATGCTGCTTCCGGCCATAGATGTATATATACGTATATGCACCTATCGAGTCTATTATCTTGCCAAGGAAGTGCTCCTCGAGGATTTCTTCCATTTCTCTCGAGTTGGGACCTCTTCCAACAGCGAAATAGTTTGGACTGTTCCAAGGGTGTCCATAGAACATATAACAATCCTGAGGCCGACGCTGTCGAATGCAATATTGAGAGCCAGATCTTCTGCAAGCAGCGCATTTGGCTTCATTTTCAAATCCTAGGAAGATGAGGGTACACTTAAGCCCCTTGTCTATACACCTCAGACAAGACTCGCCATCCTCTGCTAATATCCTTCCAGTAAGGATATCTCTTTCGGCAACAATTTCCTCAGCCTCGGAATTTACGGGGTTTTCTGGCGCTTTGCTAGCAGATATATTTTTTACCTCACGGGGATTGCTGGTAGAAGCTTTGTTAGCTACCGTTGGCTTCACGCCGGTCGTATTGTCTGTCTTCTGGGTTGGTGACATCGTGTTGAATTATTGTAATGAATATGCGATGAAGAAAAGAAACCCCGGGTCCATTAACGGGAATACCTCGTTCAATTTGTATTCTCTAGTAGCGACAAAGAATAAGAAGAGCAGTCTTTATATACAAAGACATGTTGATTTTGCGTGCTTGTCGAATAATAAAGCCATTGTGAGATACAATAAAGAAGTTTTAAATACATTACAAGTGCATTATTTATGGTTATTGTATTGTACTTCGTAAACCTTCAATAGAACTATTTTAAAGCTGGAAAACAATCTCGTACAAATTTATAGTCATCCGTCCTGTTTAGAAACCACATTTTAAGTTTCCTTGTTTCAGTATACAATGGATTTTAATAGCACTCCGATAACTATGGTTTGTTGTACTAGGTGACTGACTTGGGTCTCTATGATGATTTAGCTTGAGTCTGTTCGCTCGAGACCACGTAGATATAGCTGATCATCGAGGGCGCACTTCGAGATATTTCAGCCCCCAATCCAGTCACTTTCAATTGCTTAGGCCTTACTGATCTTGAAAAGGTGATGTGGGGTAACTCTTAGGATCACTCTCATCTAGAGTTGTGTCTATGGAGGTCCTCTTCCCCAAATTGGCTGATGAAGTTGAAAGGCAAAATATCCTGTCTTGCTCCCCTTTGTGAACTGTGCCGTAGATTTGCACCATGTCCAGAAGCTCTTATATAGGTGGAACAATAGTGCCCTTGAGTTTACCAAGGGTTATTATGTTGCATTCTTTTTCTATGGGAGACCCATGGCCCCCTATTCCACTTCTATAAGTCTTATATATGTGAGTCTATATAGAATAGCGAGCAAAGGCTTAGCATGTCTAAAATATCCTACCCAGGAGTATAAACAATTCTTTAACGTAATAGAGCATGCTAGGCACCCAAATCACTAAAGCACTTAAGACAAAAAGCCCCCGGTTATATCAATATAATAATAATGGTTTCCTAACACTGGGTCTACTAATCTTGCTTTACTAACACGTTCCGCTTGTCTCTCTGCAAAGTCCAAACACTTCAAAGATCTACCACAGCTCAGGTGGTGTCGACGGCCGTGACAACTAGCTAACTAAGCCCTGACCAACGTAAGGCCGTAGGTCGAGAGAATCTCATTGACGGGCTGGAAGTAGGTCGTGCCGCCACTGGTGCAGTCGCCGGAGCCTCCCGAGGTGACGCCCTGGGCCTGGGCACCGGTGTAAAAGGAGCCGCCTGAATCGCCGGGCTCGGCGCACACATTGGTTTGGGTGAGGCCAGTGACACGTCCTTCAGCGTAGGTGACCGTCGCGCCCAGGGCGCGGACTGTGCCGCAGTGGACACCGGTGGTAGAGCCGGAGCGACAGATACTGGCGCCAGTGGCGGACGCGGTGCTGCCCGACACGGGCAGGTTACCCTGGCCGTATCCATCGATGTAGCCACTGAGGGTGGTTCCACTAACAGTGCGGATGTAGCTCATGTCGGCGCTGCCTGGGAAGACCGAACCCGAGAAGGTTCCAAGCGACGCACCGCTGCTGGTGGTGGCAGAACTACCTGAGGTGCCACAGTGGCCAGCCGAAACGAAGCCAGTTGTGACCGAGAAGCCGACGGAGCACCGGGCACTTCGGTTGATTAGGTAGGCGTCGCCGCCGAGGACCGTGGCGAAGGTGGTCGGCATCGTCTCAACTGTCCGCACCTCGAATTCGGATGCGACGAGCCCGACCTGCGCGGCCAGCGCCTCGGCGTGGGCGGTACTGCCGGCAAGTGCCTCTATGACGAGCTTGTTGGCAGCGACATCGACGTAATACGCCGCGATGCCAGAGTCGGTCGAGTCCGTGGCGAGGGTCTTGGGCTTCTCGATGTCCATGTTGTCAAGTGCCAGCTTGGCCGCTTCAAGCTTGGAGAAGCTATTGGCCACGATAGCCGGCGTGGCGCCAGCAGCGGTCACCTCGGCGGCCAAGGCTTGGTCAGTGACGGCGACGTTAAGCGTGGTGCCGTCCTCGGCGATCCAAGCGCCGGCGAACGAGTCACCCGTCGAGCTGCGCAGCTGCTCGATGACATCGGAGGCCCAAAGGTCCCTGGCGACGCGAGCAGTGGCCTGCTCGGCATCCAGCCCCAAGTCGCGCTTCATGGCGGCTAGGAGCTTCGGGTGGAGGCTGGCCGTAGCCTGCGTGGGGGCACCGTAGGCAACGGGCAGGACGGCTGCTAGAAAGGCGAGGAACTTGAATAACTCCATTTCTAGAGTTCTGAAGACAACACGTGGGAGAAATGGGCGCTAATGTTGTAGAGGCTAGATAGTAGGCAAGATGAGTCCAAGATGAGTCTAGGATGCTGCTGCTGCAAACTACCAGACAGGATGAGAACATGCGTCCTCTTTTATACTCATCCCGACTCCAGTATCGTGACTTACATCACTCTCTTGTTGTCGCTATCCAGAACACAGGCCTCCATCAGACTAGCCATCGCCAAATTCCTCCTTCCCAATCTGCCCAAATTCGCCTCCGCGACGTTACCCAGGTTGGAATAGCATCGGCAGGGCAATCGTCTAAAGGCACTTCAAAAGATGCCCAGCCTGCGACGTTATAGCAAGATAGGCAGGACAGTTCTTGAAAAGAACCTTTGAAGATTACGCGCGACAAGACGGCACATAGCCTAATAGGAAGGGGGAAGAGGGGAGCAAGGGATTAGACGGGAGCTTTTGACAGATAAGGCGCTGTAACTCCAGGTTGGCACACCTCATGACCTCGGTCAACATGCCAAGTCATTTCCAGATCATGGGCTTCGGATCGGCTATGTCTTCAAACTGGGCAAGCCAATGGTAATGGCCTGGCCTGGCCCATGTTGTTTCTGGCCGACAAACCGGGCGATCAACGCTTCCGGCACGAGATTTAGGTCGTCGGCATGCGATATTAGCAGGCAAGCTAGCATGTGCTTCAGCTATTTCAGCTATAGCCTACCGGTGATCTGCGTTTCTAGCTTTGCGGAAATTTTTGTAATTTTCCGGCTGTCGCAGCGGCGAGCCCCGGCTAACCCGTCCCTCGCCCTCGGCCCCCCTATCCCCTTCTCCTAGTTCCACCACACTCTCTCTCTCCGCTTTCTTCGACGATCTAGGCTCGCCGAGACTAATGTAATCCGAGGTCTGTCCGTTTACACTTTCCGTTCCGGATAAGCGGCCGAGACGTCCACGGCGTTCAGCACTAATAAGGGAGCTTCAGTCTTGCTTTTGCAAGCCTATAAGCCTTGGCTGCTACATGGCTTGAAATGGAGGGCACCAGAGAAATCCAGCAAATCCGCGCGCCTTCCTTTGTTAGCGTTACGGCTGAACAAGTAATGTCCACCTTCCGTAAATGCACTATTAATAAAGCTTCTAGCCAGCCTTATCGACTATAGGTAGGTACCTATTCTATCGGAGGTCGTGTCCACGACAATGTCGAAAAAGAATCACCTGATAATGGCGATATGGTTGGAATCGCATTACAGTACATGACAGTACATGACCTATGTAGTTATTTGATTAAAATTAAATATCAGGCCAAGAATCGGTCTTCCGGTGCATATACTGGTGTTGTCAATTAAAAATCGAAACGGAATGAGGTGCTACCAATTGTACCTAGACATGAAGATGTATTGGGAAGGTTTCTAAAAGCATCTTTAAGATGCATATTTATGAGATTAGGTACATTTAAATACATAAGTGGGTTCGTTTATAGGTCTTATCTACATAATGATACTTCCATGCCAAGTAAGCATTGTTAATACAATTAAAAGACCTTAAAATAAGGTTTTTGTTTCTTTATATAGATTACCAAATGAAATATCAGTTTTTATTTTTGGTGATTTTTGTGTATATTGTTGCTTAATGCTTATTTCCGAGAAACTTGATAGCGGCCTGGTAAACATTCATAGTATTCTTTGGCTTGTTATGCGTTATATTCGTTATGCTTAAATGTCAGGATAGTACATAGTACCTAACTAATTGAACTAGTAACGCCTGTCTACCTACATGTACCTAGGTTAAGTAGGTAGGTACCTTAGTATGTTTCTATCCTCTTATGAGAGCGCTATACGCCCCTTATACAGTAGAGATACCCCAGTCACTACCTCTAACCCACTTGAACCCTAACAGCCTATAACCATAGTATAAACATTACTCATTCCTCACAATCAATTACCTTCATCGTAAAGAGACCGCCGGCATCGTCGCAATTCCCTACGCTCCGGGTACTTAGGCGATATCTGTCGGAACATCAATCACCCCACTGAGCCAGCTTGTCCAATCCTCCCGTTTATCAAAATCACCTCCATATCTCAATTGCTGAATTAAGAGACGGTAGCCACCCTTCAACATCGGGATCGAGTACAAGGATGTATCGGCGTCGTATAGGGGAGGGTCTGGCCACGACTCTATCAAAGATAGGTACGGTGCGTTAGCAAGATCGATGACAATGTTGCCCAAAATCTCTACACCGGCTATGGTGCTGTTGGTGGGCGTCGCGGTCTTGGTGTAGTTCACAGGCACGCTCGGGTCGAAGCCGTAGTAGGTCGGTTTGAAGTCAATCTCTGCGCGGACCAGGTCCATTCGTGACATGTATACGGGTTGTAAGGTAGAATAGAGAATGCCTAGCGACCTGGGATCGGTCCTGATATAGTTACCGATACCGTTGCTTGTATTGTCGAATACCTGAGGAGCTCCCAACGCCGAGTAATTCGCAAAATCATTTATGTTACGTGGCACTGGCACCGTTCCTAAAGTCGGAGCGGCTGAATAATTGTAGCCAACGCCCATATATGGGATGGAGAACTGCTCGTTCTGGGTAGACGATACAGATATAAAACCAGTGTATATAGGAATTGTGAGTGGGTTAAGGTCCTGTGGTGGTTGGATATTGAGAGGAACCTTTCGGCTACCTCCCGCTGGAACTGTAACGGTAGACCCTCCAGGAAACTCGACTGCTGCGGCAAAAGGTAGCGAGTCTAGTCGCTGATAAGCAAGATTATAAAAGCCCTGGTTGTTCGGTACGTCTGGATACGGGAAATGTGCCATGCCGGGAGTGGACGAATGTGTGAGCGTATACTCTACATCTTTGCTGGAAGGGTTGCTTATGGTAACGTAGGGTTGAGACTTGGCAAGGATCTCATTAGGTCCAAGTTGGAATTGACCAGGAGAGGCGAAGGACTGAAAGAATATCGCATCGTAAGCTTCGACCAATCCTGCACCTTGATGTACTGTTGGAGAAAGGTCGCTTCGCGTAGCTCGAGTCAGGGGCTTTGCGGTTGTTTGCAGGCGCGTGAGTATTTCAGTTACTGATAACTCGGGGAGCTGTGATTTGACTAAGGCATAACACCCTGCAAGATACGGAGTAGCCATGGAAGTGCCGCTAACGATAGCCCATCCCTGAGCAGAAAGGGGCCAGCTTGACAGAATTTGGCCACCAGGAGCGGCAATTTGAGGTTTGAAGCTGAAATCCCATACCGGACCTATATCACCATGGTGTTAGTTGGCCATGTCATAATAGAAGAGGGTCGAATGGGACTTCAGTGAAATCATACCCGCGCTGCTGAAATTGTTCATCTGTCCACCCCAAGTTTGCGTCACTAAACTGGGAGTGGCATCACTGAACTTCACGGTATAGTCTGTTGAGTTCTTTGCTCCTACGTAGATTTTGTCGCTTGTTGTGGTGCCCAAGTTTAAGGGCATACCGTTGCCATCGGTGGCGGGGGTGGTTGCGGCATAGCCCAGAAGGAAAGGATTGCCAAGAACTTCGGTGTCCGGGTACGTCAAAACATTGCGGAATCCAGTATTAGCAGCATTTGTCTGGATCATGGCAAATCCGCAAAGCCCACGCTTTACAATAACGACGTAATCATCCTTACTTCCGGTGACATTTCCCTGAATAGCGTCAAAGTCGAGGGCTCTGCAACCAAAATCACCCTGCTCACTTCCATCTCCGACGAGGATGGCCCGGAGGGTCTTGTTGAGAGGAAATGGGAATACACTTCCATAATGAATGACTTCCCCGTTGGAATCTACCAAATCAAAAACCTGGAAGTGAGTGTTCTCTACCGACCCAACGGCAATTGCGGCGGGACTATTCCCAGGGGCCTCGATCGAAAAGGGGCTAGTAGCGCCGTCATTACCAGCAGCCACCACCACGGCAATCCCACGGTCAGTGAGAGATTGGATGAGAGTGTGATAAGGATCGCGCGGGGAATTTCCCACGGGTGAAAACCCGCCTATGGAAATGCTGATGACATCCACGCCATCATTAGCAGCACGCACCATACCGGCAACAAGGACATCGGAGCCTACCCCACCGGTACAGCCAAAGACGCGATACATCCCAATAGTCGCCTCAGGGGCAACACCAACCAGCCCATTAAACCGTGGATAGTCGTCTGGAACCTCCATTCCAATGATGCCTGTTTCAGTGTAAGTAAGAGACTTGTGATTAATCAGTAGCAATTTGCGTACCAGAGACGTGGGTTCCGTGACCTCCAGTGGCACAGGTGGCCAAAGGATCATCATCGGGTACAGGAGTGTTGGATCCAGTGTAATTTTCACCAACCAAGTCGTACCCAAAAGAGATCTTGCAGCCGGGACCGAAGCAACCGCCGAGAGCAGGATGATGGTAGTCAACGCCGGTATCCAAAATACCAATCTTGATTCCTTTACCCTTGATTCCAGCGCTATGCAAGCGATCAACTCCAGTCATGGCATGAGGCGTATTGTAATCCAAACCGCTGCTGCTATTTTGCCGCTTCGCAACGTGACCTGCAGTGGCTTCAGAAAGACTTCCGAGGCCCTTTGCAGATGCCACGTCTATGGCAGCTGAGGGGCGTGGTAAGAGCTGGACAGGCCACATGTTTGCTACTTCGGGAAGAGCTTTCATAGCTTGAACAGAATCGTTATTCGGGATTTTCAACGAAAGGCCATAGAAGAGGTCGGTATCGAGAAACGAGAACCTGACTTCGTATGGGATGGACTCTTGGAGCGCATGTTTGGCGAACGCGACGTGAGTATGCTCGTCCGACCGACGTCCAAGGCTGGTAGCATCATGCAACTGGACCATGTATACGTCTTTGACATATTCTGGCTCCTTCTTGACATTGAAGCATTCTGCTAGTGCAGCCCAACCGCAGAGTGCCAGGAAGGCAGCTCTGACCGGACTATGCATCATAACCCGACTTGAAGATGAGCGGCTGGGATGGGCGATCTTGATCCCTTGTTGTCTCGTTACTGAAGGGTCGTAACGAACGACATTATATAGTTCTGTCCGTTCGGATTACCTAACTCAACGATTCTGCACTTATATCGTCGCCAGATATCCACCATAGCGGTTAGCCTCTGCCAACAGCAGCTGGGGATCTTTCTCAAAGAGTTAGTACATAGGCCACTTATTAAGATGCTCCAAGAAGATGTTAGCCAAATGTAGCAGGTCGACACCCCTGCGTACGTGATAATAGTCGGACTAATTGCATACTGCTATTCAATAGGAAACAAATCCGAAAGTCCGAGACCAGAAGAACCGTGATGTTCGGGTTGCAAGAACGCTGCTGTCTCAATAAGGCAACTGAACATGCTCATACAGGTACAATACGGTGTGACTTGAAGTGGGACTGCCTGAGATTGGGTTGGATACTTCGTGTTCTTGCCTGTGTGGAGATGCTGAGAGGATACTGATTCGTCAGTAAGTCCACATGGGTTTTAGTGCTGCAACTCTAGAAGCCTCGTAACGCTAGCTACATAACGCCTGCGATGAGGTTGAAAGTAGGTCAGTGCTCACTATACGATGTAGGATTTGCAGAATATTTTGATAACTCCAGCTTGGCTTAGATAAGGCTGCCTATGCCCGAATTTATAAGGTTAGTATATTAGGTTACGTTTTACGAAAGAATCGTATTTTTAATATAACTACCTGGATTCGTAGTTGTCTGCCGTCCTGTCGATGAGGTAACCAAACACGATGTAGATGCTCAGATTTGGCGGCAGAAGACGAGGTATAATACATGTAACTGTAAATAACTGGCGTCGCTGAAGGGTTTAAACGATGGCAAATCTTCGTTAACGCCATGGTAGTTTAGTAATCTGGGCAACCGGAGCAACACTTGTCATGTATCTAGAACGACTGGGATGTAAATGGCGAGTAGACGTCTGTCTCGTGGGGAGACTCTTCGAAGCCATCGTGTTCTGATAGTCGAAAAATAATACGAATAATATGCACTGCGAGTTTGAAGTACGTTGAAGAGTACCTCTACCTTGGACAGTAATAGCTTTGAAGCGAGCTATTAATAACCTCGGAACAATAGGTATAACCCCAGCAGGTCAGTCATAAAGATCCTCAGATACCCCGGTAAAAGTTCAGATCGTAACTCTCGGATAAGACGTGAGAATATTATGTACCTATTGTATTGCGTAGAAGTTTCTAATGATTGTCACATTTCTTTGACGTTGCTTTCACATATTCTGAGTCAACTGACAAGCATTCATTGGGATTCAATGGTCTACCTAATATTTTAGAAGATTTCTTTTCTTACTGTGTGTAAGTAAGTGCTTAGAAAAGCATCCAAGTTTGTTTATTTGCACTTCGTTTTGAAGGCATAGATTTATTACTAAAACCAAGAATGATGTTTCGCTTCAGATGCTTCCAACCTATGCTTAGGTTCAAACATGAGACAAGACCTAATGAATTGTTGGCAGCTATTACTTATCCTCTGTTGAGATGGGTCTTCAAATACGCCGTCGAGCCATCCGGTAATTGCAGCTTGGTTCGTTTTCATGACGCTACTCGGAACAGCGTTCTCATCTGACGCCAGAAGGAACACCACAATCATGCCAAGGGACCAAATATCCACAGCTAGACCATGTGTCTCACCATATTCGACCTCGCTGGCAGAAGGTCAGCAGATACTTCTCAGAGTAGGCCGAGTTGACTTACGGCGCCATGTACTGGCCAGTACCAACTCTGCTAGCCATACGGCCAGATGCTGTGGATTTTGCGAATCCTAAGTCGCCAACAATAACGCGGCCACCAATATCAGGTCCTGTAGCAAAGAATATATTTTCGGGCTTTAGGTCGCGATGTGCAATACCTTCCTTATGCTATGTTAATCATTGTCAGCAAACCCCCTGTTGAGTGATGCATGTAGGGAACTCCATCTAACAACTATAAGTACCTAGGGGGTACCTAGAGAATGGCAACTCAAGATATATATATATAAAGGCGGAGAAGAAATCTGTTGACGTTACGTACAAGATAACAAATGGCGTTTATGACTTGTTGAATGACGAATTTGCAATCTTGCTCCTCGAAAGTTCCTCGGGTTAGACGCATCGAAAAGAGATCACCGCCTGTTGCAAGCTCAATAAAGGTATAAAGGGTGTGTGCTGAGTGGAATGCACATTCGAATATAGGAAGGTTAGGCTTGAATCTTGGTGAGTACGCTGCAACTAGATATAAAACAAAAAATTACGTACATGCTTCAGCTTTCCGAGTATATCAGTCTCATCCCTAATACGTCGGATTGAATCATGAGAGGGTGCTAGTCGACGAAGACGATCGAGATCGTGAATTTTGCAGGCAAGCTGTTTCCCTGTTCTCGCGTCGACAGCTAGATGAACTGTCGCAAAGGCCCCACGACCTAGGGTTCGCTCAGTAATGATGTATCGATCTTGGAAAAGCTGTGGCCTGTAAGAAATTTGTTCTAACGTCGTCAGCAGTTTGGCTAAACTTACAGTTGACTCCTTGAGTTGAATTGAGTTCAGGGGACATTTCAGCTCGGTATGATATAAAAGTGAGATGCGAAATTTCCAGTAAGGCTTGACAGTAACTACAATGTCTCGACTAACATAAAATCCGGGCGTAGCACCTTTCTCTTTATTACCAATGCAGGTTTCGTTGACATATGTACCCTCGAGAGACTGGCAGTCTCGTACATATACTAGATAGGGCTGCTTTTGGACATCATCCAGGTCGTAGATGACTGAATAGATGACGAAATGTTTCCTTGAAACATTTGGATGGTTTATAGAAATGTCACTTTCAAGTATTTAGCACGAAATATGAGAATACACTGTTGGAAGCTCGGCTTACTTCACATGATGGTCCCGTCCAACGTTTATGGCTCGCCCCGGGAGTAAGGGAAGGTCTAGGAAGAGTTCTGTGTTGCGACGACTAGGTTTTCCGCCTTGTCCACCTTGCAACTTGTTCACGTAGAAGCCTTCTAGAAGTGAAAGCACCCGTAAGCTATTAGATCAAAAGACCAAGACATGAGAAATATGTGATCGAGAACGCTGAAGGCATACCTGGAGGTTTATATTCTCCCGAAGAATCTTCAACAATCCAGCAGGATATTTGTGCTATTGGATCAATCATACTGGATGTTAATTGGCCTGGACAAGTTGATATATGAAAGAAGCAACGAATAATCACGGTCGTAACAACAATTGGCTTCTACTCAATTTCTTTTGGGCATGTTAAAGTATTATGCAGCACCTACATAGGTACCCAAGCAGGTATACATGTAAATTAAATTACAGTGAGAGTTGAAGATACTATTTCCTCTCAAGTTGATTCGCTACTACCTTTTAGTATTGAGAAACTCTAATATGTTGATACTCAAAATAAGAGGAAGGTATTAGCTGAGCCTGACACATATTCCAGGAAGGCTCACTATATGTTATATAGTAGGGCCAATTGAAGCCGAGGCAATCACCAGCTATGGAGATTAAGCTGCTAAAATGGGTCATATTCCCACTGTGTAGGCGAGGAAGGAAGTCTATAGGTACTTGAAATTTAGCGTTATATGTGCACAGACCACTTGAACAACCACAAACAAAAATTCAAGTGTCCCATTTTATTTGCACCCGAAGAAAAGCCGGTCACAAACCCTAACATAATTTTCAATCGTACTTCAATTCATCCCACTCCCGAAATTTCCTTTCCTTCTCCCAAGCTTCATCAACAAAGCAACTCATCGACAGCAACCTGTAAGTACAATCCAATCTCTCAGCTACCCCCGCGCTTCCTATCGCAAGGCAAATGTGAAAGGCATTGAGGAATTCTCCTGCCATCGCATTGCCTGAGCGCTTCGATTGATCATGCGGTCGATTTGCACAAGTTCCCCGCGGTCGCCACAAACCCACCTCCCACCACCCCTCACCATCATAATCTTTCACCACCACAGCTTTTGGAAAGAGTGACAAGTACTAATAACAACCAATAGTAGTAGTCGCCACGATGAGAGCCAAGTGGAGAAAGAAGAGAGTTCGCCGCCTCAAGCGTAAGAGGAGAAAGATGAGAGCTCGCAGGTACGTTATCGCCCATTTTCTTCATAACTAAACTATGACGACGTAATACTAATTGGTCTCTCTGTAACAGCAAGTAAACGTATCAACCATGCTCGATCTCAGCGCCTCTCCACCAGACCAGATCGCGTCATGACAATCACGACTCACAATCAATACATTCGCAATTCAGCGCATGACATTCAACTATCTCGACTATTCCTCAACTCAAAGTGATGTCTATATGACAGGATGGAAGAACCATAGCAACGGCCGTAGTTGTGGATGTTTGGCAGAATGACGACAACGAATTGGATCGGAGGATAGCTGGTCAAACACCATCGAGTGGACCAACAGTTGTGTTTACGTATCGCGGAACAGGAAGCATAATTGCTAAGAGATGTTCATGATCATTGCACAAGAAATAGGATCCATATGCTAGTCAATAGATTTGTAAATGTCGATCCCTATAACTAACTGGCTACCCAATGCTCAGTTTATGAATATGTTAGATAGTCTCGTAAGCTTTGCGTGATTTCGATGACGTCGTGTTCCTTTCGATACCCCTCCTCGCCTTTACATAGGCATTGTCAGTTCTTAGGTACCTAAACAAAGTTTTTAATAAACTTCTCTGATACGTTTTAAGTAGCAATGCAGGAGTTATAAGAATGTAAATGAAATATTCATTCAGGTGATCTCATAATCCTGAAGCTTACCTTCTACCTAAGTAATCGCAAGTAATCGCTACGATGCTATGTACCTACCTAAGGTTAGGTAGGTACTTAGGTATGCAGCCTTTGCGAAACCGTTTGCGGCAATGAGGCTAGCATGTATTCTGTACCGTGGGGTCTGTCCACCGCCTGCCTAATCTCTTATCTATATGTCGGCAGTATTCTGGTCCTTTTTTTTCCTGCGCAAACTCAATCCCTGCAGTTAGTTTTTTGAATTTGCTCTAACAAAAGCGCATCGTCTGAAGATTGCGGTTAATAACATATAGTCAATTATAACATATAGTCAATTTAGCGTAGCCCAACCATGGCAGAGCACAAGGAAAAGAAGAGAAAGCGTAACGAAGACGCTGGCTCACGGCCGAAGAAAAAGGTAGCTATTCAAGCCCCTTCACAACCTATACAGTCAAACATTGTCAAAGTCTCCTCCATCCAGACAGCCAAAAGCTATCCTCCAATAATAGGTATTGCATTCAATATTTCTTCCTCTTATTCTGACAACAACTAACCTCCTTCTATAGCAACTTCTCCCGGTCTCTGTGTTCCCGATTCGATTAAATTTCAGACATATACATCACCGCAGCCTGCAGGTTCCAGGCGAAGCAAGAAGACAGATGCGTACACACCTAGCCTCCTCCTACATTCATCCTCACACAGCAAGTTGGATTATACAGCAAAGGAAGATGGACCTGGTGGTCGAGAGTCGCATCTTAAACACTATATCGGAGTTTTTGATCCAAAGACGGGCCAGCTGTCAGTCGTGGAAGCCAAGAAGATGGCTGTCAGAGGTGCAGTTCGAGCACAGAAACCTCCAGAGGAAGATGCAGAAGAGAGAAAATCCTCCAAGGTATATAGGCTCCATCTTGGTATTTTGGTGAGAAGGGTATCTAACTGTTACGTAGACGATGATGGAACTACGCAACGACCTTGGCGAAGCGTTTGGAACCAAGAAGGCAAAGAAGGCGCTTGCTGCAATCACTGAGAATGCTATTGCTCCAGAAAAAGCCGTTGCCGATGCAGACGAAACCCCGCAAAAGCTCAGCTCCTCTTCCATGGCGCTAATGGACTCTATCAACGACGTCACCGTGGGAATGGCATCTAAGGAAGATCTCCAAGCAGTAGCCGACGCAGCGAAGCCAGTACCGCCAGGAAATTTCGATGCCCAAGAGATACAGGATGTGTATACTGTTGAAGAATTGATCGGGGGTGAAATTTTGAATGCCATTCCAATTAGAGACTGGCAAGAACAACTTAAGAACGGAGAAAACTCCATAATACCGACTAAATTCATTGCCAACAGATTCCAGGCCGTCGGAGAGGGACCAAACCCAGTGCACAGACTTCGAGCTCTTCGGTATCTAGAGTTCCTTATCAAATTTGTCAGGAGTACTCGGCCAGGAAAGGAGAGAGGCACAAAACGAATCCCGCCAAAAGACAAGCTTAGGGAGATAATGAAGCCTGCGCCAGAACCCGTTATTGAGAACATCAGGCGAAAGTTCTCGTCTAACGCAGAGATGAGGAAGTTCCATATCGATTTGGTGTACACTTATTGCTGTGCTCTCGCGGCGATACTGTCGAACTACAGCTTCGATACAAGCTCTATTAGATATGACTTGGGTCTAGACGAGAAGCAATTCGGACAGTATTTCCGCGAGATTGGTGGCAAGGTCAAAACTGCAAAGGGTGCAGAGAAAGGCACGCATGTGCAAGTGGCACAGTTGGCTTTGCCATTGGAATTCCCGAAGGTTAGATATCAACGCCCACGAGGGCGTTAATGCATTATTAACTGGGGGCATGTCACGACGCCTCCCACGCATTTCTAGCGTATTTTAGAGCCTTGAGAAGTAGGTGGTGGCTTATCACCTTAGTAATTTCAGACTTACGAATGCTTTACGTGTTAATGGTGAAATTCTTGAAATATTTTCATCATATGTCTCGACCAACAATAATAAAATCAATCAAATATACTGTCAGCTATGCTAATTGGGAATTAGTTCTGCTAAGCCGGTCTAACGGTAAGGACTCGGGTCATCGCCATGATCTAACCGGAGCCGGTCTATAATTCCGGAGCGGAATGTGAATAGCACGGCTATCATTACTAATTCGTAAATAGCAGCGATTATAGAAAAGTCTTCCGAGCTACTGGACTTGGTTGCAAGGATTATAATGAAAATCTGAAGTTATTTAATTGCAATGGGGGCTCACACAATCGACCCCTAGTATGGTGCAATAGATAAGACCGAAGCAGCCAGTCTTCGTCCGTCTACATGACGTGATCGTAGAGGCACTGCATCGGGGTGATTCTTCGGCAATCTAACCTGCCGACCATATAAATCACTTTGCTGAACCGAAAAAAATGGCAATATTAATTTATGTAGGCACAGATCTAGGACGGGTTAATTACGAGCATACATACTTATTAGCATAGGCCGGCTATTGGTCCTTTATCTCGTTGCTTCTACTCCATGCTCACTCTACGTACTTAATTTTAGATTAGTGTACGTAGGAGCTATGGCGGGCGAACCAAGAGAAAAAGTTGAAGCCTCCGATTCCGATCCGGGCCCGGAAACTAAAGAGATTACGACTAAGGTCACGGCGGATCCCGGCCGCACTTCAAAAGAAATAACATCAGAAGGAGATGAATATGGCTCAACCGACGACCATATATTTTCAGATCCGTCGGTAGCCGAATACTGGCGCGCCAAGTACGAGAAGGCCAGCTATGAGAACCGGCACCGCTTCGATCCGGAGTACAAGTGGACGGCGGAGGAGGAGCGCCGGCTGGTGAGGAAGATCGATGCTAGGATCATGGTTTGGGCCTGGCTGATGTTCTGCGCGCTGGATATGCATAGGAGGAATATTAATAGAGCTATTTCGGATAATATGCTGGCTGAAATTGGTAAGTCGTCTTTCATTACACATACATACTTCTCATGTATAAGAGAATTGTATATGGCCATCAAACCTGTTTTAAAGACTGGTGACTAATTTGGACTCATAGGCATGAACACGAACGACTTCAACTATGGACAGACTATCTTTCTTGCATGCTTCTTGGCTGCGGAATTGCCTAGTGGACTAATTAGCAAGAAGCTCGGCGCTGATGTCTGGATTCCTACGATTATGGTGGGCTGGTCTATCGTTGCGCTGTCGCAGGCGTTCCTCAAGAACAGAGCCGGCTTCTACGCCATTAAAGCCCTTCTAGGCTTGTTGATGGGTGGGTTTATTCCCGACATAGTCCTCTGGCTCACATACTTCTACAAGAGCAGAGAGCTACCCCTTCGCCTGGCCTGGTTTTGGACCGCTCTTAGTACAGTGAATATCGTCGGTTCCTTGCTGGCCGCTGGAATTCTTCAGATGCGTGGGATTAATGGATGGAGCGGTTGGCAGTGGCTGTTCCTCATCGAAGGGCTAATAACACTGCTCATTGGAATCTTTTCTTGGGGTTTAATGCCACCAGGACCTACTCAGACGCGGCATTGGTTTCGGGGTAAGAACGGGTGGTTCAGCGATCATGAAGAGCACATATTAGTCAACCGACTCCTCCGTGACGATCCAAGCAAGGGGGACATGAACAACAGGCAAGCCGTAGGGCCCAGTCTACTCTTCAAGGCCGTCAAGGACTGGGAAATGTGGCCGCTGTACATCATCGGCCTCACAACGTACATCCCGCCCGCACCACCGTCCAACTACCTGTCATATATCCTACGACAGATTGGGTTCTCAGTATTTGAGGCCAACCTCCTCGCGATCCCGTCGCAGTTCTTATTCGCCGTCAACCTCCTTATCGTAACGTGGGTCTCGCGGCACTTCAACGAGCGGTCCATTATCTCGTCCAGTTCCAACATCTGGATATTCCCGTGGATCCTCGCGCTAGTCCTCCTACCGGAGAACGCCTCTCCATGGGTCCGATACGCCATGCTGACGGGGCTTCTCAGCTACCCGTACTGCCACGCCATCCTCGTGGGCTGGAACGCGAAGAACAGCAACGCGGTGCGAACACGCGCGGTTTCAGCAGCACTCTACAATATGTTTGTCCAAAGCGGCAACATTATCGCGAGCAACATCTACCGCGATGACGACCAGCCCTTGTACCGGCGTGGTAACCGGGTTTTACTAGGAATTACGGTCTTCAATATCGGGATATTCTACGTCGTGAAGGCGTTTTACATTTGGCGGAATAAATTGCGCGACAGGAAGTGGAATTCGATGACGCAGGAGGAGCAGGAGAATTATATATTGACAACGAAAGACGAGGGGATGCAGAGGCTTGATTTCCGCTTCGTTCACTAGGACTGTCTAGACGGTTTGTGTATACAAAAAACGGGGTATGTATAAGTGGTATGCGCGTAAGGTCGATAATCATGAAATATTGTGTACTACTAAGCCTCTAACCTAGCACGGTATGCTTACTGTAAAGTGTATACATAGTAGGGGGGAAAAGAACACAAAAGAGTCTGAGGCTAAAGCTAAATTAGCACTTGGCGATCCTGTAAATCAATATAGGTCTGTGAGACGTATTAGCAGTGTTCGGAATATTTATGCTCATCATAGCATTGCAACTTACATGTATGGAGAAACATTCTTACATAGATTAGATCTAAGACTCCACACACGTCCAACTTATTTAGGGAAATACTTCGTCGAATATATATGCCAAGATCTTATTAAATGGTAAAAGTTGCCGTTTCCCGTCTTGGGTTGCTGCGGGAACTCCTGATAAATTCTCTTAAGACTTAAGACGAGTGACGTTTCGTCTAGGTCTCGAAAGCATAGGCCCCAATGTGCCGCACTAGGATCATCTCATATAGACCGGGGATTATACTATGGTATCAACCCCTGATTGGTTCTTGGCATGTTATAACATGTTATAATCATCAAATACGTCGATACATGTCATCTCTTCTGATAATCTGCTACATTCTTAAAAGGCTGTGCCGGATTACGGGGGTGACAGCTGGGCACAATATCCCTAAATGGTTACCTTAAGGAGGCATAGGCATGCACCGCACCGGCGTTGAGTCCCTGATTCTTATCTCGAATAAGCTACTGGAGCCAAGCCTCGATCTCACATCCCGACTTATCGCCTTAGAGTAAGAGCCTCACCTGCAGTCGGACGAATCACGTTGCGAATTGCAGTGTTAGTGACAGGGGACTAGTCAACGTCCCTGGCGCTTTGAAGATTGACCGGATGGTCGACCATCCGAAGGGTTAAGGGAATCATGAGAATCATCGTGGAGTGTAGATGCTGTTAGATCGCCGTCTTGGGTAGAAAGTATATATAGAGAATGATCCCCTTCGCATAGAACATGATCGCCTTAGGAACACTTGTATGATCGTGTCCTGGTAGATCATCCATCCACTTTACTTTACCCACCATTCTTTTCTTCGCGACGCCCTAGAGGCCGTTTTTCTTTATTCCGTTCTTTGCACATAATACGAACTCATCACAGTCCTTTGAAAGGCTTTTCTTATTCATTCATTCTTGCTTCTGGAAAGCCGAATCGACATTATGTTTTTTGGTCAAGCTTGTGCGGCCCTGTTGGGTCTTTCGTCGCTCGTTGCGTCAGGTTAGTTGGCCCACCCTATTTAGAAATCCCTTTTGACTAACAGCATGTTCAGCACCAACTTCTGAGTCGCTTGCGTTGGCGTCTAAGAGGGGGCTGAAGTGGAAGCCACGACGAACCCCTCTTACTATCGAGCAGATAGTACAGGAGACGAATATCATCATCGTTGAAGACAACCAGGCAGAGTTGGATGCTCTACAGAGGCTAGCCGAGCAGCAATTTGCTCAGCTCGTCCAGGCCCAGGTTGCTTTAATAACCCAACTGGAAGATATCAAGAACAACATCAGAGTTAATCATTTTAAGGCTCGCTTCTCGCAAGTAGTGAGTTAACTATACAATACCAAGTTCGATTGACCGAGTTGCTAACAAGTGGGTAGAACATTGTAATTGTTACAGTATCGACCTTAGTCGATGCTCGAGCCGCCGAGGGTAGCCAGAATAGGTACATGGTAAACCAGGCGGTTGTTGATAACGGCAAGCCTGAAAGTCAGATCATGGTCATGGTCTCAGATGCACAAACCATGACTATCGGCGCATCGAATACAGTCGACCTCGCAGGGGTTCAAGCAGCCAGCGCCATCACCCAACCAACGGCAGTGCCTGCCCTCGTAAGCGCCGATCCGGCCGCGCCATACGGAAAGGCGAACCAAAGCATGATCCTCCCCATCGGCGCCTCGGCGCCGGCGATCGATCTCGTCTTCGCCGACCCAGCTGCCATCATCTTGCCGAACCAGCAGGATCTATTCGTTGAGAGCACGGGCACCTTCCTCCAGGACTGCGGTTTCTACCAGTCTAACGGAAATGCCTTTATCAACTTAGTCTCCCAACTGTTCACGTCGTTTGAGCAGATCACAGTCGTGAACAGTGATGTTTCAATCGTGAGGCAGAAACAGGACGTTAATGTCGTTGCACCCGTTGCATAGGCCAGAGCGAATAAGACGGAAAGGAGGTTAGTGTATATTTGTATTTAGATACCCAATGCGTGTAGGCATTAAGGCATATTTCTCTGTGGGTCTGGAGACTATTGGTTGGGGAGTTCAACTAGGCGGGAAAGGAGGGAACTTGGGGGGGGTGAATAGGAGTAACTAGGTCCAAAGGGTGTTGCACTTTACGCCGGCCCTCTCTTACTAGAGACACTCAAATTTTCGTACCCTTCTCTAGGTAGAAAGGGATAATATAAAGACTTTTTAAACCCCTGGACTGTTTTCAATACCGTTTGATATGCTTTTGTTCAAAACTACAAGCCCCTAACCTAGGTTAAAGGGGCATCGAGTATTCCATTTTAATGGGGACAAACTAAACGTGATGATTGGAGAAACCCAAGAGGTGCTAGAGGGGCAGAGGGGTAGAAGAGCTCTTTACCCTTTCCAGCCAACCTCGGTCAAAGGTACATTTAGGTAACATAGTGATGTATGGACATGGACATCAATATAGACAGTCCAGGGGGGCTACCACCATGTCTCGTTTATTTTATATATGGCAACTACTAATAACGCCTGCATGGAAATATTAAGGAATAATAAGTAGTCGTCCGAAAGAATGGTTCTCTGTAACTTACAATTCATCTCCCTCAAGAACGGAGTTTCGATCGGCTCATTTCTCGCCAAGCTCCGTCGAAGCGGCATTAAGCCCGTTGTACAGGCCCGAATCATTCGATGGATGATCCTGCCCACGCAGATTTCAATAGGCTACCTCTTGGGCCGAAATATCCACTGGGATCTTCTTCTGATTCTGGGAGAGACTGATTCTATTCCTCATGAAGCACAGCTAGATATAGATTCAACTTGGAGCGCATCGAGTGGTGTCTCATCTAAAGCTATATCAAATTATGAAGCTGTGAACGCAGAACTACTTCACCCGCCGCCCAGGTCCGTCAAGCCACCAGGAAAACATACCGTTAAACCATCAAGGACATCGCAAAACCTCGAAATGAGCACCGAGTTAGAAGAATGGATTGCGGCGCTACCAACGCCATTGAAAGAGCATCCGGTCTCGATGCTGAACTTACTTGCTTTCAATCCCGGGAAGAAGGATCAATATAAGCAATACGGTGCTGAGTTCTCGGCCAAGGTCGGCTCTAAACACGGTGGACGGGTTAAGATTGTTGGGAGGGTGGTAGGTGGCCAAGCGCATAGAGATGGGTGGGAAGAAATAGCTTTCGTACATTATCCGTCTGTTCAACACTTTGCTTCTATGGCGGGGAGTAAGGACTATCAGGATGCCAATCACAAGTATCGTCTTGGAGCGCTTAAGGATACATTCATCTGCTGTGTTATGGAGGTTGATGACAATGGCAATCCCACCAATATCCGATCCATCAAAGAGAAGCTATAAGGGTTGTATATTAATTTACCACGAGGTATCAAAGAGCCTATATACCTACCTGCCTACATATCGATGTAAGTACTGTGACATGAGGCATAAACCTTCCATTGAGGAGTGGTTCCTAAAGTTCCCGAGCCTCAGATACAAGTTCTCTTCCGAATATAGATGTAGAGATTAGAGTAACCTAACCTACCTACTTGAGTACCCATACACATAGGTACCTAAGGTATGTATGTAGGTAGGTAGGTATGACGTTAATCTCCAAATATCACCACTAAGCAATCGACGCGATGTCTTAGACCAAACAATGGTCGGGTTAATCAGTTGAGGCCGATGTTGCCACCAACGAATGGAAGTCCCTACTGGATAGTTGTAAACACCGAGTGCTATGGAATTACGTACTGATCCCCGGGGTGTTCTGGGGTATCAACAAAAGAACGAACGCATTAGCTTTTCTTATAACTAATGAGGAAATCGATGCGACGATGTTAAAGCTCACGAGGTATTCCAGACCAACCCATCACGCTGTATTTGTATACACCAAGATGGGGAGAATGGACCTATAAAGGCCCTTGGACTTGTTTAGCAGATTTGCTGGTGTGTATGGTAGTCTCGGCGGCTTTCTTCATCTGTAGGATGACGTCTCGATAACATGGGGTCGCGCAGGCCTGGGAGATCTTAGACCCCGGCGACCCCGCGATATCGACTAAAGACATATAGCCCCATTGTAATGTGATGTATTTTCAAGTATCTTTAACTTTGGATATAAGAGTGCGAGTGTAACCACTGTTGCGCCATCTAGGTATATACCTTGTATGTAAAGCTACCTACCTAAGGCAACTGATCATTAATAAAGTCGAGAAATATTAAACCGCTCAGTTTCGTTTATTAGACCTCTCGCTTTCTGTCGATGAACTCGACATTTCATATTCTTTGCCCTTTGAGGCGATAGACGTCTCGAAACTGCTGTGCTATTCTCAAGTAATCATAATACAGACGTGCCGCAAATCTCGGATCATATATATACCTACCTCATATATCAAGTCTTCAACAGTCAACGTCGTCGTTATATCATTATGGCACTAGGTAGATGGACGTTTCCCACCAGTAGGAAGCCTTCTTCTGCCAGTTCCGGCGGCAATCGTTCGAACGGCACTACAACACCAACCGACAACGAAACTCAGGATCCCTCAAAATCACAATCTCGCATACTACGAACCCTGACCGGGGGCTTCAGATCCCACAAACCTAAGAAGTCGGAAGAGCGCGACGAGTTTGCTCATTTGAACAAACCATTCACCCAACAGAATCTTGAACACCAGAAGATACTGAGCACTTTCGAGTGGAACTTTGGGAAGAGAAAGTCGAGTCATGGCGGTCGAAGTAGTACGAGCGGTATCAGCCCAAGTGCTTCGCGAAACACCAGTGTTGACCACAGCTACGTACCTCCGGACTCTGATCCAATAGAGACACGTCCTCGATTCAACAGTGTCTTAATCCAGAAGTCGCCTCGGGAGGACCCGCGAGGGGAGAAAGAGGCATATCGAACGGAGGGGAACTAGGTTGGCTTCTAATGGCAGTATGCGAAACGGTTTAATGGGCTACGATAAGACGAATGTAATGATACCTGGACGGATTTATTCACTGGTTGGCGTTGAGGGATATAGAGACATCGGGATGAAAGGTCGGAAGCATTGATTGGGAGCATTGATCAACATGCTTGCTAAAGATAGATATATTCGTTGTGTTTGACATGATACACAAATGCGGTATGCGATAATATGTACACTTGCTGGTAAAAGTTATAAAGGCCTCAGAATTTTCAGTGTAAAATATAACTCATTGGAGATATCCTCATAGACTGTGTAAAATTGTTCATCATTGGCCATATGCAGTTGAAAAGGAAACTTGATGCCAAGTCAAGCTCTGACTTGTCTTAAAGTAATCTTGGAGTTACTATTTCTGGTGATTTGGAAGTATCGTATCGACACTGCTTAGTGCGAGCATAACGGTATATGTCCAAGCAAGAGATGATACTTAAATGGTGTTGAGATTATGCGAATATCGTGAACCTCGGGTCTCCTACCCTAAATGAAGAAAGAATATGTAGATATTTAAATCGAGTTACTCGATAGCAGTGATCTCGAGTTTCGTGAATATACGGCGATCTTAGAGCATAGCATCAACATGCACTGCAGAGATAGTTGAGCATCGGAAGAATGTTACGCTTCTGTAGGGATTTCAAGAAAAAAAAGAAAGAAAGGTCTCGTGGTAAAGTTTTTATGGTTTGCAGGCTAAGGCCCATTAGGTAGTGGATTCAATCGTCCCTATCAAAATGGTCAGTGCAGATACGACTCGGCCCTGGAAAAATCCGATAAAGCGGGTACAAAATTCACAAATCGAATTCACCTAGCCCCGCCCGTCCTTTTTTCGCCTGTACCCTAATTAAGCGAGCCTACCAGAAAAATCAACCCTTCGATTCCTTCTTCTATCAAACTCAAGATACACATCTAAACGACATCAAGGCAACATCCCAACAACACAGTTGCCCATCATGTCGCTCGTCTCAGGAGAGAAGACGAACTTCCAGTTCGTAAGTGAATCCCATTTAATTTCCGCGCCTCGCCCTGCCCGTCCTTCTACCCACATTGACAGCTACGCGAACGCTCAATTCAACCTTTGCACTACTTCGCGATAATGAGAACCAGTCTTGGCTAACTATAACCTCAATAGATCTTGCGTCTCCTCAACACGAACGTCGATGGCAAGGAGAAGGTTATGTACGCCATGACCCGAATCAAGGGTGTTGGTCGACGATACTCCAATTTGGTCTGCAAGAAGGCCGATGTCGACCTGAACAAGCGGTATGGATAGCGCATGGGCCAGACAATACAACACGAATCGAAGACTAACGGAATATCATTATAGTGCCGGTGAACTCACCTCCGAAGAGCTTGAGCGAATTGTCACCATCCTCCAAAACCCCACTCAGTACAAGATCCCCGCCTGGTTCCTTAACCGACAGCGCGATATCACCGACGGCAAGAGTGCGCAGATCCTAGCGAACGGTGTCGACTCCAAGCTCCGTGAAGATCTCGAGCGTCTAAAGAAGATCCGCGCTCACCGTGGTCTCCGACACTACTGGGGCCTCCGTGTCCGCGGTCAGCACACCAAGACTACCGGTCGTCGCGGCCGGACTGTCGGTGTCTCCAAGAAGAAGGGTGGTTAAGGGTCTTAGCGGTGGCAGCATGGTTTCATTGGTTCAGGTCATTCATTGCGGATGGACAGGCGTGAAGGCTGGACTGAAATTACTGCATCAAAACGTTTCTATGAATTACTTTGCGAATTGGGGACTTTGCTCATCGGTTTCGGCAAGTCATAGGTGTACTCTAGAGAATAAAGAGACATCATTATGACCAACACTCTAGAATTCTTCAATGTGTGAAATGAATCAGATGTAACATGTCCGAGAATAAATCGTCATGGTATCAAAGCCTCCCGAGTATCGTATTTTTTTTTCTATGCCATTACCAAGCCTATTCCTATGCTATGCTACCAAGACATCTCGCATGATCGTCAACCTCATTATTCGTGAGTGCTAGAACTAAGACTTTAATCCTCATGAGTGACCGCCATATCTAAGACCTCCACTCGCCCTTGACCCTTGGTTTCATTCCCCACGAAATCGGATAGCCCCTTGAAAGCACCCGGCTCCACAAACCCGACAACCTCCCACTCCGTTCCCATGACGTCTTGTGTTTCGACCTGTTCAACGTAACTCAGGATCTTGTCCTTCACAGTCCCGGGGACCTTTTGCTCTCCTTCCGCCTCAGCAGTCTTTGGTGCCTTCACTGCCTGTTTCAGAACATTCGTCGAGCATGTGATTCTGAGCCGCATCCGCGCTCTCGTAACCGGGATTGGCTGGTGCGCGATTAACGCCTTCATGGCCTCGAGGGCCTGGCTCTTTGCGCTCTTGGTCGTGACCACGCCTGTCCAGTTATGCTCCTTCGTCCTTGGCTTCGCTTCCCCATCGTCGCCCGTGGCCGGCGTTCCCGCGCCGCTACCTACTTCCGGGGTTTTCTTGTCGCCTTGCTGCTGATGCGCCTGGGAGCTCAACATATCGAGCGCCTTCTCGATCATACCGGTTGTATAGACTCTCTTCGTGCGCGGGTCGACCAGTTTGCTTGCGACTATACTAATGACTTCATTGTGTACTCTGTCCAGCTGCGCCGAGCGCTCTTTCTCGCCCACTTGCAGCTCGCCCTTATTTAAAATCTCGAGGATGATATCGTTTAGAGGTTTGTCCTTCCCGAAGGCTTTGGTAAGATCTGCGGCCGGGGCCGTCTGCCCTTTCGATACGTTAAGGAAGACGTTGGGGATTTGCAGGACCTCGTCGAGGTCGGTCTCGATGCCGGATCGCCATTCTAACACTTTGTTCTTGTAGCAGGCGATTTCGAAGCGCTTCTTTGCCTTTTTTAGGCGGACGAGCGATACGTTCGTGAGCTTTATTTGATTCGACTGTTCCGTGCGGATCTGTTAGTATTCCTTTGCCTACCCAAGGTATAAATCTATTTCGAGCGACTCCGAGGACGTGGGGACGGCATGGAGGGGAAGAGGGGTCTAATTACATACTGTGATATGTTAGTGTTTGTCCAAGATATTATAACATCTAAAAGAGATAGGTATGGAGGTTGAAGAATAGAAAATGTAAATATACTATTACTCTACATACCAGGCTGGTTTATACGCGACATGTTGTCTCTCCGTTCTGAGAAAATGCTGGTGTTATTTTGCCGATGCGCAAAGTCTGATGTCGCAAATGATATTCAGATGTCGAGTAGTTGAAAGATTTGCATAAGCGTAGTATTCGTTAAATCGAGATTTTGCGTGGAGAAGAAACACGTGCAATCGCCCGTGCGTTTGTGCTTTACCGACTTGTAGCAGATACGCTTTTTAGGCCAACGCATAGCGGGTCCCTTATGTACCTAAGGCAAGGGAACGACGCAGGAACAAGGAACAGCTCAGTTGGCTGGGTGATTACAAGTTCATACATCATACATCTTGGATAGGTGATTATATTCTATTTCCAGCTACGAGAGTTACACCCAATCTTCAACTTAATTTAATAACTAGGTCATGTTGAATCATAATGATAAGGAAAATATACATGTACCTACCCCATACGGTTTAGCGGAGAGCCAATATCGATAGGGACCCGGTACACAGGAGAAGAATGACCGATGACGCTTACAGTAAAGGTCCCTCCATCTATCACGCGACACGCAGCTTGGATAAACCGTAATCTAATCCGGCATTAAGACAGGGCGAGCATGTTACCTACTATCATTTGTGGGGCAGCTTCCCGCACTCAACCAGTGGGAAAAGCGGCATGGAGGCAATAAGGGGAAACTTAGTTAAGGTACAGGAACGTTAATGGTTGGCTGGTCACCACATACATGAGGTAGTGTAGCTGATCACTGACCAATCGGGTTCTCATTCTCACCCCCCGTTTCATCGTCCATCCATATCTTAGAGCTCCCGTCTCAACTCTGACTCTAGTATTTGTATCGTTTCCGTCTTCCATCCATTATTAACTCTTTTATCTATTCCTTTTCTTCTCTAACCCAACCATCATTACTATCACCAACCATCATCATAATTATTATCATCATCATCATCATCAAACTCTGGCAGTACGTTATTCATCCTCGCTTGCTACCCATCATGAGAGTAGCTAGCTCGGCCCTCCTGCTGGGCGCCAGCACGGCTGCCTTCGCACAAGACCAACAGAAGGTCCTTGGTGGCATCAGCGATGCTGTCAGGAAACCGCTGGGTCACCTTAGCGAAGCCTTTGGTGAGATGCCAGATGTTGCTAAGGGTCTATGGGATGAAATGAGCCTCCTTGTTCCTGGATTCTACGAAAAGGCCGCCAACCTTATCTCCTACCCCAAAGCTCATCGACGTCGCCCAGATAGCGAATGGGACCATGTTATCAAGGGCGCTGATGTGCAAAGCATGTGGGTCGAGACAGACGGCGTCAAACACCGAAAGGTAGGCGGTTCTCTCGAGGCCTACAACCTACGAGCTAAGAACGTCGACCCGTCCGCACTCGGCGTAGATAAGGTTAAGCAGTACAGCGGATACCTTGATGACGAAGCTAACGATAAGCATCTATTCTATTGTAAGTGGTGCACCATCATATCCTGACTCGTCTAGTCGCTAATCATTATATCTAGGGTTCTTTGAATCTCGAAACAACCCCAAGACCGACCCTGTAGTATTATGGTTGAACGGCGGCCCCGGCTGCTCCTCCATGATGGGACTCTTCATGGAGCTGGGTCCCTCCAGTATCAACAAGGACGGCTCGCTCAAGTACAACGACTACTCGTGGAACAGCAATGCTTCCGTCATTTTCATCGACCAACCCGTCAACACCGGCTACTCGTACAGTAGCAACCCTGTCTACAACACCGTCGCCGCAAGCAAGGACATATATGCTCTGCTTACCCTCTTCTTCCACAACTTCCCCGAGTACAGCGAACAGCCATTCCACATTGCTGGAGAATCCTACGCTGGCCACTACATCCCCGTCTTTGCATCTGAGATTCTGTCGCACAAGGACCGCAACATCAACTTGCAAAGCATTGCCATCGGTAATGGTTTAACCGACCCCTTAACACAATATGCCCAATACCGCCCGATGGCCTGTGGGGAGGGTGGTTATGACGCAGTTCTCGACGAGAGCGAATGCCAGTCGATGGACAATGCTCTCCCGCGATGCCAGTCCCTCATCTCGAGCTGCTACGATTCCGAGAGCGTATGGTCGTGTGTTCCCAGCGCCATCTACTGTAACAATGCTATGATTGGCCCCTTCCAGCGCACCGGATACAATGTTTACGACATCCGTGAGAAGTGCAAGGACCAAGAGAACCTCTGCTACACTGAAACTGCTTGGATCAGTAAGTACCTAAACCAGGACAAGGTTCTCAAGGCAGTCGGTGCCGAAGTGCAAGACTACGAGAGCTGCAACACGGATATCAACAGGAACTTTTTGTTCCAGGGCGATTGGTCGAAGCCATTCCACCGTCTCGTTCCCGACATCATCAAGCAGATCCCAGTTCTTATCTATGCTGGTGATGCCGACTACATTTGCAACTGGCTCGGCAACAAGGCCTGGTCAGAGGCGCTTGAGTGGCACGGCAAGAAGGGATTCAACGCTGCCAAGCTAGAAGATCTCTCTAAGGGCTCCGACAACTACGGTGTAGTGAAGAGCAGTGGCAACTTCACATTTGCCCGCATCTACCAGGCTGGCCACATGGTTCCGTTCAACCAGCCTGAAGGCTCCCTAGACCTATTCAACAGGTGGATCGGAGGAGAGTGGTATGCTAAATGATGAGTGGTTTGGCGCTTGTGTGATTATTGTTCGTACTATGTAATGCAGTCATTAGATCATTGCAGACGGGTAGTCTCAAGTATCTTTCGGAATATTGATTAGATTCTCAAACTCTAACATGATGATGGTTCGATAAATTTCTTTGGATAGGGATAGCAATACACGGCTCAAATTGAAATGTGAAGCCCATTGACGATAATGTTTATGTAAGGTAGTACTGGGATTAATATCAAGTCAACGATATTGATGAATATATACTTGATGTTGCAACAGATAAATTACGAATGCCTCGACGCTGTTCGCCTGGAGGTTCCGTACTCAAAGATCGTTGTAGTTTACTCTTGTCTCATACGCTCAAGCGAGGCATCCGGCTCAAGATCAGGCGTGGAATCGAACCTGACCGAGCATTGGCAAAAGACAATTGCATGCCAGATGTTTCCTTTTCGATAGCTCTTTCAAAGATACCTAATCATAATCGTCACGGCTGCCTATCAGGATGCGGTAGCCTGTATATAACAGACGGTGATAGTGCCTTCTTACCTGTTTGACACTGCGCCCTGTTTCTATAATGCATTAGAGTTCGCATTATCTAACCATTTTTCTTAAAGGAAGCAGGCTTAGGAGAGCGATGAGTATCGACACGTAAAGGTGTGCCGTAAGAAGGAAGTTGAAAATGCAGATTTTGTTGGTAGAGAAATTTCTCTGCTAGGTACCTACTTAGGTATTTATTTTGTGGGGTGTGACACAGCCACAAGTCTACCTCAGCCATACTACTAGCCACCCCCTAAGTGATAGCCTACAAAATGCTTCACCAGCAAGATAGGTAGTTATATACTAATCGAATAATCACAACACTGTTTTATGACAATCATTTCCATTCCATATATCTCTATTACTTATAATACTAAATGAGAAAAAGAAAGAAGAAAAAATCCCTCTTTGTAAGTACTTAAATTTAACAATCAGGTGCATTAGAAATGCATATAAAGCCCACTTACACCCGGTCTTACATCAAGCTTTAATAAACTAAGCTTAAAGATGTATAGGTAGGTTTTTACTCCAGTTTATAAATGATCAACACCACTTATCTTAGGTAGCTACCTGGTTAATATTAAAGAAAGAATTATTATTATTATTGTTGTTATTATATATTTAACGTTAAAAGTATAAAGTACCAGGCTTTTTTAAAAGCATATAACATATAAAACTATTTAAGTTTATATATATAATATATTTTTAATATTTTATAATTTAAACTTAAAAACATATTATATTTAAACCGTTTCCGTTTACTTTACTTTTTAAACTTATATTTAACATTATAATGTTTATAATTAATCTTTTTACGAGAAAATAAATTAAAGTTTAAATATAAATATAAATATTATAAAAGATAAGTTTTATTAAAAAAACAACAATTTTAATTTCGATTTTTTAAAGTGTATTTAAATTTTATTTAAAGTTATTTATAAAGTTTAACGTTAAATTTTATTTAATTTAATTTATTAATATAATTAAAATTAAAATTATATATATAATTTTTAAAATAAAATAAAAAATATTAAATAAAAGAAAAATTAATAATACAGGGTTATAAAGTCCGCTACTTTAAAGTTGCTGCTTTGGGGTGGTTTTACGGGTTGGTAAGTTGTAATTACCGGTCGGTTGTTTTTTTTAAAAAGGTATCGGCAGGCAATTCCGAGGTAATATGTTAGTGTAAAATATAATTTAATATAATTTATTTTTAAAGTTATAACATCTTAGCGTTATTAACGTCCACGTTTTTTACAAAAAAAACTTTAATTATAATTTTATAAATTTTAACAAATAGTATTTATTCGTAAATTTTAATAAAATCTTTTCGGCTTTTGTATTAATGGTAGATTTTTTTAAAAAACTATGTATTTTTAAAGAATTTATTAAATTATATTAAATCGTTTAAAAGTTATTACCAGTAGTTTTTCCATATTAAAAGTTTTAATTTAATTATTAATTATTTTTCTTTTATAATTACTGCTTTTTTACAATATACCAAATATTATAAAGTTTTAATTTTACCGTATAAACAATTAATATAATTTTAATATATAAATTTAATATAATATTAATAAAAATTACCATATCTCGTTTTTATCGTTAAAAAATAATATAATTAAATTTTTAAAAAGATTTTAAATTTAAATAAGTAAATTATTTTAACTTTAAATTAAAGGTATATATATATTTATACATTATTATTTAATGCTTAATTTTATTTAATTCATTAATTTTTAAAAAACTTATTAATAATCTTTTTTATTATCTTTTTTACCTTTATTAATATAATTAATATATTTATAAAAGGTTTAAATAAAACGGCGTTTTTTTTTATAAAAACATCGACTTTTTCGTTACTTTTAATATTTATATATTTAAGTAATTACTAGGTTTTAACGTTAAATATTATTGTAATATTATAAAATTTTATAAAAGTTTATTAAAAACTTTTAATTAAATTTCTTTTAAAACCTTATATTATTAATATATTATTAAAATAAATATATATTACATTATTTTAATAGATTTTTATAATGTATTTAAGGTTATATTTTATACCTTTTATCTTATTGTTAAATATTTTTATAATATTTAAACATTTACATTTATAAGTAATTTTTTTATATTCTTAATATATTATATAATTATAACTTACATTACCATTTTTAATTTTTAAACCGTTTAAAAAAACAATTATATATATATTTAAAAATTAATTATATTATATTTTAAATTTTTTAACGGTTTTTTCTTTACTTTTCTTTATTATATATTATTAAAAACTTAACGTATAATAAAGAAATAAAAATTTGGGTTTTAAGAAGTTTAAGAGTAACTTTACTGTTATTTAAAATTTTATTTTATTTTTTTAAAATTTTTTAATATTTTTACCTTTAAATATAAGTATTAATTTTAATTTAAAAATTAAAAAATATTAATAATTAATTGTTTTAAATTTAAAAACAAATTATAAACAACATTTTTAAAATATAATAATTATTATAAATATATTAAAATCTTTATAAAAATATATATTAAAATATAAGGAATAATTAATTATATAAGTTAATTATGTGTCATTACGTATATAAAGTTAAATTTAAAAAAGTTTACCTTTTAAATTAACTTATATATATATAATTTAATAATAAATAATAATAAATTATAATAACTTTATTTTAATATTATATATTTTCTTTTCTTTATTATACATTTATTGGTGTATATTTAATCTTTATTTAATTATTACTTATATTTAATCTTTTTTACATTAATTAATGGTTAAAAGATTATAAATTAATAAAGTGTTGGTAGGTATGTATATAAATAGGAATAATAATAATAATAATAAAATAATAATAAGTAAATTAATGATGTTAAAATTGGTATATTAAAATATTTAAAGAAGGAAGAATTTATTTAAGGTTAGTTAGGTATAATATGTTTTTATATTTTAATAATAATAGATATCCGACCCTTTTATTTAATAAAGTTAGGTATTTTATTTTTTCTTTTTTTATTTATGATAAGGATATTTTATTATTAGTAAGGTATTTTTATATTAATGTTATATAATTATTATTTATTTTATTTTATTTTTACGATTAATTGATTGCAAAATATAATTAAATAAATGAAATTTTAAGATTTGTATTAACGTATATTTGTATTAGTTTGGATATGTATTATTATACATTTATGGTTTTATGTATTTATAATTGTATATATTTGTGACGGTTAAAGGATAAAATTGTGATGGTTTAAATTAAGAGTTATTTTATAAGTGGGGTTGCGTTAATATATATTGTATTATTTTATTTCTAATATATCTTTTTTTATTTCTTATAATAGTTTATATTTAGGTTAGTGTTGGTAATTGGTTTTAATAATTTATTATTGTGTTGGTTTAATATTATTTTTAATTTCTTTACGTTTTATTTATCTTTTTAAGCGTAGATTAATTTGGTTATTTTTTATTAATGTTTTTATAATTTTATTTGGGGATGTTTTTATTATTGTATTTGTTAAATTATAGTTATTATATATTTAGGATATTATTAATTTCTTTATTTTTATATGATTGTTTTAAGGTTATAAAATTGATTATTAATTTTTTTTTTGTTAGTATTATTTATTTAGATAAAGTATTAATATAATAAAAAAAAATCTATGTATAAAATAAAAGGGATTATTAGGAGGTTTAGTTGGTTTAGAATGGTATTGATGGTATTGTAAATAATATAGTTTATATTAAAATCTTATATTATTTTGTAGATTTTATTAGCGAATATGTTATATATAATATATTTATATTTAATAGATAATTAATAGATAATATTGTTGGTAAATTATATTTTGTTATTATGGTTTATAGATTTTTTGTTATTAAATATTATAATATAGTTGATTTGGGAGTTTATATTTTTATTATTAATAAATAAGTTATTTACGAAAATGTATAAGCGTAAGTTTTGGAGGTTTAATTTTATATATTTAAAGCCTTAATTTTTGTGATTTATTTACTATTTAATTTTTGCGTTAAAAGTTTTAGCTTTTTTTGGTTTAGGTTTTGTATATTATATTATTGTAAAGTAATTAAAAACTGTTTTGGGTTGGTAAATGGACGTAATGTAGGTATTTTTTGTACGTTATTTTATAAATTTTTTAATTATGTTAAATATTTTTAGGTTTAGTTTTTTTAGTCTTTTTGTTTATTTTTTTAAATAGTAGAAATTATTTTTTTATAAATTATAATTTATAATTTGTTAAAGTCTTTAATTATATTTGGTTCCAAAACCTTTTAAGGTTTTGTTTTAATGTTTGTTTTTGTAAGAGTTTTATTTTTTTTGGTTAAAAATTTTGTTGTATTAATATTTAGTATGTTATTTATTTATAAATTTATAATTTTGAATGGTTAATTTGGTTTTGTAATTAATAGGTATGGGTTAAATGTTAACGGGGTTATATTTAATTTTTTTTAATAATATTTAAAATAAGTTTTAAATTAATATGTATTTAATTTTGTAAGTTTATATAAAGGTTTAATTATTTGTAATAATATTTTTTTAAAATATTTATTTTTTAATTTTAAGGGTAGACATATGTATATTATTTTTTATATAAGGATTTTAAATTATATATATATTATAATAATATTTTAAATTATTATTTTTATGTTTTATTGTTATAATATAGGTGTTAAAATTAATATTAAGCGTTGGTTAATGCGTTGGATTATTAAAATATATGTTATAATGGAATTTTTATTAAGGTTTTTATAATTTTATATTATAAATTATAATTTTTTATATAATGTTAACGTATTTTTTCCTTTAATTTTGTAAATTATATGGGATTTAAATATGGTTGTGTTTTAGTAAAATATTTTATTGTATATTTCAAATTATAAAATGCTGTTTGTAAAAAGGATATTAAATTTTTTTATATTAAAAATTTTATATAACTTTTTTAACGTAATTATCTTTTTATTTAATTATAATTTTAAAGTAAAGATATAGTTATTTTTTTTTTTATATTAATATATATTATATTTATAATAAATATATTTAAATTTTTATTAGGTATAATTTTATATTTATTAGGGTTAAATTAAGGTAGTGGTAGTGGTAAATAAATTTT